ATATAAAATACCTTGGGGTAACTCTAACTAAGCAAGTGAAAGACCTATATGATAAAAACTTTAAGTCTCTGAAGAAAGAAATCAACGAAGATATCAGAAAATGGAAGGATCTCCCATGCTCATGGATAGGTAGAATTAACATAGTAAAAATGGCAATCTTACCAAAAGCAATCTACAGATTCAATGCAATCCCCATCAAAATTCCAACACAATTCTTCACAGACTTGGAAAGAACAATACTTAACTTTATATGGAAAAACAAAAAACCTAGGATAGCTAAAAGAATCCTGTATAATAAAGCAACTTCTGGAGGCATCACGATCCCTGACCTCAAGCTCTACTATAGAGCTATAGTAATAAAAACAGCTTGGTACTGGCATAAAAACTGACACGTGGACCAATGTAATCGAATTGAAGACCCTGACATTAATCCACATACCTATGAACATACGATTTTTGACAAAGAAGCCAAAACAGTACCATGGAAAAAAGAAAGCATCTTCAACAAATGGTGTTGGCATAACTGGATGTCAACATGCAAAAGATTGCAAATAGATCCATGTCTGTTGCCATGCACAAAACTCAAGTCCAAGTGGATCAAAGACCTCAACATAAATCCAGTTACACTGAACTTGATAGAAGAGAAAATAGGAAGTAGTCTTGAACACATTGGCACAGGAGACCACTTCCTAAATATAACACCAGTAGCACAGACACTGCGAGCAACAATTAATAAATGGGACCTCCTAAAACTGAGAAGCTTTTGTAGAGGGTAGGACATGGTCAATAAGACAAAATGACAGCCTACAGAATGGGAAAAGATCTTCACCAACCCCACATCTTACAGAGGGCTGATCTCCAAAATATAAAGAACTCAAAAAGCTAGACTTCAAAATACTGAACAATTCAATTAAAAAATGGGCTACAGAGCTGAACAGAGAATTCTTAACATAAGAATCTCAAATGGCTGAAAGACATTTAAGGAATTGCTCAACATCCTTAGTCATCAGGGAAATGCAAATCAAAACAACTCTGAGATACCATCTTACACCTGTCAGAATGGCTAAGATCAAAAACACTGAAGACAGCCTATGTTGGAAAGGATGTGGAGCAAGGGGAACACTCCTCCACTGTTGGTGGGAATGCAAACTTGTACAGCCACTCTGGAAATCAGTATGGCAGTTTCTCAGAAAATTGGGAATAAGTGTTATTCAAGACCCAGCTATACCACTCTTGGGAATATACCCAAGGAATGCTCAATCTTACCACAAGGACACATGCTCAACTATGTTCATATCAGCATTATTCGTAATAGCAAGAACCTGGAAACAACCTAGATGCCCCTCAACTGAAGAATGGATAAAGAAAATGTGGCACATATACACAATGGAGTACTACTCAGCAGTAAAGAACAATGTTATCATGAAATTTGCAGGCAAATGGATGGGACTAGAAAATATCATCCTGAGTGAGGTAACCCAGACTCAGAAGGACAAACATAGTATGTACTCACTCATAAGTGGATACTAGATATGAGGGAAGGGATGTCCAGACTGCAACCCACAGCTCCAGAGAAGCTAGCTAACAGGGAAAGACCTTAGGAGGGTCACATGGATGACCCAGTGAAGAAGTGAATGAGATCTACATGAATGGACTGGGTGTGGGGGGTGGCAGAGGGCAAGGAGTGGGGAATGAGAACATAGGGAAATGGGAGGGTCGAGCTGGAACAGGGACAGAGTGGGAGGGCAGAGAGGGAGATACCATGATAGATGAGGACATCATGGGAATAGAAAGAGGCAGGGTGCTGGGGAGGCTCTCAGGAATCCACAAGGATGACCCTGCCTTGGACTGCTGGCAGTGGTCGAGAGGGTGCCTGGTCTGGTCTACCCTGGTGACCAGTCTAGCGAATACCCTAACTGTCATCATAGAGCCTTTGTCCAGTGACTGATGGAGGCAGATGCAAGAGATCCACAGCCAGGTGCCAGGCTGAGCTCCAGGAATCCAATCGATGAGAGAGAGGAGGGATTCTGCAGGCGGGGGACATCGAGATCATGATGGTAAGATGTGGAGAGATGACTGGCCACACTAGAGGAAGCCTATGAAGTGTAGACTAGTGGCTGTGGAGCCCCCACGGGACTGGACTAGGCCCTCTGGTTATGGAAGACTGTTGTTTGGCTCGAACTGTTTGGGGGCACCCAGGCAGGGGGATCAGGATCCATCCCTGGTGCATGGGCAGGCTTTTGGGAATCTGGTGCCTGTGGTGTGATGCCTTGCGCAGCCTTGGTGCAGTAGGAAGGGGCTTGGACCTGCCTAGGCTCAGTGTGCTGGGCTCTGCTGACTCCCCATGGGAGACCTTGATTTGGGAGATGTGGGGATGTGGGGTGGCTTGGGAGAGAGGGCTAGGGGGTGGGAGGAGGGAGGAGGTGGGATCTGTGGGTGGTATGTAGAGTGAGTAGAAAATTTCTTAATAAAGGAAAAAAAAGAATAAAAAGAAAAAAAATTATAAAATCTGTAACAAAAATTTAGTTTAAAACTTCTAACAAAAGGATTATAGTTAAAATCTATACATGAGTAATCTAAATTTTCTACAATAAACTATTTATGTGATTCAACTCATGTTTAGCATATACTGTATATGTAACTTGGATTCGATTCTTGTTTTAAAAATAGATCTAGGGCTGGAGAGATGGTTCAGCCATTAAAGGCAAGACTCACAACCAAAATAGATCTACTAGGAAAATACATATTTTGAAATCACAATCATGTGGCTTGCCTCCATCTTGGCTGTTGACCTCATTAAGACAGAAACAAACATGTGGCTGGCAGCCATTTTTACTAAACTTAAGAAAACATACATGCCAAATGACTTCATCTTGATTAGATGACCATGTGACGTCAACCAACTAAAGCAGCGCCTATTAAACTTCTTAGTCCTGCTGATCATGATCATTGTATCTTCTTTTCAGACTAACGAAACAACAGCAGGTCTCCAAAATATTTTGGATTAGTATGAATTTTGGCATGATAAATTCCAAAGGTTATGAAGGCGTACTCAGAAGTGCTGTGGATATCACTCTGTGTGCTGCAAATGTATTACTCTGATTGATTGATAAATAAAACACTGATTGGCCAGTAGCCAGGCAGGAAGTATAGGCGAGATAAGCAAACAAGGAGACTTGTGGGAAGGCTGGAAGGCTGAGTCAGGGGATGCCAGCCAGCTACCCAAGGAGCAGCATGTGATGGTACACAGGTAAAGTCACAGAACATGTGGCAACATATAGATGAACAGAAATGGGCTGAGTTTAAATGTAAGAGCTAGTCAGTGGTAAGCATGAGCTAATGACGAAGCAGTTATTAAAAAAAAAAAAGAAGAAGAAGAAGAAGAAGTATCTACCCCGTGTCTGATTGCCCCGTCGCCACTCTTGCATCCACCCATCTTCAGACCCTGCCCTCATCTGGAGCTGGACTCTGGCACCACTATGTCTGGCTTTTTCTTTTTAAAAATGTTTGTGTATGTGGGTGTTCTGCCTTGCTGTATGTCTGTGCGTCACATGCATGCCTGGTGCCCATGGAAACTAGAAGACGGTATCAGATCCCCTGGAACTAAAGTTGCAGACAGTTGTGAGCCACATCTGGGTTCTGGGAATTGAATCCAGGTTCTCTAGAAGAGCAGCCAGTGCTCTTAATCTTGAATCATGACTCTAGCCCCATTTCTTTCTTTTTTTCTCAAGGCAAGGTTTCTCTGTGTAGCCTTGGCTGGCCTGGAACTTGCTCTGTAAACCAGGCTGGCCTCGAACTCACAAGAGATCTGCCTGCCTCTGCCTCCTGAGTGCTGGGATTAAAGGTGTGCACCACCACTACACAACTGTCCAGCCCCATTTCTGAGTGACTTGTATCTAACCTGTGCCACAGCTAATATGACTAAATCTTTTTTTTTTTTTTTAACTAGAGTCTCATGTAGCCTAAGCTAGCCTCAAACTCAGTATGTTGCTGGGGATGATCTTAAACTTCTAATCCTTCTGAGTATTGAGATTTCAGACATGGAGCAAAACAACAACAAAAATGCCCAAGCTTCTCAGCTATGTAGTTATTAAAATTGGCTAATTAAGCCTTGTTCTGTGATTTCGTTATTGTTGCTGTTTCTTGTACTCAGCATATTACTTGTGTTTTCTGTTGTGCTTAGGGACTCAGGTTTGGAAAAGATTAACTTAAACAGCCTGCCTTAGAATGTACATACACCAAAAACTTACATTTTGTTTAGGTTTTGTTTTAGAGAGAGAGAGAGAGAGAGAGAGAGAGAGAGAGAGAGAGAGAGAGAGAGAGAGTGTGTGTGTGTGTGTGTGTGTGACTCCCACATGTGTGCAGGTGTCCATGGAGGACAGAAGTGTCAGATCTTTGGAGTTAGAGTTCCAGGTGTTTGTGAGGTCCTGATGTCAGTGCTGGAAACTGATTCTGGTCCTATGGAGGAGTAGCAGTACACTTAATCAGCTGACTAGTCCCACTTGGTTTTGAGACGGTCTTACCTGGTAGGAAGCTCAAGCTGGTTGGAACTCACTGTGTAACCCAGACTGGCTTCCTACTCTCGGCAGTCTGTCTATCTCAGCTTCCCTAGTGGTAGGAATAGAGTCTGAGCTAAGACCAAGACCACATCCAGCTGAGAAAGTTGTAATCAACATAAATCTGAAAAGTCAGTCGTGGTTTTATGTTTGTTTTCTTTCTGTTTAATGAGATTTTACTGTTTTAAAACTGGCATATAAAAAGAAGATTCATGGGCTGAAAAGATGTCTCAGCAGTTAAGGGCACTGACTGTTCTCCCAAAGAATCTGGGTTCAAATCTCAGCATCCACATGGCAGGGAACAACTGTCTGTAACTCCAAGATCTGACACTCTACACAGACTTACCTGCAGGCAAAATACGAATGCACATAAGATAAAAGTAAATAAATAAATAAACAAAAGAAGATTGATGCTATCCCATGTTGTTTTTGTTTTAATTGCAGTCGTGCTGCAAAGACTGGTGACGACAATAGTGATGAAGAGTCCAGCACACCGTCGTCTCCTGCTGCTCAGAGAAGAAAGCGAGCGTCAGGCACTTCTGCTCCTGTTAAGCCTACTGTCAGTGTTCCTTCACAGTGTCTTCCCTCACCTACAGTTCCTCATGAGGCTCCCCAGCCAGACCCTGCCCCATCGAAAGAGAAACAGCCCTGTTCAGACTAAGCCCGCACGCCCCTACCCACCCATACCAGATATCCAGTTTGAGGGGGTCACTGAGTCAACTTTAGACACCTCTAATTGCTCCTACTTAGTTCCATACTGTCAACTTCTATCCACAGTAGTGACTGTTTAGTTCTGTGGCAAATGGAATGTTGTGAAATGACCCTTTCTGGCACCAACAGGTCTCCCTCCTCTTCCTCTGCTGGTGGCTCTTATGGAAGCAAGGTCAATAAGAGACCTCCAATAAAAAAATGTCAGGGGGCTCGAGAGATAGGTCAGTGGTTTAGAGCATTTGATGCTCTGGCAGAAGACCTGGATTCGGTTACCAGCACCCACATCCTAACTAGTTCCAGGGATTGGACGCCCTCTTCTGACTTCCACAGGCATGGACATGGTGCACATATGTATTCATTCATACATGTAAAAAATAAATCTTTAAGAGAAGAGGAGGAGGAGGAGGAGGAAGAAGGAGAAGGTCAAGGGGCTGGTGAGAGAGCTCAGTGGGTAAGGGCACCTGCCAGCTGAAAGGGGAAAATCAGTAGCCATCTTGAGAGACACTTCCCCCTCCCCTCCTCCAAAGGTATTTGCTGACCAGCAGTTTTAGAAGTGACCAGAAGTTGAACTTATAAGGCTGGGACAATAAATCTATGTATCCTGGACTTGGAAAAACAAGATATAAAGAGTAAGAGACTCAACTGACCTCAGAGGAGAGTAGGACTGGAACAATAAATCTGAATATATATATCCTGGTTTCAACAAAAGCAGGACATAGGGAGTAAAACATTTATGTCTCTGTAGATACCCTGAATCCTGTTAGCCATCAGTAACCTCATGCTTATAGTTCAGTCAGTAACTTCAAAGAACTACCCCACCCCTACCCGCCTCATCCAATCCCAAGTTGCATGTAAACCTTTCCTATATAAACCCCTTAAAGTGAGTGCCCAGGGGGCCGTTCTCCTCCACCCGCTGTGTCAGATGTTGGACACGGACCAAGCTTGCTTGTTTTGTTATTAAAAACCTCTGTGTGCTTGCATCGGATATTGGCTCTGTGGTGGTCTTGCTTGGGGGTCTTGCAACCTGGGCACAACATTTTGGGGTTCGTCCGGGATCCCCTGCTTCCCCCAGACCCTAATCTGAGGGCTTTCTAACCGGCCAGTAAGTTTCTGTGTGTCTTTGTTTGTCCTTGTCTTTGTGTGGCTCTGTACATTTATTTTCTGAGGCACGCTAGATCTGTGAAGTGGTCCAGTAATAGTCAGTGCCTGTGTGCCGGGATCATGGTGGTCTGAGCCCTGGAGATGGGGATGTGTGTGGGAGCCCGTTCTCGCTTTACCCAGCAGGTCCGCATAGAGGATGATTAGACCACGGGCCTGAGTGCAGGTGTCTGGGATGGTCTGCACTTGGCTGTGCTGGGGGAGGAGGTCTTTTGCTCCACCCCTTGGCGTCTCTATAAAAACCCTGGGCCAGAGACAGTCGGGCCCATTGGAATAGGTTCCAGGCCCTCTCGAGGCTATCCTTTATTTTCTAGCTGTTTATCTCCTCGATATTCTCTGCAACAAATCCTTCTATCTAATATTTCCTGCTGCTCGCACTCAAGAAAACTCTGGGGAACTGTGGGGGTGGTTGGGTAAACGCCCCACGCACCCCCCCACCTCCCCACCCCCCCACCCCCCCACTGGGGAACTGTGGGGGTGGTTGGGTAAACGCCCCACGCACCCCCCACCCCCCCACCTCCCTACCCCCCCACCCCCACCCCCACCCCCCGTCTGTTCAACTGAGGACTGAGAGCCTCAAATCCAGACTGTTTTTGGTGTGACTGAGCCTGGAGGGTTGCTCCCTCCAGACCACATCAGCCTGTCATTGTTCTTGGAACTTTGTTGATTGTCTCTTGGAGCAAAGTTTGTTTTGGTGTGCCCTTGGTCTTGTGTGTAGCATGTTAATTGTTCTTATTGTTGATTAAGATGGACACTGTAGGACAGTCTCCCTTTTCTCCCCTAGACCCTGGCCCAGCATACTGGAAGGATGTGCGAGCCACTGCTCACAGTAGAAGGATTGATTCACAAGGGGAACTTTGTCACCTTTTGCAGTGCAGAATGAGCCTCTGACAATGTCACTCATTCCCTGGAGGGAACCTCTGCTGCTGGCAGCGGAAGAGCTCCCTGCGGTTCCTGAAGACCCTAGCGCAAAGGGTCTGCGGATCGGAGGGGGGAAGGAAAGCACAAACAAAGACCTCCTGATCCTGGTAAGGCGGTTCTTACGGCTAGGCAGATGTTACTTGTTTCTGACTACTAGCCTTCCTTATTGCTATCAGACCTGCAGCACTGGTGGGTGGGGGACGCTCATCAGCGGGGCCACTCCCTGGCCCCTGGGAAGATCTGAGACTGGGGCTTCCAGTGGGCCCTCCCTGAGCAGGGAGGTGAGTTCCCAGAGAACAGCCCTCCACACATCCTGGGCCTGGGTGGTGGAGGTTGACTGCTGGAGACAGGGGCAGGATGCCTGGTCCCTGCAGCCCTCGAGGGGTGGGGGTGCGCAGGGCAGCACCATCTGGAGGGGGCAAGCACGCTGCCTCAGGGGGGCAGGCGCGTGCATGGCGTGGCGGGCTCGGCATGGAGGAGCAGGGCGTGACCTGTTGGCCATATAGGAGCTGAGCGACCACCACGATCACTTGCTCAGCCTGGGGGTAGTGGGGACTTAACTTCCTACACTCTGTGAATCTAAATCACCCTCCCTTCCTTCCTGAGCCAAGTTTGTCATTAGCTTTCCACCTTAACCCTTCTCTGTCCTGGTAATGCTTAAAAAATGTTAAAGATATATTAGGTTTAAAAAAATATGCTTTTGTTCCCACAGGAAAAAAAATACATCCATTTTGGTCATTTGAATTCAATGGGTTACAAATACTCACCATCATTTAAGAGAATTGGTTACAAATTATTATTGGGTAAGATAAGAAAAAAAACTGTATCAAATTCCAAGAGGATAACTCAATGAATTAAATAAAAAATATTTTAGAATGTAATGTTTTTATAAGATTATAAAGGCCTGAGATATGAAGATAAAAGTTTAAATAAATGATTTTTGGGTCTAAGGAAGTAGTTTGAGGTATAAAAATGTGGAACTTTAAGTACTTTAAAGTTCAAGTAAGTTGTGAGGTTTGAGTATAAGCAAGTTTATGTGAGGTCTAAGACGTAAAGGTTTTAGGTATGGGAATATAAAAAAGAATGTTTTGGAAAGAAAAATATGTGAAATGCAAGTTATTGGAATGTGTAAAAGCAAGTTATGAAGGTCTGAGGATGAAAATACTTAAGTAATGATAAAAAATGATTTGAGATATATAAAAGATAAAACATGTTTCTGATTTCTTTTTCTTGCTATTCTGCTGTTACATTGAGACTCCAAAGGTTCATAGTTTTAAAAATGTCTGTCTACTCTGTAGGTATGAATGAAAATGTGGCCACATGTATGTTTGGTTTTGAATGTCTGAGTTTACATTTTCTCTATGTTAAGGAATGCAAATTAATGCTAGTCATCCAGCTATCCAGATATTAGTTTAAAGCATAAACTGTTAAATCTTATTTAATTATAAGCTATTAAAAATAAATAAAACAGAACCTGAGAGGTTCATTTGACTAATATATCTACAGGATAACAAATTGGCCTGGTTATTGTTACCCAACTGAGAGATGTTTTCAAGATTAGGCCTAGATTTGTTTAGCTCAGATATATTTAATACATAATGGTCCTCAAAGATCTGATGAATATGGCATTTAAATTATTTGATAAAAAGCTTACTATAACAAACAGAGACTCCCACCTCCTAGCAATGACTCCCAAGATCTCCAAAGAAGATATGGAACAACAACAAGAAGATGCCACCTGAATTTCGGACAACACCAGCAAGCTTGATAGCCTGAGTTCAATCCCCAAGACCACATATTGGAAAGAGAACAGACTCCCACAAGTTGTCTTCTGACCTTCATAAGCAGGCCATGGCATGGTACACACACACACACACACACACACACACACACTTATATAACCATTGCCATGATCCAAGTCTAGCAGATACATGTTGGGAAGTGCCATCATGAAACCCCATACTTTGTAGAGTGTAGTGGGTAGCCATTCCAACTTTGATCTGAAAGTTCCAACCCCCATTGAGGCTTCGGTAACTGTCACACCTACTAGGCAGGGCCAAGAGAGGACCCTGAAGAGCCGAGATCCGGATGCGCCGGCTCTCTTGGTTCCTGGACCCTGGACGCTGGAGGTAGACCGAGCAGAGTTCTCCAGAGAACACCGCCGGACTGCACCACGCCTTTCCCAGACTCTGTAAACTATCCATTCACTTGTAAGTTACTCCACAAAATAAACCTCCCTTTTAACTATGTGGAGTGGCCTTAATAATTTCACCAATATCTGGTTCATCAGCATGGTCCTCTGATTCTATCATTCTTGGTTCCTATGGCTCCATGAGGCAACATGGACCAGAGACATGGTCCTCGGCAGTGGCTTGGTAGTGGAACAGATCCTGGCTCTGGATAGAAGCACAGGCCACTCAGATCAGGATGCCTCTGGTGGTGGCATGGCTCCCAGACACAAGCAAGGCCACAGGTTGTGGCCGGGATCCCAGGTTTTCCTGTAACCTTTGGTAGCAACACAGACCCCGCCTGTGGTGGGACCATGGACCCAGACATGATGCTTGTCTGTCAGCAACCTGATCTGGATGTCACCACTGCCCCAGGTGGCAGTGCAGACCACTCTAATCTGCTTGGCCCTGGCTGCAGCATGTCCCTTGGCCACTGACATGGACTCGGGTGGCTGACTGGACTCCAGGCCTCCACATGGCTCTCAGTAACAATATGGGCCATAGACTTCAACACAGATCCTGGCTGCAGTAGGACCATTGACCCAGACATGGTTCTCAGCAGCAACCTGGGTCTGGATGTCACCATGGCCCTAGGTGGTAGCACAGGCCACCCAGACTGCATGTTCCTGGTGAGAGCTCAGTCCTCAGACACCAACATAGCCCCAGGTGGCAGCCCAGACCCTGGGAATCTACATGGTCCTTGGTTACAACAGGAGCCACAGATGTTGGCTCAGATTGGTATTAGATAACCAATTGGTGTGCTCTTCCCTGGGGAAGACTATTTCTCCCATAATCAGCATCCCCTAGTTTCCTGTAGTTCTTTGTATAGGGTTGAGACCTCATGAGTTTTCATTTAATTGGGGTGCTATTATCCATCCTTTTACTCGAAATAGGTGCCTATCTTTAAATCAGCTAAGATGTGTTACTGATAGACTTATTATTATTATTATTATTATTATTATTATTATTATTATTATTATCATCACTTTGTTTTTTGAGACAGAGTTTCTCTCTGTACCAGATCTGGTTGTCCTGGAACTAGCTCTGTAGACCAGGCTGGCCTCGAACTCACAGAGATCTGTCTGCCTCTGACTCCTGAGTTCTAGAATTAAAGGCGTGTAGGACTTTATGTTTTTGATCCACTCAGGCAGCCTGCATCATTTGATTGGAGAATTGGGGCCATTAATATCTGAAGTTATTATTGAAATGTTGACTACATTCATTTTGTTGATTTCTGGTGTTGTTGGTGTTCTCAGTGGTACTTTGTATTTTGGTAATTATATCTTCAAGTTTCTGCATTCTCTTAGCTGTATTGATCCCTCTCTTCAGCCTGAAATATTGCCTCCTTTTTTAATTTAGTTTTAGTTTGTTGAATATAATTTTTTGGGCTGTTTATACCATGGAAAATTCCTACTCAACTATGGCAGATAGTTTTGCTCAGTATTTTAGTCCAGTTTGGATGTTGTGGTTCTTTTAGGACTTGGGATGCACTGATCCAGGCTCTTCTGGCATTCACATTTTCCATTGAGAAATCAGCTATTATTCTGGTGGGTCTTCCTTTATATGTGACTTGTGTTTTTTCTCCTGATACTTTCAATATCTTCTCTCTTTTTTCCCCATATATTTAACATTTTTTGTTTGTTTGTTTGTTTGTTTTGTTTTTTTGAGACAGGGTTTCTCTATGTAACAGCTCTGGAAGTCCTGCAATTCACTTTGTAGACCAGACTGGCCTCAAACTCATAGATATCCTCCTGTCTCTGCCTCCTTAGTTCTGGGATTAAAGGCATGCACCACCACCACCTGGCTATGTATACTTAATGTTTTAATTATAATATGCCACAAAGAGTTTCTTTTCCATTGGTGTTCCCTGTGCTTCTTGTATCTTTTGTATTGGTGTATCTTTCCTTAGTTTGGGTAAGTTTTCTTCTATGATCTTGTTGGAGAGCTAGTCAATGCCATTGACCTGGGATTCTTCTCCCTCACCTATTCATAAAATTTAAAAGTTGGGTCTTTTCTTGGTGTCCCACATTTCCTGTGTGTTCCTTTCGCCGTGTGTGTGTGTGTGTGTGTGTGTGTGTGTGTGTGTGTGTGTGTGTGTGTGTAATTTGGATCGTCCTTGCTTATTTGATCTATAGCTTTCCACTGTCTTTGAGTCTTGCTGTTCTGTATTCTGCTTTTTCATTCTACTCCTCAGGCTTTCCTTTGAGAGTTCTAGTTGAGTTTTTAGGTTTTGCAACTCCATCTTCATTTCATTGAATCTTCCTCAGTGTTTCTATCTTCTGATTGAATTCCCTTCTTAAGTCTTGGACTGTCCTCATCACGTCTGTTAGCCTTAGGTTTCTGTTCTTAGGCAACACTCAAGCATTCTTTCTTAAGCTTTTTCTCCTTATTTTCATGGAGCTGTTTCTTTGTGTCATCTTTAAAACTCCTCACATTCTCCATAAACTTCTTTGGTCAAGTGCATGGTTGTTCTTTTAACTTCTGTGTCCTACGGTTCATCCAGGTCAATCTTGTTGAGAGACATTCTACAGGACTGGTAGATTTGTGGGGAGGGGACTACTGCCTTGATCTTTCACAGTGTTCATATTTTTGTGATGAGACTTCTTTTGTTAGTTCTGTGTCTGATATAAATAGAGCAAGTAGGGCAAAAGAAAGGATGTGTGGGTTGGATTGAGCCTGAAGTTGGATGTGGCTCAGGTGGACTCGGACACGGACTGGTGTGAAAGATGTTCCTTCTGATCCAATATTGGAGTTGGGGGTTATATATTTCAGGGAACAAGAAAGAACTGTAGGAAGTTAAATTACCTAAATCTAAAAATGTTATTAGGAGATGAATATGGTACATTCCTATGCATGCACTTGGGAGGGAGACAGGAAGATCAGGGATTCAAGAGAAGCCCAAGGTCCATATCAAGTTCAAGTCCCCTGATGGCTTATTTTGGTTATCAACTTGACCACATCTGGAGTAAATTAAAACCCACTCAGCTGGGTGTGCCTAAGAGAGATCTTCTTGATTGGATCATTGGAGGTGGGAAGGTCCACCCTAAATCCAGATCATTTGAGGTCAAAAGACTCATCCTAAATCTGGGCCATACTTTCTGGTGGCAGCCCACATAAAAGAAGAAGGAATTCTTCTCCTTTTGCCTGCCTGCCTTCACTCTCATGGCTAGTTCATCTACCCTGTTCCTGAGGCATGCCTTTGCTGGTTTAGAACCTACTTGGTCAGGAATCAATGTAGGCTGAAGATTAGCACATCTCTAGGAATTCTCTGGAATTTCAGCACCCAAATGAATCTACTGAGACATCCAGTCTTGTGAACTGAACAGTTACCAGATTCTTTGCCTTTCCATCAGAAGACAGCCATTTTTGGATTACACAGACAAAACTTGTAAGTCACTTTAATAAATCCTCTTTGTGTGTGTGTGTGTGTGTGTGTGTGTGTGTGTGTGAATTCATTCTATCAGTTCTATTCTTTTGAGGAATCCTTACATAAGGCCAGTCAGGTCTGCAGTGTGAGACACTTTCTAAAAAACAAACAAGAGTTAAATGTATATAAAAGCTGAAGCCAAGTGTGGTGGTACACACTATAATGTCAGCTACTCAGAAAGCTGATGCAGAAGGATACCAATTTCAAGGTCTTTTTGGGGTGCAAGACAATTTCAAAGTCAGCCTGAGCAACCATCTAATAAATAAATAAATAAATAAATAAATAAATAACAAGGCTGGGAGATGTTTCTCAGTGGGGGAGTACTTTTCCAGCATATTCAAGATCCTGGGTTCTGTAGGAAAAAGGGGCTGGCTAAAGAAACCCACTCTGACCCTGGAGCCCAGAACTAGGGAAAGGTGGCTCAGATCAGTGCAGAAAAAAACACAGTTTGGCTCAGTCAGATCAGAGCCATCTCTCCCCTGGCCAACTGACTTGTGAAACCAACCAATCACAGATCAGGATAGTAGAACCCTGGGCCCCAAGTTAACCTCTGGTTGAGTCCACCCCCAAGACATCCTATGTAGACCGCCTTGCCTGGTCAGTTAGAAAAAGAGGTGTTCTCTCCACCCTGGTAGAGGCAGCTATTCTCCAGGGCTCATCCTTCCCAAAAAAACTTTCTCAAAAGAGTTTTGGGTGAGACCTTTATTCACTGGCATAGAGAAGACCCTTGATGAGACATCCCTCAGTGGATAGAGCAAGGAGGAGCTGAACAGAAGACTCTTGCTGAGATGTCCCTCAGTGGACAGATCAAGGAGGAGCTGAAAGAGCTGAAAAAGTAACACTTTTCTCCTGAGCCAGAGGAGATTGCTACATTTTTGCAATTTCTTAGGCAGGAGAAGCAGAGCTTTGCTAGGAAGCCCCCTTAAGTAGGGGCTGAGCAAAACTCAGCAGTAGTGGCTCTCCAGGAGAGGATCAGGATTGCTATATCCTGTGGGGAGACCATTCCCCATCACACCAGGTATACCCTGACTTTCCCAAACAGTCAGGATATCCTTCACTGCTGAAGCAGTTCCAGGCCTGATTTTCTGAAAAGTCAGAAAAACTTCCCCTCCAGGGTTGGGCTGCTTCTTTGCAGCTCCAGCCATCAGCTGTGCTAAACAGCTCCAGGTGTCTGGGACACCTCCAGAGCAGAACTGCTCTGAGCAGCTCCAGCTGTCACAGCTGTCCTAAGCAGCTCCAGGTGTCTGGGACACCCTCAGGGCAGAGCTGCTCTGAGCAGCTCGAGGTGTCTGGGATACCTTGCCCTCCAGGGTTGGGCTGTCTCTTTGCAGCTCCAACCACCAGAGATGTCCTAAGCAGCTCAAGGTGTTGCCCTACTCCCCAGGTAGTCAGAACACCTTTCCCCAGAGTTGCAAAACTCACATGTTGGTGCTAAAACTTGGGACCCAACCCACAGAGTTGCAACAGATTTACTTACAGGTTCAATCTCATTTAAAGAATAAAATCTCTCTCTCTCTCTCTCTCTCTCTCTCTCTCTCTCTCTCTCACACACACACACACACACACACACACACACACACACACACACACAATTTAAAAGTTGGAAAGAAATCCAGAAATTAGTAAATCTTTAAAAATATGTGAGAAACAAGCAAGACGATAAATGACCAATTAAATTCCCATCTAGAAGAAGACGGAGATACCAGGGAGAGCTGGGGAAACTACCAGCTTCAAAGGAAAAATGTGATGACATTTGGTTTGTGCTCTAACAAATAAAGCTTGCCTGGAGATCAGAAGGCAGAGCTAGCCACTAGTTAACCACAGAGGCCAGGCAGTGATGGCACACAACCTTAATCCAAGTACATGGTAGGAGGAAACAGAAAGTGAGAGAGAGGTCATAGAGAGGAATATAAGGTGGACAGAGACAAGAGCTTGGCCCTTTTTGGCAGAGGAGTTGCCGAGGTAAGAGCTGGCTGTGGCTGGCTGCTCTTTGTCTTTCTGATCTCTCAGCATTTACCTCATATCTGGCTCCTGGTTTTTTATTATTAAGACCAATTAGATTTGTGTTACAGAAAATATCTTACAGTAACACACAACATTAACTATATCCTAAAGTATTCAAATAAAATCCCACTCATTGTTATTCCCTGAGGTCCTGACTAACCCACTAAAGCAGTAACTTCAAGCATCAACTGGTCACTTCCCTGACTGTGGAATTTGACTTTTGGTGCCTCAGATATTTTTTCACTGTTCCCATTTAAGGTCTACCATTAGATCCTGCATTAGAAAACAAAAGAAAAATCAAACAAGAAAGAAAGAAGAGGCTGGACCAATGAGATGTCTCAGTGCATCAAGGTACCTGCCACCAACACAGTGCCCTTGGTGGATCCCTGGAACCCACATGGTGGAAATTGGAATTAGAAAGAACCAATTCCCGTAAGTTGTCCTTTAATCTCTATCTGTGTATGGCCTGGCATGTGGAGTGACTACTCTTATGTCAGCCTGACACAGGTTAGAGTTATCAGAGAGGAAGGAGCCTCAGTTGAGGAAATGCCTCCATGAGATCCAGCTGTAAGGCATTTTCTCAATTAGTGATCAATAGGGAAGCCAGCCCACTGTGGGTGGTGCCATACCTGGGCTGGTGGTCCTGGGTTCTATAAGAAAGCAGGCTGAGCAAGCCTTGGGGAGCAAGCCAGTAAGCAGCACCAATCCATGGCCTCTGCATCAGCTCCTGCCTCCAGGTTCCTGCCCTGTTTGAGTTCCTGCCTTCAGTGCTTTTGATGATGAACTGTTACATGGAACTGTGAGAGAAATAAACCCTTTCCTCCCCAAGTTGCTTTGGTCATGGTTCCATCAGAGCAGTAGTAACCATAGCTAAGACATGTGTATACACACACACACACACACACACACACACACACACGAGAGAGAGAGAGAGAGAGAGAGAGAGACAGACAGACAGACAGACAGACAGACAGAGACAGAGACAGAGAACAAGATTTATAAGCATTTTTTCAGGAAAGAAAGAAGATAACGAGGAGGAGAGTGTGGGAGGGAGGTATTCACATATAGATGTTAGTGAAAGACACCTTATCCTGGCTTATGCTGTGCTCTGAATGCGAAAAATCTCCCATGAACAGCTCATGTGTCTGAGCATTTTTTTTTCCAGCTGGAGTGTCATTTGGTAAGATGTTGGAATCTTTAAGAGGTGGAGCCTGGTGGAGGAAGTGGGTCACTGGGGACAGGCTTGAGACTTTATAGCTTGGTGCCACTTCCTGTTCATCTGCGTCCTTGCTGCTGATGCTCTGTGACCGGCTGACTTCCTGCTCCTGACACCAAGTCTCCTGTGCCCCAGTGAAAATATGTCTTCAAACTGTAAGTCAGAATAAACCTTGTTTTCTGTGATCTGCTTTTGTCAGAGTATTTTACCCCAGCAACAGGAAAAGTAACTACAGGTTTTTCTAGTGAAAATGAAAGCAACTAAGGAAAGTACTTAGACTACCAAGTCATGGCCAGTTCCTTCTTTACAGGGAAGGAACAGGATGCTAGAGTGGGGCAATTGTGTCTACAGATAAGAACATGACCTTTGTCTCATGATCACTAAGGAGACTGTAAGGGGAGGGTATACAGAGACAATTGTAAAAATACCTAGAAAGAAATAAGAAAAAATAACTAAAAAAATGAGTTGAGTAGCCCGAGGGTTGAGAGAAGTCCAGAGGGATTGTTGCTGGGGTGGATTTTACACAGTAGTGAGAAGAACTCTTTATGGGTGCATTAGGTGTTGTCAAATGTGTAACTGCTCCAAGGGAAACCTCTGCTAGGTGTCAGATGAAAGAGCATGCTTCATTGAAAGACCCATTTTAGTTAGGAAAGCACATGCCTGCTAACCAATACTTCAAAGGCTGAAACAGGAATTGCTGCCATCAGAATTAGGCTGTGGGCAGTCTGTGGGGGTATTTTCTTGGTGTTAATCGATGAGGGCAGTGGTGCCCTCAGGACATGTGGTCCTGTGTTGTATAAGAAAATAAACCAGTCCCAGCAGAGGCAGGCAGATCTCTGATTCAAGGCCAGCCTGGCCTGGTCTAAAATGCAAGTTCCAGTGCATCCAGGGCTACACAGAGAAACCCTGTCTTGAAAAATAAACAATAACAAACAATAAATAAATAAACAAGTAAATAAATATGATAACAAAAAAAGGTGAAGAAAAGATGTAGGGATAACGCCCGCGCTATCACCACCCGTTCACCATGTCCGAGCGAGGGGCTGTGGATTAAAAAATAAGGGACAAGAGACAGCGAGTCATTCGCCACGGCTGAATGCCGAGTGCCAGCCGAATGTCGTTTATTAAAAGAGGGAGGAAGGGGCTGGAGAGATGGCTCAGAGGTTAAGAGCACTGACTGCTCTTCCAGAGGTCCTGAGTTCAACTCCCAGCAACCACATGGTGGCTCACAACCATCAGTAATGAGATCTGGTGCCCTCTTCTGGTCATACATGCTGTATACAAAATAAATAAATAAATCTTTAAAAAAAAAAAAAAAAAAAAAAAAAAAGAGGGAGGAAACCTTAAATACAGGCTTACAGCACAATGGCGGATCCCCGGAGGGCAGAAGTTTGCTACTGAATGTTCTACATTCTTGCATCTAAGCTGTTAACACCAAATGCAGGATACAGGAACAAAGAACCTCCGGTAGAATGTTAGGTGAGAAGGAAACCAGCAGGGAATCTGAATAGGGAGGACATCTGGTCAAGGTCGGCAAGCAAGGCGGCTGCCACTCACAGTGGGGGGCCAGGGCCCACAAAAAGAAATTAAGAAAACTATGAGAAGTTAAGCCAGCAAGCAACATTCTTCCAGTCTCTGCTTCCTTTTTTTTGCCTCCAGTTTCCTACCTTTAGTTCCTGCCCTGATTTCCCTTGATGGTGAACCATGTTGTGTGATTTGTTTACCCAGTATGAAGATGTGTCATGTGATTGGTTTAATAAAGAGCTGAATGTCCAATAGCTAGGCAGGAGAGACTAGGTGGGTCTCCTGGGGAAAGAGAGGAACTTGGGATGAATCTAGGCACTCTAGAGATGCCAGTGAGACAGAGAGTCGGGCATACAGAATGGAAGAGAGGTAAATAGCCATGTGGCAGAACATAGATTAATAGAAACAGGATAATTTAAGTCCTAAGAGCTAGTTGGGGACAAGCCTAAGCTAAAGGCCAAGCTTTCATAATTAATAATAAGTCTCTGTGTCATTATTGGGGAGCTGGCAGTCTGACAAGCACGTTCAACTACAGAACCACCACTGTAAGCAGAAATAAACCCTTTCCTCCTATGTTGCTTTTGGTCAAGGTGCTCATCACAACAAAATAAAACTAACTAGAAGACCAATCATCTGCTTTCCTTTTCCTCTCAGAAAATGGCCACTCACTGGGAGGCCTCCGAGGAGCGGATTTCCGAGATTGATTATGAGTTTCTCTCTGAGCTCTCTACTCTTCTCGGTGTGGATACAGTCCAGCTCGCAAAGAGTCAAGAAGAAGAGGAGCATCAGGAACGAATGAAAATGAAGAAAGGTTTTAACTCACACATGCGCAGTGAGGCCAAGCGATTAAAGACTTTCGTGACCTATGACACTTTCAGATCATGGACTCCGCAGGACATGGCAGCCGCTGGGTTTTACTTTACCGGGGTGAAACTTGGGGTTCAGTGCTTCTGCTGTAGCTTAATCCTCTTTGGTACCAGCCTAAGGAAAACTCCAATAGAAAGCCACAGGAGATTACGTCCAGGATGCGAGTTCCTTTTGGGCAAAGACGTCGGTAACATTGGCAAGTATGACATAAGGGTGAAGAGTCCCGAGAAGCTGAGAAGTGGCAAAGCAAGGTACCAAGAAGAGGAGGCCAGACTGGAGTCCTTTGAGGACTGGCCGTTTTATGCCCATGGGACATCGCCCCGTGTGCTCTCAGCAGCTGGCTTTGTCTTTACAGGTAACTGAATTCTATTTATGAGGTGTTTCTTTGGAGTTTAAAATTTAGGTTCCATTGTGTGCAATATTTTGTTAAGCAGTCCTCAGTGGTGGACTGTGTTACATTAGACATAACATGTATTTCATTAACTTTCAACTTTAACAAGTTTGCTTCTGCTTTAATATACATTTAGTGCAGCATTATTAGTCTATACTATATTATATGTATATGCATATACACATGCACACACACACACACACACACACACACACACACATATATATATATATATATATATATATATATATAAAATATTGCTTTTCTTTTAATATAGACCTTAAGAGTACCAGCAGTGGGCTGAGGGTAGAACTTAGTGCTAAAGAGCTTACCTAGCACATACAATGCCCTGGGCTGTGTATATGAGGAAGGCCATGGCTAGGCGATGGAGGTCCAGAGCTCGGAAGGGAGTCATTTAGGGCAGTGGGACTGTGGACAGGGATTCAGCCAGAGACGTCATAGAAGAACAGGCATGTTGGAGTCCGTCTTATTCTGGTACAAGATGATCAGCTCCAAGGTCTCACCTGGTGTCATTGCTGGCCAGTCAAAATGTTTTTCTGCATCTGTAGGTAAAAGGGACACTGTGCAGTGTTTCTCCTGCAGTGGATGCTTGGGAAACTGGGAAGAAGGAGATGATCCTTGGAAGGAGCATGCCAAGTGGTTCCCCAAGTAAGTAGGCAAACCCTTTATTCTTAAACTTTTCAGTTTTAATAAATGTTTTAAATGATTCATTCCCTTTTTATTTTATGTATACACCCCCATATAAATATATATCTGTGTGTGTACACATATATATTTGTACATATATGCATATACATGTCTATTTGTCTCTGTGTGTATACCGTGGTGTGCCTGTGCCCACAGAGGCCAGAAGAGGGATCAGAGCTCCTGGAATTGGACTTGGAGATAGTTGTGAGCTGTCCTGGGGGTTCTGGGAACCCAAGTCAGATCCCCTGGAAGAGCAGCAAGTGTTCTTCACCACTGAGTCATCATCTCTCCAGACTGGCTTTAGCCGGTTTCAGGTTTTTGTTTGTTTTTTAAAATTTTATTTTATGTTCATTGGTGTTTTGCCTGCATGTATGTCTGTGTGAGGGTTTCAGAAGCCCTGGACCTGGAGTTACAGACAGGTGTGAGCCACCATATGGCTGCTGGGAATTGAACTCAGGACCTCTGGAAGAGCAGCCAGTGTTCTTAACCACTGAGCCATCTCTTCAGTCTCCAGTTTTAGGTTTTTAAAAGCAAAATAAAGCTAGAGACAAAGGAGCCACATTATTGGATCTTCCCTTTGAGTTTTATTTATATCTTTCCTGAATCCAAATTACGATAACTCTAGAATTTTTCAAGCAAAAAAGGACTTCATCGTATTGTGAAAAGTTTGAGTCACTTGAACTTAAACAGCCTCTCACACTTCAGTTAACATCTTATACAGATTTTGTGTTTGTGATTCATGTACTATGTGGTTATATGTATAGTATATGTGTGTGTACATGCTGTGGCTTAGGAAGCCACAGGTTGACCTAGGGTATTTTCCCCTATCACTCTCCGCTTTACCTTTTTTTTTTCAGCTTTTATCATTTCATTTTGTTGACACAGTAACACAATACTCTTTTCTATATGATCCTCACTATGCACACATACACACACACACACACACACACACACACACACACACACACACACACACAACTTCAGACTTCTCTTTCTCAGCCTTCCTAATACTGCGACCTTTTAATATAGTTCCTCATGTTGTAGTGACCTCCAACCAAAAAATTATTTAGTTGCTACTTCATAACTTTAATTTTGCCACTGTTTTGAATTATGGTGTAAATTTCTGTGTTTTACAGTGTGCTTAGGCAACGCCTGTGAAAGGGTCATTTGACCCCATTGTGGGTATGTGGGCCCGTACTGTATGGCGACCACTGCTGCTTGACAAAGTTCCAGCAGTTCAGTTTCGGGGACCACAATTCCCCAGCAACTTTTTATCTTCATTTTTAATGATTCACCCTATGTGTCATGGGAGTTCCCTTATGCCTCTTCCTCCCCGCCCCCATTACACCAATAATAGAAAAGGTCAAGATTTGCTAACTGGATATACCTGGTCCCAGAGATGAAAAACACAATCAAGAGAAACAGTGGGCCCAGATCCAGAGCCTGAGGCTATTTAGGACAAGAAATCAGTTAATGATATAGTATGGAATAGTGCCCCGGATTGGTTGCTTACTGGATGAATGGCAAGATCTGGTCTGCCCTACAGAGAGAAGATTCTGTTAAGAAGTTAGACTGGCTTGCTCCCCCTTTGCTATATGGAGGAACATACATTGAAGGAACCAGAATGGTATGGCATAATGGAAAAATAATAAGATATCAGGACCTTCCCTTTTGGGAACATTGGAGGAGAACAGGCCCATGTTACAAGACTAAAGTACAAAGAACTGCAGTTAGGAAACAGTTCGACGCTTGTGCTCACGGTACAAACACTGTGTCATGCCCCTTGAAGAGGGGTACCTTTGGATTTCTAAAACCACTGGTCTAGAAAAGATGTTTGGGCAGACCACTTCTACAGTCCATTCCTACCCCTAGACCCTGCAGAGCTGGAATTGCTGGAACCTTTCTGGGGAGGCAGGCAGTACTATGTTTGGCCAGTCAGAGGCATCTGGTCCCCAAGATCAAATTCCCCACAAATCCAAGGCCTTGAATTTGGTATTCTTCTTCTCTGTTTTTGACACTAGGAAAGAGAACCTGGGGCCTGAAATTGTGAAGGGAGGGGAAAATATGATTAAAATACATCATATATGTCTTAGGGTTTTCTTTTACTGTGAAGAGACACCATGACCACTGTTGGTTACGCTGGCAGCCATGCTGGCAGAGGAGATTGCTGGAGGAGAGTCACGAGCCATCGTTACCTTTTTAGAGCTTTATTGGGAGAGGGGGGAGAGAGGGAGAGGGAGAGGGAGAGGGAGAGAGGGGGGCCGACGGGAGGAAGGAGCAGAAAGAAGAGGGGCACACAGAGGGCCCACCCGCTTTTTTTAGGCTGGGACGTCGTTGAAAGACTGATGACATAATTAAGGACCGAATCCTTACATCCCAGACTTTCCCTTGTTATAAAAAAAAAAGCAGGTAGATGGGACTAGGGGCATCATTCCTCTCAAAAACTACTTTCAGCTGACTGTTGGACATTGGTTGGCTCTTGGGGGAATGGGGAAGGGGAGTTTTCTGAGGTAGACAGGCGTTGTGGAATGCTGTCTGTCATCCATTTGCTCTGGAGACATGTATCCCTCTTGGCTGTGGCTGGGAACTTTTTGTTTGACAAGATGCTTTTAGCTGTTACAGTTTCTTATTTGATGATCTCTGGACTTCGGTTCTGTGGTGGTCCTGCACCATTAGCTGAACAGTGAGTTAGAACAGGGAACTGGGAAGAGAAAAGCTTGTGATGCATGAGAATTTATTTTTTTGGAATTAGGGACAAGGCAAAGATCAGGGCCCTGTCTGTATGCACGTGAGAAACACAGTCAGTGGATCTGGAGTGAAGCAATGAGCTCTTATTTTAGGTGGAAATCTTTTTCATTAAGTAACTCTGAAAGTGCAATTAAATCTGGTGAGGTGGTAAGGCTGTCCTCTGTACCCGATGATAGAGAAAGGAGAGGTGACATCCCAAAACTCCCAGGACTGAGTCAGTGGTTTTGGTGTCCAGAAGGAAAGAAACGGATCGCTTCCCTGCTGTGTTCTGGGTTCCCTGTCATGTCTGTAGCCAAGCCTAGGTCTGCTGGAGGTCTTAGCTTGATGCACCCATGCGTCTTGGCGCCTGGGGGCAGTCAGCTGACTGTTTGTCTTTCTAGGCGGCACTTTTAAAAGGCTGTTGATGGCCTGGCAGGGCATTTGCTAGCCTGTGGCCTTTTCCTCACTTAAAATAGGGACCCAACAGCTTTTGGGAGTCAGTGAGTGCCCACACTTGGCAATTTTGTTTTCGGGCTTTTATCTCTTCCCTGGCACACCATAAATGCCACAGATGACTCTTTTGCCTGTGGGTTCAGGAGCCTTGCTCTCCAGATGCTTAAGTTTTAGTTGGGGAGGTCTGGGGAATAAGATTTTACTCCATGTCCTGAATTTTTTTTTTCCTGATGATTGATGGCTTAAGAACAGCTTTTGGAAGATCTGCCAGTAGACAGACTATAAACCGATCCCCTTGGAAGACTTGTCTGAGGCTATAAGCTGATTTTTGGCTTAAGAGCCGTCCTGACTACTGTAAACGTATTTGTATGGATCTTAGCTGCTTCCAGACCCGTCTGTGCTTCTCAAGGCAGTTTGAGAATGAGTGGGTGGAGTTAAGGTTCCGTAGAAGCCGCCCAAGCCTGCCCATTTGAGCCCGCCCACTGCCGGCAGAAGTCAGACAGAAAAGGTTGCACGTAGCAGACACAGAAGTGGGGAAGGAGAAGGGTTTAGAACTTTAGCGGAAAGCTTGGAGATAAAGTAACTTCTTATTTGCCCGTTCGCTGGCAGAAGTTCCCGCAACTCTGTTATGCGGCCAGGTTTATGCTGTTATGTGTCCAGGTTTATGTTGTTATGCGGCCAGTTTTACCGGTGCCCACCCCTATCCTCCAATGTATCTGCCCCTTTGTCTCATGGCTGTAACCGAGAGAAAAATAAAAAATTAAAATAACAAACCAGGATCAGACTGCAATCTTGGGTGTCCCCAAAGAGTGGAGAGAGATCCATGAATCAGCTCAAGTCACCATTCCTCTTCGTCAAGGGAAGGTAAGGGCTGCAACTGCACTGCAGTTGGTCCAATGTAGACCTGAGACAGCATTGACCTCCTCATCAGGAGTGAAAATGTGCCTGCTGTTGCCAGTACAGCCCGAGGACAACCCCAGGGGTGTCCATCGCAAAGAATGTAGCTCAGACTACAGCTGCGAGAACAGCGGACTTACTGTGGTGAAGAATCATGGCGGTAGTGGTGTGGGGGCCCAGCGGAGGCGGCAAGGGACACGCGTGCTCGTGGTCTTGCAGTCTCGCTGGATGGGGGAAGAGGCAGCAGTGGTCACAGTAGGTCCTCGGTGCTCGGTGGTATATCCGAGTCTGAACAGCACCAATGTTGGTTACGCTCTGGTGCTGCTCCTCGTGGCTGGTCGCTGCCTGTGGCGGCCATGCTGGTAGAGGAGAATGCTGATTGGAAGAATCACAGCCATAGTTACCTTTTTAGAGCTTTATTGGGAGAGGGGAGAGAGGGGGCGGGAAGGGGGAAAGGGAGAGAGGGGGGCCGATGGGAGGAAGGAGCAGAAAGGAGAGAGACGTATACAGAGCCCACCCGCTTTTTTAGGCTGGGACACCGTCGAAGGCTGATGACGTAATTAAGGACCGAATCCTTACAACCACAGCAACTCTTATAAAGGAAAATATTTAATAGGGTGACTTACACTTTCAGAGGTTTAGTCCATTATCATCATGGTGTGACATGGTGACGTGTAAGCAGACATGATGCTGGAGAGGAGCTGCAGTCCTTACATCTTGACCCACAGACAACAGGAAGTGGTCTGAACTGGGCATAGTTTGAACATAGAAGACTTCAATGCCTACTCCCACAGTGACACACTTCCTCTAACAAGGCCATACCTACTTCAACAAGGTCACACCTAATAGTGCCAGTACTTATGAGCTTATGGGGGCAAATTACATTCAAACTACCACAAAAGAAATAATTTTTTAAAAAATAAAATGCTCAAAAATCATCAACACATAAAAAAGAATATGCATTGTGATATGGGACATGTTTATCATAGTATTGGGGAAGTGTTCAATTATATTTTTCATTATAGATGTGAATTTCTTCAAAGTAAGAAATCCTCAAAGGAAATTGCCCAGTATATTCAAAGCTACGAGGGATTTGTCCATGTAATGGTAATTCACAAAAACCAACTTTTTCCCAAATCTTTTTATTACATAATATCTAAATCACAAGGGTGAGGTGTTTTTGTTTATTTTCATGGCTTCTGTGTCTTTCTTTTTTTCTCCTTCTATCCCTCTGTATCTCACTCATGCAGTATGTATAGGGGTGAGGAGCACATTGTCTTACAAAGCTGGGAAAAATTTGTTTTTCCACGGCTGGCTTTTGGCTGGCTCTGACTCCTGCCATGAACTTAGACTGAAAATCAGGGGGAAAGGGGCTTCCTTCAGAAAAAAAACTGGTACAGTTTACCTAGACAGTATATTGTTCAATTAGAAAGGTTCCTCTGAGTCTTCATTCCACACTAATTACAATGTATCTGTGCTGTGTAACCTAGTTCTGTTTTGAGCTGAGTGCTGTGTAAGACCCTGCGGTTTCCACTTGGCTACAGGTAAACACTTACTGTTGTTTTGCACTGAATAAAAAAAATTCCATAATAACCTAGCCAAAATTAAAGACCTGTCTCACCAACAACTCTAATAGAATGTCATCTTTAGTTGCTGCTCACACACAGATGTGTATTTCATAAATGAATTCATAACCTGAATTTCTGTTTCTCAGGGAGAACATTTTGTGAATTGCTGGGTCAGAAGAGAATTACCTATGGCATCAGGTAAAACCTCAGACACATTCCAAAGGCTTTGCTTCTTTCTTTCTTTGTTAAAAGCAACCCCCACGACCACTTCTCCAGGTTTCGGGTCACTTTTATTCTTTTAAGATCTTTGCAGATTCATAAGAACTACTAGACTTGAAGCTTTACAAAGTTTTCAAAAGCAACAAATTAATTTATAAGTCTTAATGAATATTTACCTTTTTACAAAATGTTCCATGTAAGATTTAAATATGTATAGAAATACTTTTTCATTTAAAGGAGCATTTTAAAATAAAAGACAGGACTATAAAGTATCACATGAGACTTTTCTTGTTAATCCCAAAGATGGGAGGAGAAAGACCATGGACATAAATCATTATAGTCAAATTAAAGCAAGCAATAAATTAAAGCAAACTTTTTTAAATTCATGTATACAAACTGCCTCCCCCTAAGGCGGGGTTTGGGAGGTCAGCACTGGCTGTGAGGAAGACAAGGCTTTATAGCTCAGGGGTAGGGGCTTTCCAAATGGGAATTTGGTGGGCAAAATGGGGTGGAGTGTTACAGGAGCAGAACATGAGCATAACAAGTTAGTCATAATGACCACCTGAAACAGACATGATTTTAGGGTGGTCATTTGGTAGTCATAACAACAGGTGCTCATAACCTTTTGAAACAAAGACATGGTTTGCTATTTCCTGGAATAGACAGTACAGAACCATTTGTAGTTAAGGTTGCAGGGCATAGCCCAATCCTTGAGAAATGGAGATTTAATCATAAACAGGAATAAACCTAGTTTGTCTTTACTATAAGATGGCTTTTAAGCCTAAGATGGAGGTAGTCTGGTTCATCATTCTTTGTCACTTGTAAAGTTGAATTATAAATCTAAAAATGTTATAGAGATATTAATGTTTTGATTTTCTTCCTTCCTTTCTTCCTTCCTTCTATCCTTCCTTTCTTCAAATTCATTCCTCTCTCTCTCTCTCTCTCTCTCTCTCTCTCTCTCTCTCTCTCTCTCTCTCTCTCTCCACCACGAGGCTATGTTTGCACCCCTTCCCCTTGTCCCATCTCTTCTGTCTCTTCTTTTCTTCCTCTCTCTTCCTCCCATTCTGTGTTTCTTCCCTCCCCTCCCCAAGTAAATCTTCCACATGAATTCTGTCATGGCCATGACTTTCTAGGGCCCCTTGGCTCCAACTGGCCAAGACCGCCTCCCCCTGTTTTACAGTGGGTATAATGAGATGAGTGGGGAAGCTATTTTGTGGGTCCAAGATTCTATCTGATGACATTCTTAGCTCTTGGGCTGGTGGAAGCTAGTGTTCTGATAATTTAGTAGCTTCTAAGAGGTTTTTATTTATTATCATGAGTTGTTAGTTCAGATCCAGAGTAGGGCAAGACATGGCTCTTTCAGAAGGCTAAAACTAGCCTAAGATAAGTAATTAGCCTCTGAACCAACAAAATTCCAATCTTTCCACAGTACTGAAATTATTCCAATAGGTCCACCAGTCTCTGTGGGCACAGAAACTCCTTCCAGGAGGTGTCTTGTTCTTTTGTTCATAGCTAGACACAGCTTCTTTTCATTCATACTACGAACCTAGATAAATATGACAGGAAGTGTCAGTCATTTCCTTAACTGACACTTCCTGTAAAACAACTATAATTTCTGGATAAAATGTTTTGATGGCATTTTTCAGGAACTCATGTTTCCCACACTGGCCTCAAACTTAGAAATGACCTTGAACTTCTGATATTTCTGCTTCCACTTCTTAAGTACTAGGACTCCACATGTGCACTACCACACTCAGCTTAGGAGGTGCTCAGGACGGCACCCAGGACTTGGTGCGTGCCAGGCAAATGCTCTGTGAACTGAGCTACATCCTAAATCCTGGAAAGCCTTCTTAAATGGCTCAGTATGCTGTTAAGAAAGCAAGGATACTCACAATAAAATGAAGTGACAGGTCTGGGGATATTACTCACTGGGGGGGAACACTTACCCAACATGGACAAGGGTCTTGAGTTCTCTTCCCAGCACCTCAAGACAGAAGAGCTGGAGTTAAAATTTAGCGCAGTGGTAGGATATCTGTCTACAGGCATGCTGAGCCCTGAGTCCAGCCATCTGGGTGGGACATGGAGCATAGAGAACACGGGACAAGGTGGTGCCAATAGCAAGAATTCCAACATCAGCTGAGGGTGGCAGCCCATACCTACAATCCCAGCGCTTGAGAGATAGAGACAGGAATTCAGGGCAGCCAGGAATATGACACTCAGTTAGAGGTCACCCTGAACTACATGAGATTCTGTCTCAAAAACAAAACAAATGCAAATGTAACATGCACCCTCAGGTTAGTGCCCGGTGTGGTGGCCCATGGCTACAGTCCCATCACTCAGAAGTTTGAGGCAGAAAGATTGCAAGTTCAAGGCCAACCTGGGGTGCATAGCAAAAAAAAAAAAAAAAAAAAAAAAAAAAAAAAAAAAAAAAAAAAAAAAAAAAAAACTGTCTCAAAAAATAAACCAAACCAAAATTTCCTGTTGGCTTGAACAGGAATTATTATCTTCCAATAATTTTCTAAAAACAGCAGATAGAAAAGAGACAAAGAAATGTCTAGTGTTTGTTCTCCAGGCCTATCAGTGAATGTTTTTTGGCCACATAGATGAGACTCTACGAAAAAGGAATCTGTAGAGTTTATCAATATGACAGGCACAGCCATGAGTGTTACCATGGGAGTGTACAGTGTTACCCAGCATGCTCTTGGCAATGCTATAAATAAGCAAGTTAAGGGCAAGATTCTTGCCAAGAAAATTAATGTTCATATTGAGTGTCATCCACTCCACCCCAAAAAAATATGTAAATCAGCAAAAACAACAACAAAATTCTAATCCTAGGATTAAGTGTGAACACAGGCAAGCTTTTATCTTGAGAAACTTGTGAGAACCAAGGTAAGGGCATTTAATTTTCAAGTTCTCACAGCATGGAGAAGACATGTTCAGAGGCCAGGATGAGGCAGAAAGGCTAATGGAGACCCCCAGCATGGTCATCTCAAATAGTAAGCCATCAAAATGACTGGTTGTTTTTTTTTTTTGGTTTTTTGGTTTTTTGTTTTTTAATGCCGAATGCCATTTATTGAAGGAGGGAGGAGGTCTTAAATACAGACTTACAGCTCAGTGGGGCTGGAGAGATGGCTCAGCGGTTAAGAGCACTAGCTGTTCTTCCAGAGGTCCTGAGTTCAATTCCCAGAAACCACATGGTGGCTCACAACCATCTGTAATGAGATCTGGTGCCCGCTTCTGGCCTGCAAATGTAAATGCAGGCAGAACACTGTATACACAATAAATAAATAAGTAAATGTTTTAAAAAAAAAAATGACTGTTTTTATGGGAGCCACAGGGGAACGTTGCCTTTCTCAAATCTTTTTTTTTTTCTTTTTGGTTTTTCGAGACAGGGTTTCTCTGTGTAGCTTTGCGCCTTTCCTGGAACTCAATTTGTAGACCAGGCTGGCCTCGAACTCACAGAGATCCGCCTGGCTCTGCCTCCCGAGTGCTGGGATTAAAGGCGTGCGCAACCACCGCCCGGCATCCTTCATGCTTTTCTAACCACCCTCAATTATTTTGACGCAAGCACAGCACACCAGATCATTCCACCTGCACACACAGCTAACTTGAACTTTGCGATCAAAGCCTGCTCCTCTCACCTACATCTGGTTTTTTTTTTTCTTTCTCCCCTCAACCTCCAAGCTTACTGCAATGACAGCGTCTTCGCTAATGAAGAACTAAGGCTGGACACCTTTAAGGACTGGCCCCACGAATCCCCTGTGGCTGTTGAAGCTCTGGTCAGAGCAGGCCTTTTCTACACAGGTGAGTCAGTACTTTGTGTTCACCAGATGTGCTTGTCCAGGTCTTGCATTTGTCTCCACTCAGCAATCTCCACTCTCCATCATTCCGCATAGATCCCTTTGCTGCCTCATAAGACCTTCAGTTTCCCACAATTCCCTTGGTGCTCAGCCTCCAAACTTGAACCTGAGGTCCTGGCTGACAGTGAGCGCAGTCGTCAATCCTCTCTTACCCAGTGAGCCATCTCCGCAGCTCCCTAATGTTTCTTTAACCAGAACTTACATGGCCATACCTACCTTTAAGAATTGCTGAGGAATCTGAATTATTTCCCTCAGGAAGCAGTATGCCCAGTTAAAGAGTTGGAGTTCCAGAGGCTGGGGGATGGCTCCCTCTAGGCCCCTTCTCCTTTATGTTCACCCTCTTCCTTTTCAGCTCCCCATTTTAGACAACCTGCAAACTCCAGGCCCTAGTAGTTTTGGCCAAACAGACAGGGAGGCTCTTCTCTGTTTGAATTGTACAGCGCCTTTATGGTCCAAGAGTGGAAGATGTTGGATCTTTCATTTCCGGTTTGATACCTTGGCTCAGGCAAATTAGAATCCTTTCCACAGTCTTACGAGCAATGTGCTTCTATTTCCAGTGGAGCATACCCGGCAATAATAAGAGAAGAGACATGTAATTTTTCACGATCTCACTTGCTTAAAGACTCCTATATTTGCTCCTGTGTTTCCCGCATGATCTTCAAATATTTTCTTTCTGATTTATTCATTAAGCAAATGCTTATTGGTTGCCTATATCTGTGAATGTCCAGTATGTCATTAGTGTCCAAATCAGACAAAAATCTCTGCTCTTACAGATCTTCTGTTCTAGATTCTGACAGCAGAACTTTCAGGATGATGGGTTGGGAGAGGGTGTTCATCAAAGCACATGGTGCACAGGAACATTCAGTGACTATTGCTGAACACCCTATTGAAGGACCAAGAGTCCTGTGTGAACTAGTGCCCCTAGTGACCCATGCATGACTTTGCCACACAATCCAATTGGAGATGCAAATAGGATTTCACTAAGAGATCTGGAGTTCTTATCTGCTTGTGAGTTGACAGGTGTATGTGCTGTTGAACTGACCATATTCCCTCATTCTAGGCAAAAATGACATTGTCCGGTGTTTTTCCTGTGGAGGATGTATGTGGAAATGGGAGGAAGGTGACGACCCATTAGAAGAGCACACCAAGTTTTTTCCCAAGTGAGCACGGTGTATTCTCTTGACTTGGAATGTACTTCAACGGTTATCCCTCTCTGTCCATGTTTTCCCTGTGGATAGGATCTGCCCTCTCCTCTGGTTCCTGTTGTGAAGGATACATCCTTATAGCCTCATCTCTTTCCTCTCAAGACACTCCCTGTGCAGCATTCCTTAAATCATGATTAGATCTTGGTTTTGGCTGGGTCAATATACACACTCTTAAAGACAGAATCTCTCTATGTAGCTCAGACTCTCCATGTAGCTAAATAGCTTGAGTTCATGACTTCCTGCCCTAGCACAATTATGCCAATCATTTCAAGCCTTTCTGATTTCTTTAATTACAAGCCACTCTTCCTCTTCTTCCTCTTCCTCCTTCTCCTTTTCCTCTTCCTCATCTTCCTCTTCCTTTTCTTCTTCCTCCTACTCTTCTAGAATCTTTCAGTGTTTTGTTTCTGCTGTTTAAAATTTAATAAGAGAATCATTTCTTTTCTATGGTTTCCTTTTTCCAGTTTTGGTGATTGCACCCATGGACTGGGCATGGTAAGTGAGCCCTTTCCCATTGAGTGATACTCTCATCCTCTTTTCTGTGAGTTCTCCAACACATCTTAATTAATTTTCTACCCAGTAAAATCTCTAGAAATGTCCAATAGCAAGAAAAAATTTTTTTCATTAAGTAATTAGTAATAAAATTTCAGAAATAAATATCAACATACGTAGAATGAACAGTGAATATTTTTGGCTGGGCACAGTGGTGCACACCTATAATCCCAACTCTTGGGAGGCTGAGGCAATATTATTTTGGTTTTTTTAAATATAATTTTTAAAAAATTTTTTAGATTTTGTATTTATATGGATAGTGTTTTGACCATGTGTATGTGATATATGTATTTAGTAAGACTGAGTTTTAAATAAATATATTTTAAAATACAGCAGTTATAAGTAAGAAAGCAAAGCACAATTGTAGATGTCTTTTGGTGTAACAGTCCTCTGAAAGCTTTAGAAGCTGCCTCTGTATTTGAAATCTTGTTTGGTTGCACAGCTGTATCCTGTGTGCATCCAATGTATACCTAAAATTATACTAAATTATTTTGGCTTTAGAAGAGTTTAAGCCAAATTAGTCTACTTATTATCTGATCTTGAGACAGAATGATGACAAAATTGCGAATCTTTAAAAATGTTCTTTACACTTTTTATTACATGTATCTATTACATTTTATTACATGTGTAGAGAGGGACATGCTGTTGTAGAGCACATGCTGTCAGAGTGTGTTCACTCCTTCACATTGCGGATCCCAGACACTTGGCAGCTGGGACCTCACCCACTGAGCCATTTTGCAAGCCCCCAAATATTCTTTTAAAAATGTTTTTATAGCAGATATGAATCATTTGTACTGACGGGTTTCATTGTGACATCTTTTTATATGTACACAGTGTAGTTCAATGAACTCCACCACCACCACCATTCCCCTAGCTTCTCATGCCAATCTTACTCCCTTCTTCTTAGAGTCTTACATCTGAAAGAAGCCAGGGCTATAAGCTTAGACATATAAGAATATTTGCACTGACACAGGCCTTTAATCCCAGCACTTGGGAGGCAGAGGCAGGCAGATCTCTATGAGTTTGAGGCCAGCCTGGTCAATAGAGCAAGTGCCAGGACAATCAGGACTACACAGAGAAACCCTGTCTTGACCCCTACCCCCCTCAAAAAAGAACATTTGCATCTAATTTTGAGGTTAAACAATACTTGGCAGCAGCAGTCATTTTTTATCTATTTTTTTCTTGTAATTTGGTTGTAGTAGGGAGTAACACAGGGGCTTTTTAATTCTTAGAATGACAAATTAGGCTGGAAGACATTTTTATTTAAACCTTGTCCTAGAATCTGTCAACTCCCATATATGTGGCTTGCTAGTCTTCTACCTCTTGGTTGTTGTTATTGTTGTTGTTGTTTTTAATTATAGACAGGCATACATTTAGGGCAATAGTGATAATAAAGGACCTATGGGCTGAATACTAAAGCCAAGAAATCAAACCTGCCCAATGCCTCAGAAAGGCCCCAATGTCACTCCTAAATCTGAGCTGACCCTTGCCCTTCCCAGCCAGAGGTAAACATCATCTTGATTGTCATAGCCAGCTTCATCTGTCACCTTGGCACAAACCTAGAGTTATCTGGGAAGAAGGACCCTTAACTGAAAAATTGCCCAGGTCAGATTGGCCTGTGGCCAGGTCTGTGGGGCATTTCCTAAACTGCAAATTGGTGTGGGAGGGTTAGATCCAGCCCACTGTGGGTGGTCCCACACCCGGGCAGGTGGGTCTGGGCTGTATAAGAGACTTAGCTGAGCAAGCCATGGGGAGCAAGCCAGTAAGCAGCACTGCTCCATGGTCTCTGCATCAGTTCTTGTCTCCAGGTAATCCAGGCAGCTGCCTGAGCTCCTGCCCTGGCTTCCCTCTTTCCTCCTCAGGTTGCTTTTGGTTTTTACCACAGCCACAGGAAAGCAGAGTAGGACACTGATTCTCAGTTCGTTGCTCTTTTGCTTCTCAGGTTGATTTTTACCAACTGTGAATATCTTATCCATGAACATATTTAGCTCTGTCTACTCTTTGGTTGTTGTTTCTCTCTCTCTCTCTCTCTCTCTCTCTCTCTCTCTCTCTCTCTCTCTCTCTCTCTCTCATTTTGTGTGTGTGTGTGTGTGTGTGTGTGTGTGATGAATCAAAGGTGTCATGCACACTAAGTACCTACTTAAGTATTGAGCTATTATACTATAAAACCTATGTTTGCCATTTTTCCCCTTGAAATGCTTGGGATGGAACCCCCATGGAAGGGAATTACTTCTGCCACTGAGCTACATCTTCAGCCCTGAAGTTTTGAGACAGGCTCTCCCTATGAACTCATGACCCTTCTGCCCTCAGGGTGCTAAGATCACAGGCATGTATGGCTTACCCCTTCTTTTTTTCTCTTTCCTTTTTATGGGCAGCAGTAGAGAGTGGATTGTAGCTGAAGTTTTCCTGTGTCCCACCTGGCCCATGGTCAGGACAAATCTCTCTCACCTGCCAGTCCTGCAGCTGCTTGGACCCAAGTAAACACACAGAGGCTCATATTAATTAAAACTGTATGGCCTAATAGCTCAGGCTTCTTGCTAGCTAGATCTTACATCTTAAATTAACCCATTTCTATAAATCTATACCTTGCCACTTGGCTCGTAGCTTACCAGTATCTTTACATCTTGCTTCTTGTGGCAACGGCTGGCAGCATCTCTTCACTCAGCCTTCCTGTTCTCAGAATTCTCCTCTCTGCTTGTCCTGCCTATACTATACTTCCTGCCTGGCTACTGGCCAATCAGCATTTTAATTTATCAACCAAATCAGAGCAACACATTCACAGCATACAGAGCGATATCCACAGCAGTGGATGTTTGAGACAGGTGTCTTGCTCATCCCTGCTGGCCTCAAACTCAGTGTACAGGGAAGATTGCCTGGCACTCATGATCCTCCTGCCTCCACCTCCCAAGACCTGGGTCACAGGCATGCTCCAGCAGGTTCAGTTTTGCGGCGTTTGTTTGTTTTTTGTTGTCTTGTTTTTTAAAGTGTCCTAGAAGTTATTTAGGCCATAGCAAGATGCAAAATGATGACAGGCAATATCAATATTTTATCAGCCAGGTATCTCATAACACCTTAAAATAACTTATAGGATACCCCTGTGCTTTCCACTGCTAAAGGGGGGCTGGAAGAACTTCAGTTCAGACACTAAACAGAGAGGAATCTCAGAAACTCACAACCTATCAAAGTGAAGGAAATTAGTGACTAGGGAGAGCTCATCCCTAAAGTGGACATGTACGTTATACCCCTCCCACCAAAACTGAAAAAACATCAAGGAAGAAGGATTAGAAAGACTGTAAGAAGCAGAGATTGAGAAGAATTGCTGGGAAACAGTATCTTCTGGATATGACAGGGCCCTTGTAGCCATGAATTCATAATGGCTGTAGTTGCATACACAAGACCCTATACAAGATCAGTCTATTCAAAACCCCATCCTCAGCTGAGCAGCTAGTGGCAGTCAATGTCTGCCTGCCGAGGGAAGGAGAATCAGTTTTCTTTGGGGAGGTGGCCCCTGGTAAGCTGTCCAAGCTCCAGTAGATGCCTCTAAGCCTGTGCATATATGGACAGCCCTAATTGGATACAGTTGATTAAAAAGAGGAGTATTCTTGTACACATTTCCCAGCGGTCATGCGTGTATCTCTATGATAGGAAAGACAATGTGGAATGTCAGTCGCAGACTTCACACATCTTCAGGGTTACGCCGTTATGCAAATATTTTCCAAAGAAGCTGGTTCCTTGCTGTTCTTTTTTGTTTTTCTACTACCTTTTTGTTATTGTCATTGTTCCAGGAATCTGTGTTTTACTCTTTTAAAATTTTATTTTTACTCTGTAACCTGATGTGATGTGATGTGATGTGATGTGTGTGTGTGTGTGTGTGTGTGTGTGTGTGTGTGTATGTGTGTGTGTGTGTGTGTGTATGTGTGTGTGTGTACATGTGTGTATTAAAAACTTGAAACAGACGCTTACTTGCTTGGAACTATTTTATGATTTTTATCTTTTCTGCCTAGCTGTGTCTTTCTCCAAAACCTGAAGTCCTCTGCAGAAGTGATTCCAGCCCTTCAGAGCCGCTGTGCACTTCCAGAAGCCATGGTAATGGACACTGACCCTTCTCTGCCTCAAAGTGCATGATCCTGTGGTTGAACAAGGTTTCGAATAGCAATTGCCATTTGTAAATAAGAATGAAATAAATTCTACAAGTTTTTACTAAGCAACTACCATCAGATTCTTCTAGACTTAGACCTGACCTCTGTGCAGACTAAACGGATCCCATCTGTCATCTTCTCTGGGAGGCAGTGGGCTTGACTTCCTACCTGAACTGTAACAACATGTGTCATTTTCCTTGGTTGGGGTTTTGCTTGAGACAGATTTGTGATCTTCTGCCTCAGGTTTAAAATTCTGTGCCCAGCTGATTTGGTTTTTGGTGTTGATTCTTGTAGCAAATCCAAGGCCTTGGCAATGGTAAAGCACTCTAGGAGCGAGATACATCCCTGGGCCATGGATGTGCTTTGTGAACAAAAGCAAATGCAAAATCGTAAAATCAGAAAACCTATTTTTCTGGTATGGAAGTTGAGTGTCCATTCCATAGCTATACAAACTGCCTCACACTGAGGTTGTACGATAGGTGGGCTATGGCTGTCATCTCGCAAAGCAAAACCAAAGCTGGGCATCATGCTTCATGTCTGGAAGCTAACACTCTCAGTTGAGGCAAGAAGATTGCTGTGAGTTCAGGATCAGCCTGGATGATAGTATAAAGCTGCATCTCAGAAGACAAAAACAAACCAACAACAAACAGGAAAAAAGAAGCAAAAGGCAGTGAAAACCAGAAAGATAAGCAACTTTGGGTTTACATGGTATGTGCATGGTATCTGTGAACTTAAACATGACATTGCAAGAGCTGGAGATGTCACTCAGTTGGTGGAATGCTTGCGATGTTTATAAGGCATTAGGCCCTCAATGATAATGTAATGCCCCAGTATTATGCAAACTTTGATTTAATAAAGGATTTCTCTTTCAAAAGAGCACCACAGGTGAAAGCAATCACAAGGATCCAGTGGCCGTTCACTCTACGGTGGCCGGTAAGAACTTGAAAGCAACATGGGATTGTGTGTATTTGTACGTAGGGATTTGAAAGGAAAGTGTATTTATAATTGTCCAAGGAGCTCCTAGTGAGGAGAGCACTGACATGGAGGGAACTGTGGGTGAGAGAGTGTCAGCAATCCTGTGACATCTTGAGAGTGAATGCAGAACTACTACTGACAGAGGTCCTTGTGTGAGATCCAAACCAGCCAGTCTTAAAGGCATCCTGCAGCAAGCGGGATTCCTGAGATCTTAAATGGCAAGTTAGGATGTCACGATGTCTAAATCCCTGTCAAATGAGGAATCTTAGACTTTCCCCCCACACATTCTGATGCTTTTGATGGATCTGAGAGGATCCTGAGGAGGGGGATGGGTGTCTGGGAAGTGGAGACTCCTGATCCACCCTTAGCAGACAAAGCAAAATAATCACATTATGATGAGAAATGTGAAGGTGCACCTCCCTCTCCCCCTCCTCTCCACAGACCTGGCTCAGAGTCCAACCCAGTGGTTTCAAGAGGCAAAGAGTCTGAGTGAGCAGCTGAGAGGAGCCTACACCAAGGCCGCTTTCCGCCACATCAATCTGCCAGAGGTGTGTTCCGGCCTCGGCACTGACCACTTGCTTGGTTGTGACCTGTCCATGGTTTCAAAGCACATCAGCAGGCCAGTGCAAGAGGCCTCGATGCTTCCTGAGGTCCTCAGCAATCTCAACTCCGTCATGTGTGTGGAGGGGGAAACTGGCAGTGGGAAGACAACCTTCCTGAAGAAAACAGCTTTTCTCTGGGCATCAGGATGCTGTCCCCTGCTGAACAGGTTCCAGCTGGTCTTCTACATCTCCCTTGGTTCCACCAGACCAGACCAGGGGCTGGCTGACATCATCTGTGGCCAACTCCTAGAGGCAGGAGGATGCATCAGTGAAGTGGGCCTGAGCAGCATCATCCAGCAGTTAAAACACCAGGTGCTGTTCCTGTTGGATGACTATCATGGGATGGACTCACTGCCCCAAGCCATCGAAACCCTGATTACAAGAAACTACCTGACCCGAACCTGCTTATTGATCACTGTCCATACAAACAGGGCCAGGAACATCCGCCCATACCTAGATACAATTCTAGAGATCAAAGAGTTTCCCTTCTATAACACTATCTCTGTATTACGGAAGCTATTCTCACATGATCTAACCCGTGTGGAAGAGTTTATAGTTTACTTTGTAAATAATGAAGATTTACAGGGAATTCACAAAACTCCTCTCTTTATGGCAGCAGTCTGTACTGACTGGTTTCAAAATCCTTCTGACCAGTCCTTTCATGATGTGGCAGCTTTCAAATCCTATATGAAATACCTTTCCTTAAATCACAAGGCTACACCTGAGCCTCTCAAGGCCACTGTGTCCTCATGTGGCCAGCTGGCCTTGAGAGGCCTTTTTTCATCTTGCTTTGAGTTCAGTAGTGATGACCTCTCAGAAGCAGGTGTTGATGAAGATGAAGATCTGACCACCTGCTTGATGAGCAAATTCTCTGCCCAGAGACTGAGACCTGTCTACCGGTTCTTAAGTCCTTTGTTCCAAGAATTTCTGGCTGCCATGAGGCTATCTGAACTCCTGGCTTCAGAAAGGCAGGAAGACCAAGATCTGGGACTTGATTATTTGAGAAAAATTAATTCACCCATGAAGGCTATAAACTCCTATAACATATTTTTGAACTATGTCTGTAGCCATCCTTCATCAAAGGCAGGGCCAAAAATTGTATCTCATTTGCTTCCATTGGTGGATGATAAAGAGTCGCTGGAGAACATGTCTGAAGATGAGGATTACATGAAGCTGCATCCAGAAACTTCCCTGTGGATGCAGTTTGTTCGGGGGTTGTGGCAGGTATCTCCTGAAGCCTTCTCTTCATTCGTTTCAGAACATCTACTGAGCATCGCTCTAAACTTTGCTTATGAAAGCAACACGGTGGCTGCCTGTTCTCCATTTATTTTGCAGTTCCTTCGAGGGAGAACACTGGCTTTGAAAGTACTGAATTATCAGTACTTTGGGGACCACCCAGAAAGCCTGCTATTATTGAGGGGTATAAAATTTTCCATAAATGGAAACAAAACAACATCTCGTGTAGATTATGCATTCAAGACATATTTTGAAAAAATGCAGCCACCAACTATTGATCAAGACTACACATCTGCCTTTGAGCATATAAATGAATGGAAGAAAACTTCTATTGCATATGAGGAGGCTGTAAAGAACCATATAAATATCCGACCCAGGGCCCTACCAGACATCAGTGCTGGCTACTGGAAACTGTCCCCCAAGCCGTACAAGATCCCTAGGCTGGAAGTTGGAGTGGACAACATGGGTCCAACAGACCCAGCACTGCTCCAGGTCCTAATGGAAGTCTTCTCAGCATCACAGAATATCGAACTCCATTTGAACCACAGCAGTGGCTTTCTTGAAAGCATCCGCTCAGCTCTGGAGCTAAATAAGACCTCTGTCACCAAGTGCTCCATGCACAGACTGGAGCTCAGCGCAGCAGAACAGGAGCTGCTTCTCAGCTTGCCTGCTCTGCAGTCTCTTGAGGTCTCAGGGACAAACCAGTTACCAGGTATCCCCGGGTGTCACTTAACCATTCTGGTTGACACCGTGTTTTCTTATTCTTAGTTTTATATGAATGAAACTTCTCAGGCACAAGGTCATAAATGTGCCTTGACAGAAGAGATCTAAGTACTTTTACTGTTTGGGACAGTGTATGATTCAGTGACAGTCCCTGAATCATAGAATGGGTTTGAAGTATCTCAGACAAAACTAGGAAAACATTAACATCAGTATTTCATCTCTCAAGGTCATTAATAAGGGAGTTTGAATTGTTTGTTGTTGATAAATGATAGAGAATCATCTGCACCCTCACTGCCTGAAAGGGGGGGGGGGTAGCTTCTCCATAATATCAGTGTAAAAGTGGGAAATAATCTCCATTTATTTCTGTCTTGAACTCTCAATTATATTGGATAGTTTTCAATGTGAGCTCCACCTACATTTCATTAAGTCTGTTTCTAGGTTTTGATATCACTGTAAATATTTAACTTTTTAATTTTATGATCATTCATAGTAAAGCTTTTGTTCTCATTGGCCTGTTAAATGATTGGACATGCTTTGCTTTTATGTATGTTGAAAAGAATTTTTTAGCCGGGCGGTGGTGGCGCACGCCTTTAATCCCAGCACTCGGGAGGCAGAGCCAGGCGGATCTTTGTGAGTTCGAGGCTAGCCTGGTCTACAGAGCGAGATCCAGGAAAGTCAGAAAGCTGCACAGAGAAACCCTGTCTCGAAAAACCAAAAAAAAAAAAAAAAGAATTTTTTTTTTTTTTTGAGATGATGTCTTCTGTAGCCCAGATTGGTCTTAACTTTATTATGTACTTGTTCCATCTCTCTCCACCTCCCCAGAAAATTACAGGGCATCCTGTCCCTGAAAAGGCATCTAAATTTAATGATAAATACCAACTCATTCTGAAAGCACTGATTAACTTTTAAGTAAACTGGCTGGAGATAAAGCTCCATTGGTTGATTTCTTGCCTAGCACAAATAGCTGGCTTTGAGCCATAGCACTTTGTCTCCAAAAACCAAAACCAAAACAAACCAAGACAACAACAACAACAACAACAACAACAAAACACCAAAATAAAATAAAACAAACATTTTGTCAAGGCATTGAGGTTCATACCCGCACTTGTAGGAATCCAGAGGGTGAGTGAAGAGGGCTGTCCTGACTTTGAGACTAGCCTGGGCTATATAATGAATGAGTCTGGACCAGCCAATGCTACAGAGTAAAATTTTGTCAAACAAAACAAAACAAACAGAATCATCATTTTTTCTGTTGCAAGAGTTCTTCTTTGTCTTGTGGATTTTAACCTAAACCTATCAAAACTCTTTATCACACATGTTTTTTTGAAAAACATTTTCTCCTGTTCTGTAGATTGTCATTGTAATGTCATCTGACACATGAACAATTGTCAATTTGATAAGGTCTATATTAGTCAGGGTCTGTATTAGTCTAGAGGAACAGAACTTATGGAATGAGTCTAGATATAAACAGAAAGGGGATTTATTAAAATGGCTTACAGGCTGTGGTCCAGCTAGTCCAACAATGGCTGTCTACCCATAGAAGGTCCAAGAATCTAGTAGTTGTTGAGTCTATGAGGCTAGATGTCTCAGCTGGTCATCAATATGCCAGAATCCTAAAGAAGTAGACTGTAATACCAGTGAATGAATGTCTTTTCTAGGGAGAGTGAGAGCAAGCAGGCAAAGAGAGAGCTTCCTTCTTCCATGTCCTTATAGAGACTATCAGGAGAGGCCCAGATTAACGATGGATCTTCCCACTCCAAAATCCAGATTAGAAGTTGATCTCCCCACTTCAAATGATCTAATTTGGAAAAAAAATCCCTCAGGTGTGCCCAGTCCATTTAGGTTTTAGTTAATTTTAAATGCAGTCAAGTTAACAACCAAGAATAGCCACCCCAGGTCCAATTTTTTTTTTTTTTGCTACTGCTTTTTATAGCATATCTAAGGATCCATCATGAAATCTAAGGTTGTGAGGACTATCTGTTTTCTTCTAAGAGTTCTATAGTTTTAGCTCTTAAGTGTGTCATTGATCCAATTTGTTACTTTTTTGTGAGTTAGAGTAAGAGTCTAACTGTGTTCTTTTACATGTACAAAACCAGTTGTTACCACGCTGTTATTGGTTGGGGAGCTGTCTTATTAATTTTGTGAGTCTGGAGAGCACCATGGAGCTTCTCCTATGCTCAATGACCAGCAGATACTGCAGACAGCAGGTTCTTCATGGATGTGCTTCCTAAACAGATGTTAGGATCTCTGAGATGTTTTGTTATGAAAATATCTAAAAATCACAGCACACTTAAGAACACCCACTCGGGACTCTTGAGTGATGGAAACTATGTGCTGCTTCCCAGATCAACTCTTCGCTAACTTGGACAAGTTTCTGAGCCTGAAAGAACTGTCTGTGGGACTAGCTGTCATACCAAATGTGCTTTCAGTCATCCCTGGAGATTTCCCAAACCTCCACCACATGGAGAAGTTATCCATCCAAACTTCCACAGAGTCTGACCTCTCCAAACTGGGTAAGAATGGCGCTTGGACCTCCCAGGTCATATTTCAGCTGGAAAAGCTACTTGGCTAATAATTGTTAGAATCATGAAATCATCATTAGTTAAAACTTCTGTGGGCCTGAGAGCATAAACTATGTCCATGGGAAGGTGTAGGAATGGCACCCTTCCTCGGAGATTGATTTGTAACTCTTGAGTCTTTACTATATGCTAAGAACTGTTCTGAGCGCTTCACAAATCCTAACACACTCCTCACACTCACTGTGTGAGGGAAGGCACTGTGACCGTTGACACTGTGCATCTGGGGAAATGAAGGCACAAAGAAAGACATTAAGTGACTGGCTCAGGTTTATTCAGCTCAGCTAGTGTATCTTCAGGCCGTTGCTGTTGTAGGCACAGCCATGCAGCTGTGTTAAGCCCGATGCTGTTCTGTGTCCTCACTCAGGGAAACCTAATCTTTCCTTCTCTTCTTCCTACATCTTTACTAAGCAAATTACAGGGCATCCTGTCCTGATGTTGCCCTGATGTTTAGGCTTTCTTTCTCTTCCTCTGAAGCCCTGCCTTCAACCTGGTACTGCACTGGATTCCCGAACTCCATTGCTGAACATGCCACCTTAACTCAAACACCTTGTTTTTCTTATCTTCCTCTCCAAAATTATTTGTAGTGTCCTTGGTTTTGGTTTCAAGCTGTTTGTACTTACACATCTGCCTGCCGAGGCAGAAGGAAATCTTATAAGTAGCAATCTGAACCCTTTCCCCCCTTTCTCCCTAGCCTAGCCTCGTGCTTGATGGACAGCTATGCAGCCATGTTTCTAAAATGCATCATTTAGCAAAATGCTTTAAAATATGATAGGCCGCTTGATTTGGTGCACACTGAACACTGAAGCCTAAGAAAAATGTCAATCTGGAGCTGACATGCAAAAGATCATCACGGTGGGGCATGGCGCTGCACACCTGTAACCCTAGCATGTGAGAAGCTAAAGGGGAAGGCTACCCCAAGTTCAAAATCATTGAATTCGAGGTCAGTCAGAGCTACACTGTAAGACTCTGACTCAAAAAAAGAAAAAAAAATCTCACTCTTGTAATACATGGCATGCCTTGTACTCTTAAAACACTGTGATAGATTCCTGTTCCAACTGGTCTCAATTAAGACTCTGTTTCTAATCAAAAGGAAAACATGTGTATCCTCACTGATTAATCTTCAAAAACTAGGTATTCCGTACATGAGGGCAAATGCCACTGCCTCTTGACTCTCAGCAATCTAACTTTTTAAAAGCTCCAAACCACCATCTATTGTGATGACTCGATTATAAAGTATCTCCCACAGGAAAAACAAAACAAAACAAAAACAAACAAACAAAATAGTTTGAGGGTGCATGAGCAAGCACAAACACAAATAGATACATATAATAAGGTATTTTTAAATAAAAAATAAACTTCAACAATTTATGCTTCAGAATTATCCTTCCTTTTATGTTACTTTGTATAGAATTTTCATTACATAAATGCAATATACAAATACAGAGACATTAGGGTTCAAAGGTAAAGGTGGCTTTTATGCATTTGGTCTCAGATTCATGGTCTCAGATTCATGGTGTGTGTGTGTGTGTGTGTGTGTGTGTGTGTGTGTGTGTGTGTGTGTGTGTGTGAACGACAGTGAAGTCTGTATTGTTTGGGGACTCTCTTGGAACCTGTGACCAAAAACTTGAAGGGAAGTTTACTGTGTCTGGTACTGGGGTTATTGTTAGTCTATGGTGAGCCCCTATTTGAACTTTGAGAGGTGAAAACTGATCCAGAGAGCATCGGGAGCTTCTCCCACGTTATCTGTTCGTTAGTCCATTGCAGAATCCAGTGTGGCCTGAGCACTAGCTCAGTGCGTCACTGCCTGTTAAATTGCTGTGGCTGAGCTGGTGGATTGAGAGGCCAATTCTGATGGGAATTTGTAGCCTTCTCTAGTTTCTGAATATCCTTCGTCTTTTCCAGTTAATTTGATCCAGAACTCTCCAAATCTTCATGTTTTCCACCTGGAATGTGATTTCTTTTGGAACTGTGAGTCTCTCATGACTGTGCTTGCTTCCTGCAAGAAACTCAGAGAGATTGAGCTTTCTGGACAATGCTTTGAAGCCATGCCATTTGGTAAGAACTATATAACATTGATTTTAGATGCTCCTGTGCACCAAGTCATTAAATACTCTAGAATTAAAAGGCTGCTGGTGTCACAGAAACAGTGACAGCACCTGACTTCAGTGTGTCTTTCACAACAATGAAGTGCATCTGTGTCTACCACGTAACCATTTCATTTTCAGAATTGTTTCCTCTGCTTAGTCATAGTAATTCAATCTGAATATTATATCACCTTTCATCTTACTTCAGTGGTATTCCTCTGTGTCACAGGAAATGTATCTGAACTAACTAAATTTTATTTTCCTTTTCCTAGTCACTATTTTGCCAAATTTTGTTTCTCTGAAGATACTGAATCTTAAACGCCAACAATTTCCAGATAAGGAAGCATCAGAAAAGTTTGGTAAGTTTATAAAACAGTGTTTCTTTATTCTTTATCTCCCCTGCCCCCTGCCCCCACGTCCTCCTCCTTCTCCCCTTCCCCCACTCCACCTTCTCCAGTGAACCCACAACAGAGCAAGCTGTGAATGGTTGTCTCTTGATTATTGGTTAGGGGGTTTCTGTTGCTGTGATAAAACACCATGACCAAAAGCAGCTTGGGGAGCACAGAGTTTATTTCAGTTTTCAACTCTCAGGTCCCACTCCATCACTGAGGGAAATCAGGGCAGAAACCTGAAGGCAGGAACTGAAGCAGAGGTCTGCTGTTTGCTGGCTTTTTCCTCTTGGCCGGCTCAGCCTGCTTTCTTATAGCCCCCGTGGTCACCTGTCCAGGGGTGGAACCACCCACAGTAAGCTGGGCCCTCCCACGTCAGTTATCAATCTAGAAAATGCACTTCAGACAGGCCCACAAGACTATTTGGTGGAGGCATTTTCTCAGTTGAGCATCCCTCTTCCAAAATGACTCTGGCTTGTGTCAGTTTGATGTAAAACGGCCAGGAACAACATCCATGGTGATTGGTTCTGGGACTGCTGCTGATGCCAACATTTAGAAGATGCTCCAGTCTATGATATAAAAGGTGTAGTGTTTGCATGTGACCCTATCGTCCATGTACGTCAAACCATCTCTGAATTGCTTGCAATGCCTAATACAAAATGTGCTACATAAACAGTATTGTGTTGTTCAAGGAATATGACAAGGGGGAAATGCCTGTGTATGTTTGGACATAATTTTAAAATTATTTCAGGTCTAGCAAAATGGCTCAGAGCATTACAAGAGCTTGCTGCCAAGCTTGAAGCCACTTCCTCCGCAGGACATGCAGAGTAGGAGGAGAGAACTAACTTAGGCATCTTGTCTTCTGACCTCCACACACACTCTCTCACACACACACACACACATACACACACACACAATTAATTAAATGTAATAAAAATTGAACCTGTGGTGGGTAGAATGTGCTGATACAGAGGGTCAGCTGGACCAGCTATGCTGGTCGTTAGGAGGACACCATAGTGATGCTCAGTATCACCCCCACATGCCATCATTGTTGGTCACACACATCCTGACACTTGATCTCATTAAATGCAAAGTTCTCAGACTCACTGACCTCTTAGGAGAGAATTTGGTCATAATAGCACTGTGTAATGTCATTGTCTGGCATCCACTCCAAATATGCAATGTCCTTTTTGTTTCAATGGTTTCTGGAATACATATTAAACTTCTATTTAAGGTTAAGAAAATATGACACAGAATCAACAAAATGATAAATATAAGAAGAGTTTAGGTACTTTGACCTAAGAACTGATTGTGAAAATAATGGACTTTCATGGGAAACACTCTAACAAGTTAAATAAAGGGAAGGAAGAGAATGCAGATATGGGGTACAGAACTGTATCTTCACAATGTTTCTCAAACTTACCATGCATAAAGAGAGCCTGAGTTTACCCTTGCTTTCTCTTCTCTTCATATAGAGACAGGAACAGGGTGTGTGTGGATGCACGCATGTGGGTTTTGTTTGTGGGGAGATTAGATGGGTAATTCAGTGTGTTAAAATATCAGGGACAGAATCAGGCACCCAGATGATGACTAGCATGTATCACATGTTAATTGTGCCAAAAAGACATGGAGTATAATGAGTGCTAAGTCTCTGCACTGTGGAACAAAGAATTTACATGCATTTAAAGGGCAGAATGGGACAGCCAGATGGATTCCTCAGAGGGATTAGAAGAGGTGGGATGGCAAGGTAGGGGGCCAAAGTCTCTCTGCAGTTAGGACAGTGACCTGCAGTGGAGGCCCTGCTTTAGAAGAGAGAGCAGAAATGGAAAGACAGCCTGGACCTGTGTGAAGAGTCAGGTTGGGGGAGGATGGAGGATCCAGCTGCAGAGAGCAGCAGGGAGCAGCTGTGTGCTGACCCCTTCTCCTTTCCTTGGAGAGCACAGTGACAAGGAGGGCCTCTGCTGGGTGGGGCCTCCTAGACTGCAGGATGTCTAGGCCATCAGCTGCTCGCTCATGCTGGGACTACTACTGAGGATGGCTTTGTGGTGTCTCCCACAGCACAGGCTCTGGGTTCTCTCAGGAACCTGGAGGAACTGCTCCTTCCCAGTGGGGACGGGATTCACCAAGTGGCCAAACTGATTGTCTGGCAGTGTCTGCAGCTTCGGTGTCTCCGAGTTCTTGCCTTTAAGGAGACTTTGGATGACGACAGTGTGATGGAAATCGGTGAGTTTCCCTCAGAGAAGGGTTTCCCCCTGTGTGGAAGCAGTGGCTTCATTGGAGCTGTCTGCTGCGAATGTCTAGAATGGGAAAGTCTTCCAAACTGTTCCTCATTTCCACCAGCACACTGTTTCATGTCGTGTCGTTCTGCAGATAGGTTCATCCCGTTCTGACTGGAGGTCAACAGCCTCCTTTTTTTAAGTGGGGTTATAGAAGCCGTCCACCTGTGGTTTGTTTCCCCAGTACTGGAAATTGAAATCAGTGCCCCAGACACACACTAGATCAGTGATCTACCCCTGCACCATGGACCACTAAATCTGTGTTCTGACAGTTGGTGTTCCATACACCTGGCAGATCCTCTGTTAGTCAATTGAATATTGACAGTATGTAAGCAAATGTGCAACAAGCTGAAACGTAGAACTGGATCAATGTTCCTGTTCACATTGTAAGTGTAGAGTCAACCAGATGAGGACGCAGACCTGTGTGCATTCTGCAACTGTGCCCTCCTCTTCCTACACAGACAACTGCTGCACTGCTTTCTTTACCATAGAGTCATTTGCCACAGACTCCTCATGGAAGGGGGTTCTGTGCAATAGACACTGTTTTGTCTGAAATATGTGTGTGCTTCCTATTCCTAGTAACACATGTGACCAGAATGATTGATTTCACTGCTGTGTGTCATTCCATTATTTGACTGATCTGCACTCTGTGTGTCCATTCACTGGGTACTTGAGTTGTTTCTAGTAGTTGGTATCTATGAAGTGCTTCTAAGAACTTTCTTACACAGTATCCATGTTTAATAATGTCTAGGGTGAAATTTCTGAGTTACCCTACATAGATTGATTAAAAGTGTGTTTTGGGTTAGATGTGTCACATGCCTGTATTTCAACACTTGGGAGGTTAAAGAGTTCGAGGATTTCTTAGTTCAAGGCTAGGCTGGGTTACCTGAGACTTTGAGCACAAACAATTAAAGAACAAACGATCAAACCTCTCCATGGTGTTTACCCATTTTCACCCTCACCAGAGTTTGCTTCATGTTCTGGCTCTGGGAGGTTTTGTCAATCTCTTACAGTTAGGCACTCTGATGATTCTCGTGGGTAGAAAAACCCAAACCTGAAGCTGGATTAGATCTTCACTTCCAAAGTCATGGGTCCATGGCCATTGAGAATTCACCATGTTTTGGCTCCATTTCCTTCAGAGCCCCTGCTCTCAGTAACCAGGGAGTCCCTTCTGGGCTATAGGTGGAAGACACTGTAGTAGCCAGTGAGAGGACAAGCTGTTAGGACTGTCACCTTCTGTACTCTGCAAAAATGGAGACGCTGTTGCCACAATTTCTCAGTTTCTTCTACTGTAACTTTCCTTGACGTATGTCCTTCTGTGAGACAAGAAGAGAAGTCCACATTGCCATGGCAGTCAAAGCTGTGTGTGCTCAACTTCCTGACCTCTGCTTCCTCCAAACTGCTTGTGCTTTGGACAGGTGGTTCCCTATCAACCAAGCAGCCATTTAGTGCTTTCAAAGAATGGTCTCTAAAACGTCATGTTGAGCATTTCCCACTTTCATCATGGTGGGTGTGGGAGTGGTACCAATAACTTGTCACCATTACTGAAATCGTCAGGATTTTTTTTTTCATAAATGTTTCTTTTCCAGCCAAGGGAGCAACCAGTGGAGGTTTCCAGAAACTTGAGACCTTAGATCTTTCAATGAACCACAAGATTACAGAGGAAGGGTACAGACATTTCTTTCAAGCCCTGGACAACCTGCCAAGCTTACAAGTGCTCAACATCTGCAGGCGAATCCCAGATTCCATCCAAGTTCAGGCCACAACTGTCAAGGCTCTGAGTCAGTGTGTGTCCCGACTGCCCAGCCTCACCAGGCTTGAGATGCTCAGTTGGCTCCTGGATGAAGAGGACATGAAAGTGATTAATGCTGTGAAGGAGAGACACCCTCAGTCCCAACGCTTGACTGTCTTCTGGAAATGGATAGTGCCCTTCTCTCCTGTCATTCAGAAGTAAAGGATGCAGCCAAAGGCTACCAGTGGTTCTAGAAACCCAATTTTCCAATGCATCTCACTTTAGCTGAGGGTGGGATAACGCCAGAATTTAGGACACTGAGGCAGGAGATACCAGCTTGGGTTATATAGTAAGACCATGCCTCCAAACCAAAACCAACACCAAACCATTTTACTAGTAATTGCATATACAAGACTGCTTATTAACTATGGAAGGCTGATAATTTTTCCATTATTTTTATTTTATATGGATGAGTGTTTTTGCCTGCATTTATGTCTGTGCATCACATGGGTGTCTAGTGTCTGCAAAGGACCAAAAAGTGTATTGAATCCCCCAGGGTCTGGAGTTATAGATGGTTGAGTGTCTCCATTTGGGTGCTGGGAACTGTACCTTTGTCTTATAAAAGCAACAAGTACTCCTAATCCCTGAATCACCTCTCCAGCCCAAGTCCAGTGATTTATTAAAATAGACCATCACTGAACTTAGGAGCTATGATGAGCTGTCCTTGTATGGTCCTTCTGTCTAAAGACTAGAGCTTCACTAAGGTTCATACCTAGAACCCTCCATTGTCAAGGTCAACAGGAACAGGCAGGGAACGGAGCACTGATCTATGTAAAAGCCACAGTATTAAGGAGTATTTGATGGAGGTAAGAAATGGCCAGTTTAAGGATGAGTCAGTCCCACCCATGGTGAAGCACGAGCTGACTTTAGCACAGGATGCAGAGGACTCTTTGCAGAGATGCTCTTTAGTCTTTGCAGGGCTTCTGTAGAGTCACCAGCCTTGGTGTGGCCATGCTTGCTCACACCATCTCCCATCCATTGTCGATGTGAGGAAGAAAGTGGGCTTAGAGAAAACTGCTTTTGTTCCAGAGGCTTTTGAGATCTTTGCATGTGATGTAGTGGTCTCATGGTTTTCTTAGGAATCCACGGTACTTGGTATATTTGATTCTATCTAGTAAGCACTTCTAGATGTATTCATGTGGTAGTTTGAATAGGAATGATCCCCATAGGCTCATATATTTGAATGCTTGGTCATCAGAGAGTGACACTATTAGGAGGTAATGTGTCACTGCGGGGATTGTTTCTTGTTGTACAGACGTGGGGAACATCAGAAACAACCAAACCACTGCAGTTCTGATTTAACCTTTAAACTGCTTCCCAAATTACTTCCGGTAGCCTTTGATCCCTGAAACAATGTAAGCCCCACTCTGCTAAAAGACCAAGGGCTAACCCTCGATGCGCTGATCCTTGACCTTCTTATATCTGTCAATAAAGCAAGCAGGGGTGTGTGTGTGGAGTTTTGCACAGGTCCTGACAGCCATAAACAAAATTATAATCCCAAGATTCTCAAAATCAAATGTTTTGCTAGCATCTGCATCAGCTGAGTCCAGAGAGTTCGCAGTAGTAGGAGTATATGTTTTCCTTCGTCAAGTATTTCTGTAGATAAAACCATTTACTGAATGCAACTCAAAATATAAATCATACATGCTTGATATAGATACCAGTCAGCGTTATATAGTGAGTCTCTCTCCAATATATATACTCTCCAAATAATATGTATTTATAATATATGTAATTATATATTATTTAATATATAGCTATCTATCCATATATATTATTTGGACAATAATACCTCAGAAATTAACCAATGCTCCCTCAGAACTTTACATGTTTTACTCTTGATTTGGACACTGTAATTTTAGAAAGTCTACTTTAATTCAGTATGGAGATGATTTTACTGCTTAATTCTTCATCTATGAAGGACTCAGCATTTGACTCAGGGTTTCTGTTACAATGGGCTTATCAGGGTCTAAGACTCACTTCAATAAGCTTTACTTCTGAGAAGAAATGGTGCCTTATCCAGGCTGTGACATCAGCAAAGGAAGTCTTCAGAAAAAATTAATATCATCCAACTTTATCTTCAGACATCGATGGAAGACACACATAAGATTCCTTGGACTTGCATGCAGTGTATCGAGGGCTGTCTGTCCCCAAGTTTGGACTAACAGGTCCACAAACTAAAAAGAACACACTGTCAACTTCTCTTCAGGAAACAAAACACAAGGCCCTTGATAAACTTAAAAGCACATCGTAAAGTCCTCCTGTGTTAGGACTCCCTAACTCTAAATCCTTTGTATTGCCCGAGAATGAAACAAACAAGCCTGAGAAGTCCCCACATTCAAACACAGGCAGGAAAAACACCCAGCCTCACATGGGACAGATCTAAAAGATCTGACTCAAATCTCCCACAGAGTCAGGACGGCACAACCATTTATCTCTTTGGTTGGCTAAATATTGGCTTTAGGATCTTGGTTTGGGATCCTGTCAGACTCTGGGTCCTATCTCCCTGCTGATTCTGGTGAAAACATTTGTTGAGCCCCATGGTTTCTTAAGAGCCTTAAAGCTTGTCAGTAGCCATTAGCTCAGCAAAAGATCCACCCCACCGCCCGCCAGTACTGACAGACAAAAGCTGCCTGTTGTGGCACTTGGTTTAAAAAATCTATTAAAATTCCCCTTTGTTATCTGCAAGGGCCTGAACAGGTACCTACCGGGGCAGAGAACTAGTTATAATCCGGTCACATTCTCAGATCACCCCAGAGCGGGAGACTTTATAACATAGTAACAATTGGGGCCACAGTTTGTACACCCCTAGGCCATGCCAACTCCTAAACATAGCCACAGAACAGAAACTAAGCCATTTTTAATTTCCTTGAAATGCAAGCGCTCAACAAATACACTCAAGCTTTTTCTTGAGAGTATGACGAAGTTAAAACAGCTAGTTTTGGGCAAACGAGCTTGTAAAGCTCCATTTACTTCAAAAGGATACATGTTTTTAGGGCCCATCACAAGACATCACTGAATTTCTTCCTTTAAGCTCTGTAAAGTGTGCAGTAACTCTTGACAGCCACCCTTGGCTTCTCACAGTCACACACTGTTCTGTGTGTACAATGCACTCTTTTTTTAAACGATGTGATTTTATCTGTACAGATCCTACGGTGCCTTTCTCACCGCATGGTGGGTCTTGGAGTAACTCCTTTTCATCTCTCCTCCAAGAGAAAGGAGGAGCTTGCGACCTAGATCTGAAGGCTCCTGTGTGGTTTCTTTGAAGACACCCAGTGCTCAGCTCGAGAAAGTAGACGGGACCTCCATCCTCTCCTTCACCGCACTAAGAGAGCACCAAAGCATTTGTGGCCAAGTCTCATTTATTAGGCAGGGAAAGGACAATTCTAAATAGAAAGGCAAGAAAAGCTGTATGGGGAAATGAGTCCATGATCCGGCTGTAAAAGATACCAAGCCTTTGAAAATCTGTAATGGAGACAAGGCCAAACCATGCAAGACATACTTAAAATATAAAACTGTAACAAAGGTGAAGAGTCTCCAAATGCTTCGCGAAACAAGAAATAATATTTCTTTCTCAACTTCTTTGGCTCAAAGGACAAAAAGGACCACAGCAATTAACCTTGGGTTTCTCAAGTCACTACTGCCTGTTGATAAACAGACAGATTCGACTGCAATGAAAATGTCTCCCTAGCTAGGGTCGGCTCACTTGAAGGAGGGTGAATTTGAGATGGATTCTGTAAGGCTAATTGAGCGAGGTCAGTCGAGGTCAGGACTGAGAAGGGCTTGCAATTAATTAAACGCTCCCCAGGTGCTGGGAAGCCACTGCAGTTAGTGATGCTGGGCAGCTGACTGGTGTGAATTGGCAGACATTGATCAGGAAATTTGACTTTAGCTAGCCCACCCCAGACCCTGGGAAGGTTACAGTGTGTCAACGGTAGGCCCTCCGGGTCTTGCAAGACTTTGATGAGAGTGGCTGAGTTGTGATAAATATAGATTTTTTTCTGACTGCAAATATAGTCGTCCATTCAGGGAAGAATGAATACTCTTGGGTCCCTTCCTTGGGCTAACAGACTATGGAAATAATGGTCATCAAGCAATTGGAATTTTCTGGGGACTCTTATGCTAGAAGAAACTTGTCTCCTAGAAAGAGATGTTACTCAGTTTTGACAATGTGCCAGACCACCTTGCAGGAGACACTGGATCTGAGACAAGAGGGTTGGGGGAGCACCCCTTCAAAGGGACTGCTTAATTATGCAGTCCTCCTGCCTTGTATTTAACCCTAAACCTCAAGTAAGAACCTGAAGATGGACATGGGTGGGTCACTGGACCTCTTTGTTCCCTTCCCAGTGTGATCCTGGTGACTACCCTTTCTCTGTTTAAGTGACCTACTGAGGGCAGGAGGCTTCGCCTACCTTATGGGGCCACCAGGGCCCAGGTTCTGACTGTAACTCTGATAACAGGAAGAGTCCATGGGTTTGCAGTCCATAGGCAAATGACTGTATAAGTCACTGTGTGTGTTACTTGTTTTATGGACAGTCCCTTTTAAACACAGCCCCCGTTACTCAGCAGATATGTCTTAATATTGACTAGTGAGTTGTTTCATTCATGTTCTTTAATACTAACTTATAGAAACTATATCTACCTATTCATATATATCTATATCTATATATCTATATATATGTTGGGTTTTTTTGAAACAGGGTTTCTTTGTGTAGCCCTGGCTGTCACTCTGTAGACCAGGCCAGCTGTGAAGTCACAGAGAACCACCTGCCTCTGCCATCCAAGTGCTGGGATTAAAGGCGTGCTCCACCACAGCTCAGCCAGAAGCCATATTCTTTCCTGAAGTTTTTTTTTTTAAAGTAATATTAACCCAGGAACATGAATATTTTATTTTATTTTATTTTTTATTTTTTTTTTTTTTTTTTGGTTTTTCGAGACAGGGTTTCTCTGTGTAGCTTTGCGCCTTTCCTGGAACTTGCTTTGGAGACCAGGCTGGCCTCGAACTCACAAAGATCCGCCTGCCTCTGCCTCCCGAGTGCTGGGATTAAAGGCGTGCGCCACCACCGCCCGGCTCATGAATATTTTATATGCATATACCAATAAAAAAATGAATGATGGTGCCGTGGAGTAAGCAGTCTTTTGTTCAGTAGTTGTCTGAGAACAGTTTCTTTCTGCAAAAAGTGTCTGTCCTTTTTGAGGAATCTTTTTTTTTAATCTGCTTTGAATTTATGATTATCAAACCTAGCTTTTTTTTTTTTTTTTTTAATTTATTTTAATTTATTTTGCAATACAATTCAGTTCTACATATCGGTCACGGATTCCCTTGTTCTCCCCCCTCCCGTCCCCCTAGCTTTAAAAAAAAAAAAACTAAGGGGGCATGTCACTGCAGAGATGGCTCAGCCGTTAAGATCACTAGCTGCTCTTCTGGAAGACTACGGTTTGATTCTCAGCATCCATATGACTGCTTACAACCATCTGTAACTCCAGCTCCAGAGGATCCATTGCCCCCTTCTGGCCTGCATGGGCACTGGGAACACACGTGATGCAAACATACCCATAGGCAAACCATAGGGAGGGAGGGGGGAGAGAGGGGGGAGAGAGGGGAGAGAGGGGGGAGAGAGGGGGAGAGAGGGGGGAGGGGGAGGGGGAGAGAGGGGGGAGGGGGGAGAGGGGAGAGGAGGGGGAGGGGAGAGGAGGGGGAGGGGGGAGAGGAGGGGGAGGGTTTCAAATGTTCAAGCCAGGCCCAGTCTCTCTCTTCCTGCTGCCTGCTGATCTGGCTTTAGAGCTCTTAGCTACTTCTCCAGCACCGCACCTGCCTGCATGCACGATTTTTCCTGCCATTATGAAAATGGACTAAATCTCTAATACTGTAAGCTAGCTCTAATTAAATGTTTTCCTTTATAAGATTTGCCATGATCATGGTGTCTCTTCACAGCAAAAGAGTATTGACTAAGACAATGAATTCACTTGATAATGATTTAGCATATCACAATATATATTGAAACATCACTATGTACCTGCCTGATATACCTCAAATATGCATATTGCTGCAGGATATTTGATCACACTGTGAACCCTGAGATCGCATTATTTACTTGAGAAACCTGTTTCTAGGTGTGGTATGGTTCATCCCTAGCTCATACCTTTAATCCAAGAGCCTTCTGCTTGACTATTGTAAATAGGATTAAATAAAGTCAACCACAGGTCAAGAGGTGGAGCAAGGAGGGCTGAAGGGATGTCTCAGTGGTTAGGGGCACTGGCCGCTCTCCCAGACCTGGGTTCAATTCCCAGCACCCACATGGCAGCTCACACTTGTTTGTAGCTCCAGTTCCAGGGGGTCTGACACACTCACACAGAAATACATGCAGGCAAAACACCAATGCACATAAAATAAAAAGAAATCATTAAAAAAATTTAGCCGGGCCAGACGGTGGTGGCGCACGCCTTTAATCCCAGCACTTGGGAGGCAGAGCCAGGAGGATCTTCGTGAGTTCAAGGCCAGCCTCGTCTACAGAGCGAGATCCAGGAAAGGCGCAAAGCTACACAGAGAAACCTTGTCTCGAAAAACCAAAAAAAAAAAAAAAAAAAAAAAAAAAAGAGGTGGAGCAAGTAACCAGCTGACAGGAGGTGAACATAGGAAAAATGATAGCGAGTAAGAGGGAGTCAGGAGGATGGATAGAGAGACACACAGGAAGTAGAAGGGAGGGACATTCAGTGTGAGGAGTTTTGTTTGAGACAGCATAGGAGAAAGCTCTCATCTGTGGAAGATCAGCTGGTGCTTTCTCTGCCTCTCTGGACTAGCAGAAGTGGGGAAAAAAAACAAGAGTAAAAGGAGTGAGAACTTTGTTGTGTTTTGAGGTGGGATCTATGTAAGGTGGTTATTAAGGCAAAGATCCCATTGGATCTAGTGGCTTTTTAGGATAGATCAAAAACGGTCCATGTGCACAGACACATGATAAGTAAAATCAATTTTAGAAAATTAAAAAGAAAGAAGATGACAAGGAGGAGAGTGTGGGAGGTGGTATTCACATACAGATGTTAGTGGAGGAGAGTGTGGGAGGCAAGTATTCACATACAGATGTTAGTGGAGGGGATTGTGGGAGGCAGGTATTCACATACAGATGTTAGTGGAGGAGAGTGTGGGAGGCAGGTATTCACACACAGATGTTAGTGGAGGAGAGTGTGGGAGGTATTCACACACAGATGTTAGTGGAGGAGAGTGTGGGAGGCAGGTATTCACACACAGATGTTAGTGGAGGAGAGTGTGGGAGGCAGATATTCACACACAGATGTTAGTGGAGGAGAGTGTGGGAGGGAGGTATTCACATACAGATGTTAGTGGAGGACAGTGTGGGAGGGAGGTATTCACACACAGATGTTAGTGGAGGAGAGTGTGGGAAGGAGGTATTCACATACAGATGTTAGTGGAGGAGAGTGTGGGAAGGAGGTATTCACACACAGATGTTAGTGGAGGACAGTGTGGGAGGGAGGTGCTCACATACAGATGTTAGTGGAGGAGAGTGTGGGAGGGAGGTGCTCACATGCAGATGTTAATATAGGACACCTTATCCTGGCTTATGCTGTGCTCTGAATGTGAAAAGTCTCCTACAAGCAGTTCATGTGTCTGAGCATTTGGTTTCCAGCTGGGCTGCCATTTGGTAAGATTTTGGGACCATTAAGAGGTGGAGCCTGGTGGAGGAAGTGGGTCACTGGGGACAGGCTTGAGACTTTATAGCCTGGTGCCACTTTCTCTTCATTTTCTCTGCCTCCTTGCTGCTGATACACTGTGACCGGCTGACTTCCTGCTCCTGACACCAAGTCTCCTATGCCCCGGTGGAAATATATCTTCAAACTGTAAGTCAGAATAAACCTTGTTTTCTGTGATCTGCTTTTGTCAGAGTATTTTATCCCAGCACCAGGAAAAGTAACTACAGGTTGTTCTAGTGAAAATGAAAGCAGCTAAACAAAATCTTAGGCTGCCAAGTCATGGCCAGTTCCTTCTTTACAGGGATGGAGCACTACCCTAGGGTACTCCTTCTAGATATTGTCTGATGAGTGAGTGTGTCTGGTTTTAAAAGATTTAACTTGGCCAGGTATGGTGGCACATGCTTGTAATCTGACCACTCAATAGGCTGAGGCAGGATGATGTCTACTTTGAAGCTAATATGGGCTTTAGAGCAAAACCCTATCCCCCTAATAAAACAAAAACAAATGAAAACTTCCATTTTGCTGCAGTTTTTGCTAAATGTAGGTAGGTAGGCAAATTCCAAACTGAATGGCGTAGATAAAGCATCTTGTGAAGGGGCCAAGTCTAACCCTACCCCAAGGTGGATTTGATATTCTCTTGAGAATACTGCAATGTGTGGATTAGTCATATGCTTATACAAAGGGGATCCTAGTTTTGTCTTATCTAAAACTTTTTGATAACTTCATATCTGAGGACCGTATTTACATCATTTCCACCCTCCCCTCTCACTTCTTACCAAACTCCCTCTCAAATTCATGATCTCTTCCTTAATTATTACACACACACACACACACACACACACACACACACACACACACACACACACACACACACCTTACTGAGTCCATTTAGTGTTGATCGCATGTGTATGTGTTTAGGGCTGACCCCTTGGAATTGGACAACCTTTCGGGGCCTTGTCCCTGATGAAGAGCAATGCCCCCTCTCTCAGCAGCTATTCATCATCTCTGCCTCTTACAGAGATTAGGCCTTGTGACATTTCCCCCACCCACATTGGCATGTCAAACTGGTGTCATTCTGCAGGGCTTGTTTGGGCGACCATATTGTTGAATTTTCATGGGTGTGGCTTCCCTGTCCTGTAAATAAATATATCTTACTGAGTCAGTCTTTGGAGAGGGTCATTGGCTTTCCTGTTGGGCAGGGGTACTGATTGCTTTTCTCCCTCGGTAGCTTGCACAGACCTTCAGGTACCGTGAGAGCTAATCCTCAGGGAGAAGACTTCCAGACCTGTTTAAGCTTGATCCCGCCAAGGGCTACATACAAAGTGTGTGATGTCCAGAGCAGGAGGTTCTCGCCTTCAGGTTCTGGGAGGAATCAAGGGCAAAGGCAATAAGGATTTATTTTAAAAATATAGAACACTGGACTTATCTTTATTTATGAAGAAAATAATGGGAATGACTTACATGTTCTACATCAGGACAGTAATTAAGCCATTAAGCATTAACAAACTTTCAAAATGGAGGAGGTAGGGAGCAAGGTGACTCGGGGGGGGGGGGGGGGGGGGGGGGGGGGGGGGGGGGGTAAAAGTGCATGTCTTCTGAGCCTGATGACTTGACTTGATCCTCATGTCCCACCCTGGAGGGATGCTGGAAGGAAGAGAAGCAACCTAGAAAAGTGCTCTGACCTCCCCATGAGCTGTGTGGCATGTGTGCACCTGTCCACACTGCCCGGCTAAATAGTGTTTTGTTATCCCCCACACAAATATGCACTCACACTTCACGGATAAAACCTCAGAGCAATTTCAAACTAGAATGAATGTTTCTGTAAACAGATCATAAATTAAAAACTTTACAGATATGCACAAGCTCAGAGTTGATTATGTCTAACCAAGGTTATTAACACCAAGCAACTTTAACTACTAGGCCAGCCTCTTTTGCCAAGTCTGGCTGATAAAGACCTACTCCCTGTGCAAATCTCTTAGCAGCTTGTCTCCCAGAGCACTGTGCCCTCAGTCTCAGGTCACAGCCTGTAAACCAGGAAACCTGAGGCTGAGCATTGCCATGGTTACTCACTCCCCTCAGATGTAGCCTTTGTAACCTTTTTTATTGAAAATGTTTGTTGTTGAATGTGTATATAAGCTATGTGAACAAAGAGGATAGAGAGAATTGGAACTAGAGATTTAGAACTAGAGATTTAGAACTGAAGAATGAGAGATGGAAATAAAAAGAGCATGACCCTCAGATCGTGTATGTGAGTCTTTTCCCCTCAGGTCGATAGAAACTTATTCCTAATGACCCTCAGACAAAAAAGGTTCTTAAAGCCCTGCTGCTCTGAAGGCATTCTTTTATGCAACCCTGGTTGCAGTCTTGAGAACTGGTCTCTTGGGCTGCAGTAGTGATGCAAGCCTGTTAGCCCAGCACAACATTGAGAAAGGGGAAGGTAGTCAGTCACACATTTGATGCTAATGTGACCTGTATGTTGTATTCCAGGTTAGCCTGGAATACACAGTGATCCTGTCTCCAAAAATGGAAACAAAACCAAGACCAGCCCTACACTGTGGGCTGGGACTACTGCCCAGTGGTGGGTACTTGCTTAGCATACAGAAGACCTTGGGCTTGTTCCTACAACCACAATTTGTCAATTTTACAGTGTAACTTGTAACCAAGAGAAAAGTGCTTTATATATTTCTATAGCAGCCATTACAATAATTATGTTCCTGGGTCGGGAGACCGGGGAATTGGGTGAAGACCGAGGTTCCAGAGATTAACATGAAAGGTGCAAGATGGGAAGCCCTTCCCTGCCTGGGCTTCACTCAATCAAGGGAGCATGCTCAAGAGAGCTAGCATTGTAAGAACATCGTGGGCGGCAGGTACTGTGCAAATATCATAGGAAATGTCAAGCAGAGCCCTTTCCCCTCTCTTGGAGCCAGATCATAGTCCAGGTCTGGCACGTTTCTGAGCTCATCAGTGTCTCTCCTTTATAGGATAGCTCCACCCTATAATTCCCCATGAGCTCTAGAAGACCCCTTGTAAAGAGGTACAAGAACCTATGAACCCTAGTAGCTGCCCTCCAGACTCAAATCCGTGCTTGTAACGGGGACAGCTGGAGTTCACATGTAGAGCACTAAACCTGGAAAGTGAACACAATAAAAATAATGGTTTCAAGGGGTTGGAGAGAGGGCTTAGCAGTTGAGTGGGAGCTGTCCTCACAAAGGAACCAATTTTGTATCATGGCCAGGCCACTTACAACATGTAGCTGAAGCTCCGGGGGATCTGACACCTTTTCTGGAACATACACACCCATACACATACATAAAAATAAAATCTTTAAGGATAAATATTTAACTGAATGATTTTATCCAATTGTCATCATCAGGCTGTACAATTTTGTATATATTGTTCTTTTATGTGCACGGTAAACATATGCCCATGTTCTACATTGTCTCCATAATTCACACTTGGAGTTGGGCATGCTGATACCTACCTGTAAACATTCTAGCATGCTAGAGGCTGAGGTCCTGGGTTGGATCATTCCAAGTTCTTGGCCTCCTCTACAAAGAATTGGAAATAAAGGCTCACATGGCTTTGCACAAGAACAAGATGACCTTATCTGGAACCAAACAATGGCACAGACTTACCTTCAAGATTGACAGTGGACCACATGAGGGGCCTAATTATTATTTGGAGATTTCTTTTATGGGGCTTGGGAGAAGGAAAGGTTGATTACCAAGCAAGGGCACTCTGTTTTGATAGACAGGCTTGAGTTATGCAAATCCTTGGTCACTGTACCTGTCACTTCCCACAATGCCTGTGATCTTCATCATATACATGCCCCAAATGGGAAATAGGGGAATCTCCTTAAACATTTACTTAAAGTCACAGTTTTCCTTTCCTGCATATGCACCCAAATCCAGTTCAGTCCACATCAGCTGTCACGAATCTTAAAAGGTCTTATTAATAGAAACAAACCTGGAGCCAGGTACTGGGGTCAACACTGGAAGATCAGAGAAGCAGAACAAGCCACAGCCACCTAACCTTGCCAGTTCCTCAGCTGATCCTGTTTCCTCAGACTGGAAGCCTCTGAGTCCTCATCCAAATGAATCTCAGCTGAACTGCTGCTCAAAAGCCTAAAAGTTTAACCAGCTCTAGTTCCTGGTTTTCACGCCTTATATACCTTTCTGTTCCTGCCATCACTTCCTAGGATTAAAGGCATGAGTCACCATTCCTGGCTGTTTCCAGTGTGGCTTTGAACTCACAGAGATCTGGATGGATCTCTGCCTCCCAAGTGATAGGATTAAAGGTGTGTGTGCCACCATTTTCTGGTCTCTATGTCTATCTAGTGGCTGTTCTGTCCTCTGACCCCACATAAGTTTATTAGGGTGCACAATATATTGGGGGACATAATATATCACCACACATCAGCCTTTCCGATCATCCTATCCCAATCCATTGGGAATATGGATTTGATGAGACAGGATGATCTAAATTTGACTGTGGCTAGGGGCAGAGAACCTGTGGGATTGTTCAGAGATGAGGCTACATGTAGCCCACTGCAGGCTGGGTTGGGAAGGAGGTGTGTGTGAAGGGTCTACACAGGTGAAGGACTTAGGATACCAAGGACATTATTACAAAACCAAATAGGATCCAGACTAAGTTCTCTACTGTGGTTGTCTGTTTCAACCTTAAGCTCTAGGCTAGAACGGGCTACATGCAAGGTTCTATCTCAGAGAAGCAAACAAGCAGTCCAGCTAAAGGACATTTGCAAGTTGTCATGAATGGAGTCAGGTCCTTCTCTGGTTCATTGTCAGTGCTCAAGGCCTAGCCCATTGCTTGGCACTCAGGTAGGTGCTTAGCAAATATTTGTCGATTAAGGGGATGAATATTGATGTTTCATAGTTTCTCAAGCAACTTCTTTCTTTCACAAGTTGCGGTCAAAAGTCAGCATTTAAGAGTTTCCTGTCTCCTACCTGCAATGTGGGTCCTGGCGAACAAACTGAAGTCATCAAGATTGTGGCAAGCCCCTTTACCCACCGACTTGTCTCTCTGGCCCTGATACACAACCCTTTATAATAAAAACAATACAGACTCCAATCATCTGCTCTCCTGTCTCTCCTAGAATATGGCAGCCGAAGGAGAAGCCCTTGAGGAGAGGATTTCCGAATTTGATGAAGATTCGGCCTCTGAGTTCTCTGCTCTTCTCGGTGTGGATGCGTTTCAGGTCATAAAGAGACGAGAAGAAGAAGACCATCAGGAACGAATGAAAATGAAGAAAGGTTTTAACTCGCACATGCGCAGTGAGGCCAAGCGATTAAAGACCTTCGAGACCTATGACACACTCAGATCATGGACGCCACAGGACATGGCAGCCGCTGGGTTTTACCACACTGGGGTGAAACTTGGGGTTCAGTGCTTCTGCTGTAGCTTAATCCTCTTTTGCACCAGACTCAGGAATCTTCCCATAGAAAGTCACAAGAAATTCCGTCCAGGATGTGAGTTCCTTTTGGGCAAAGACGTCGGTAACATTGGCAAGTATGACATAAGGGTGAAGAGTCCCGAGAAGCTGAGAGGTGGCAAAGCAAGGTACCAAGAAGAGGAGGCCAGACTGGAGTCCTTTGAGAAATGGCCGTTTTATGCCCATGGGACATCTCCCCGTGTGCTCTCAGCAGCTGGCTTTGTCTTTACAGGTAACTGGATTCCATTTTGTGGTGTTTCTGTAAAACATGAAGTTTAGTTTCCATTTTTTAAAAATGTGTGTGTGTGTGTGTGTGTGTGTGTGTGTGTGTGTGTGTGTGTGTGTGTGTGATATTTGCCCTGTGAGTGCAGGTGTCCAGAGAGTCCAGAAAAGAACATGATAGCCTCTGGAGCACTGGTTTCACGTGATTGTGAACTGTCTAGAGTGGGTGCTGGGAACCAAGCTCCAGTCCCTGCAAGAGCCCTCTTAGTCACTGAGCCATCTCTCCCGCCCTCTGTTCCTCCTCCTCCTCCTCCTCCTCCTCCTCCTCCTCCTCCTCCTCCCCCCCCTCCTCCCCCTCCTCCTCTCCTCCTCTCCTCATCCTCCTCCTTCTCCTTCTTCTTTCTCTCCTTGTTTTCTTCTTCCTCTTCCTTCTCTCCCTTCTCTTCTTTCTCCTTTTTGTCCTCCTCCTCCTCTTCTTCTCCTACTACCTCTGGTTAATCATTCTTTATTTGTTAAATGTGTTAGAGGAGATCTAGTTTATAGAACATCAACTTTAATAATTTTACTTCCACTTTAATTTACTTTTAGTGAAGTGTTATTAGCTTGCCAAGTATGTGTAAAATGAAAGGTTCTTTTCTGTAAATGTGGACCTTAGGAGCTATTAATTAAAGGTTGAGCATGTAGCTCATTACTAGAGGGTTAACTTGGCCATTGCCTTAGTTCCAGCACAGGAAAACAAAAATAAAAAGACTCTGGAAAACACTAGTTCAGTTCATAAGGTCATGAAAATGGATCATGGGATAGCTCCATCCCACTTTCCTCTAGTTTTATGAACATCACTACTCATGTATTTCCTTGATTCGTTTAATTTCTATAGTTTTGGAAGGATTCTTTCACTTGTTTAACCCCCATCCATGAGGCAAACTGCCTTTGAGCACACTGCACCTTGAAATGCCTTAGCCACACACAGGTGTTAGGACAGATGTGAATGATAATTATAGCAGCGTCTGCAGTGTGCAGAGTACCCACTTACGCTATGCATGGATTGAACACTAATTCTAATTCAGCCAGTTTGCCCTTCCCCCACATTTCATAGGTTACTTCACTGAGTTTCAAAGAATTAGAGAAATGTGCCTCCTTTTCCATAGAAAAGGCATGGCAAAGCTAACTCTTAGGCCTTCTAGGGGAATCACTCCAGTGAGTCCTATATTTGCTCGCTTCTTAATCACTTTGGTCTAGGAGAAGCCAGTGTGTGAGGACTGTGTATATGGAGGAAGGGATGGCTGGGGGATGGAGGTCCAGAGCTCGGAAGGGAGTCATTTAGGGCAGTGGGACTGTGGACGGGGATTCAGCCAGAGAGGTCATGGAAGAACAGGCATGCTGGAGTCTGTCTTGTTCTGGAACAAGATGATCAGCTCCAAGGTCTCACCTGGTGCCATTGCTGGCCAGTCAAAATGTTTTTCTGCATCTGTAGGTAAAAGGGACACTGTGCAGTGTTTCTCCTGCAGTGGATGCTTGGGAAACTGGGAAGAAGGAGATGATCCTTGGAAGGAGCATGCCAAGTGGTTCCCCAAGTAAGCAGACAAACCCTTTATTCTTATTTTCAAGGTTTATTGTTGGTTTTGGTTTTGTTTGTTTTTGTTATTTATTTATTTATTTAATTTTTTATTTTATAATTAACTTAATTTCACATATCAGTCATGGATTCCCCTGTCCTCCCTCCTCCCACCCCCCAGCTGTCCCCCCCAACCCACCCCCCATTCCCACCTCCTCCAAGGCAAGGTCTTCCCTGGGGAGTCAGCCCAGCCTGGAAGACTTAGCCGAGGCAGGTCCAGTCTTCTGCTCCCTACACCAAGGCTGAGCAAAGTGTCCTAGCATAGGTCCCAGGCTCCAAAAAGTCAGGTCATGCACCAAGGACAGGTCCCGGCTACACTGCCTGGGGGCCTCCTAAACAGTTCAAGCTAATCAACTGTCCCACTTATCCAGAGGTCCTGCTCCAGTTCCATGGGGGCTCCTCCGCCATTGGTTCACAGTTCATGCATTTCCACTAGTTTGGCTATTTGTCCCAGTGCTTTTTCCAATCATGGTCTCAACATCTCTTGCTCATACAGTCCCTCCTCTCTCTTGCCGATTGGACTCCCGGAGCTCCATCTGGGGCTCGGTCGTGGATCTTTGCATCCGCTTCCATCAGACACTGGATGAGAGTTCTATCATGACAGCCGGGGTGTTCGGCCATCCGATCACCAGAGCAGTTCAGCTCAGGCACCCTCTTGACCATTGCCAGTAGTCTACAGTGGAGGTATCTTTGTGGATTTCTGGGGACCTCTCTAGCACTCTGCTTCTTCCTATTCTCCTGGAGTCTACATTCATCATGGTATCTCCCTCCCCATTCTCCCACTCTGCTCCTGATCCAGCTGGGACCTCCCACTCCCCTAAGCTCTCTTTCCCCGGACCCTTGCCTTCCACTAACCCCCTACCCACAGTTTGTTCATGTAGATCCCATCCATTTCTCTGTCGTTGGGGAATCCCTGTGTCTTTCTTAGGGTCCTCTTTACTAGTCCCTGGAGCTGTGGGCTGCAGTCTGGTTATCCTTTGCTTTACATCTAGTATCCACCTATGAGTGAGTACATACCATGTTTGTCTTTCTGAGTCTGGGTTACCTCACTCAGGATGATTTTTTCTAGATCCATCCATTTGCCTGCCAAACTCATAATGTCATTGTTTTTCTCTGCTGAATAGTACTCCATTGTGTATATGTACCACATTTTATTTATCCATTCTTCAATTGAAGGGCATCTAGGTTGTTTCCAGGTCCTGGATATTACAAATAATGCTGCTATGAACATAGTTGAGCATGTGTCCCCGTAGTATGATTGAGCATTCCTTGGGTATAGGCCCAAGAGTGGTATAGCTGGGTCTTGAGGGAGGTTAATTCCAAATTTTCTAAGAAAGCGCCATATTGATTTTTAAAGTGGCTGTACAAGTTTGCTTTCCCACCAACAGTGGAGGAGTGTTCCCCTTGCTCCACATCCTCTCCAACATAAGCTGTCTTCAGTGTTTTTGATCTTAGCCATTCTCACGGGTGTAAGACGGCATCCCAGAGTCATTTTGATTTGCATTTCCCTGATGATTAAGGATGTTGAGCAATTCCTTAAATGTCTTTCAGCCATTTGAGTTTCTTCTGTTGAGAATTCTCTGTTTAGCTCTATAACCCATTTTTTTTTAATTGGACTATTGGGTATTTTGATGTCTAATTTCTTGAGTTCTTTATATGTTCTGGATATCAGCCCTCTGTCAGATGTGGAGTTGGTGAAGATCTTTTCCCATTCTGTAGGCTGTCATTTTGTCTTGTTGACCATGTCCTTTGCCCTACAAAAGCTTTTCAGTTTCAAAAGTGAGTGCTGAGCACTGAATTCACATCTTCTGCAAATACATTAAGTGCCCACTCTCCAGCCCCTTTCACTGTTACTAAATAATTTTTTTTTCCCTGAGACAGGGTTTCTCTGTGTAGTCCTGACTGTCCTGGAACTCACTCTGTAGAGCAGGCTGGCCTTGAACTCACAGAGATCCCTCTGTCTCTGCCTTCTGAATGCTAGGATTAAAGGTGTGTGCTAACACTGCCCCACTAAATGGTGTTTTGTTTTTTTTATCCCCAGTCCTACAAAATGTCTTGTCAAGTAGCAGTTTCATAATTTACCTTAACTAACAAATGAGTTCATCTGAACAGGGATGGAAATGGTGTATAAGTAAAAGAAGATGATATGTTTAAAATATTACAGGTTGGGGGGGGGCAGTGGTGGTGCACGCCTTTAATTCCAGCACTTGGGAGGCAGAGACAGGTGCATCTCTGTGAGTCTGAGGCCCGCCTGGTCTACAAAGTGAGTTCCAGGACAGGCACCAAAGCTGCACAGAAAAGCCCTGTTTCTAAAAACAAAAAAAAACAACAACAAAATCTAACAGATGGTTTCACACCCTATGGAACCTGCACAAAATGAAGATGCTTACTGGATGCGGTGGCACACATCTGTAATCCCAGTGCTAGGAGGGAGGAGGCAGTAGAATCAGGAGTTCAAAGCCATCTTCTGATTAAAAAAAAAAAAATGGCAAGGAGACCAGATGCCTGGGTCACCACACACCAGGACCACAGGAGGGAGAGCAAGTGGATTTTACTTCAGAGAATCAGAGTTTTTGTTATTGTGGTGGTCTTTCACCTGCTTAGGAAAGGAATCATATTTTAATCATTTTTTTTTTTTTTTTTTTTTTTTTTTGGTTTTTCGAGACAGGGTTTCTCTGTGTAGCTTTGCGCCTTTCCTGGAACTCACTTTGGAGACCAGGCTGGCCTCGAACTCACAGAGATCCGCCTGGCTCTGCCTCCCGAGTGCTGGGATTAAAGGCGTGCGCCACCACCGCCCGGCTTTAATCATTTTTAATAATGCATTTAGTGGTGGTTTTGTGTACCTATTGTTTTTGTTTCTGCCACATACAATTTCATTCCTTTAACTGGTTTCCAAACTTTTATTATGGAAATCTCACAAAGTACAGAAAGTATAGTGAGCACCTCTCCGAGTCTGGCCAAGTCATATTTCACCTGTGTCTTTCCCGCCATCTGCTCGGATTACTAAGGATCAGGTTATGTCAAAGCAAATTCCAGCTAACACATGGTTCCATTTGTTATTCTTTTAGTGTATAACTTTATTTTTATTTATTTATTTATTTATTTATTTTGGTTTTTTGAGACAGGGTTTCTCTGTGTAGCTTTGTGCCTTTCCTGGGACTCAGTTGGTAGCCCAGGCTGGCCTCGAACTCACAGAGATCCGCCTGGCTCTGCCTCCCAAGTGCTGGAATTAAAGGCATGCGCCACCACTGCCCGGCTTAGTGTATAACTTTAAATAGTGATTTAAAAAAAGAAAAAAGAACCATGGTATCATTATGTTTCCTAAAAAGATGAGAATTAATGCCTAATACCATTAAATATCATCGCCAGTATTCAAGGCCCTTCTCCCTCCATCTCTTGGGATTTTTTTACATTGATTTTGTGTGTGTATGTATGTGTGTGTGTGTGTTGCACACTCTGCTTACTGTGAATCACTATCTTTGATTCTATTGCATATGTGTTTCAAGGTAAGAGCAGTAAGCCTGTAGTCCAGGTTTCTCTTGGGGGACTGGTTGACGTCAAGAGTATGACATCACCACCACAACACAGGGAGAGGCTGTCTTGAAATCAAAATTAAAATGACATGAAGGATTGTCATAGTCGGCTTTCTGTTGCTGTTGCTTTCTGTTGCACCATGACCAAAAGCAACCAGAGAAGGAGAGGGTTTGCATGTCCAGATGACAGTCCACCACTGAGGGACATCAGGGCAGGAACATACGCAGGAACACACAGACACCATGAAAGAATGCTGCTTGCTGCCTTGTTCCCAGGTTCATACCCTGCTACCTTTCTCATGCCTCCCAGGACTGCCTGCCCAGGGAGGGCACTGCCCACAGTGGACTGGACCCTCCCACATCAATCATTAATCAAGAAAATGCCCCGCAAACTTGCCTACAGACTGATCTGGTGGAGGCATTTTCTCAACTGTGGCTCCCTCTTCCCAGATGACTCTAGTTTGTGTCAAATTGACAAAATAACTAACCGGCACAAGGTTTGATTTTTAAATAATGATATATTTTATTATTGATATAATTAAATTTTTTCTAACAGCATGATGTTAGTCCTCATGAGTATGGTTTCAGGAAATTTTTGACAGTTTTATTGAGGTATCAAATTCAACAATTTGATGGGTATTTTGCAAATATTTATCGTGATATAGATAATCTTTGTCACAGTATTGGGGTAATTTTTAATTATATTTTTCATTATAGGTGTGAATTCCTTCAAAGTAAGAAATCCTCAGAGGAAATTGCCCAGTATATTAAAAGCTACGAGGGATTTGTCCATGTAACGGTAATTCACAACAGCAAACTCTTGACAATAGTGTGTGTTCATCATCTAGTAATATCTGAATCCTCAGGGTGAGGATTTTTATTTTCCATGGATCCATTCTCCCGCCTCTCCTCTGCAGAGTGGAGGCACAACAATCTTGTGGTCTTGCTAAGCTGGAACCGTGTGAGGTAGTTTTGCAGGCTGGCTTTGGGTGGCTTCTGCTGCCTCCTCATCTTCCCTCTGACTGAGGCCACTGCCCTGGCTTCCTGCTGCCTCCCTCTGGATGCCTGACTCAGCATTCTGTCCTAGTTTCTGGTGAGAGCAAGGCCCTCAGAGCTGGCTCCTACCCCTGACTGTCTAGGCTCTAAAGTAGTAAGGACTTCCTGGTGGCAAGAGGTGGGAAACTTAGCCCAAACAGAAGCCAAGGGAGGGTGTCATGGTTGACTGACTCAGAGGCAGCGTCTGCAGAAAGCACAGACTGAAAGTCTGGGTGCAGTTTTCTCAGAGGGAGAGTTGCTCAATTGGAAAGGTCCTTCTGAGGCGAGCTTCCTTCCTGTGGCTCAGTTCCTCATGAGTGTGTGAGTGACTGCAGTTCTGTTGCTGAGCTGTGTGTCCCCTAAGAGTGACCCTGAGAAAGTTCCCATTTCCAACATCAATGGGAATCAACCCAAAACTAAAGGACTGCTTTGGGAACAATTCTGCTGTTCTAAGGAAACTTGGCTTTAGTGGGGGAAGTCCTTCACTTGCAGCTCACAGATAGATGTGTATTTTATAAATCAGTCAGTAACCTGAATTTCTTTCCCTCAGGGAGAACATTTTGTGAATTCCTGGGTCAGAAGAGAATTACCTATGGTGTCAGGTAAAACCTCGGGCACATTCCAAACACTTTGCTTCTTTCTTTCCTTTCCTGCATTCCTCCACACTCCCATGTCTGTGTGGTGCCACATGTATACAGGTGCTTTTGGAAGTCAGACGGGGGTATCAGATCCCTTGGAGCTGGAGTAGCAGGCATCTGTGAAAGCCTGATGTGATTGCTGGGAATTGAACTTGGGTCCTCTGGAAGAGTAGTAAATGCTCTTAACCACAGAGCCATCTCTCCAGCCCTCATCAACTTGCTTTAAAAATTACATTCATGGGCTGGAGAGATGGCTCAGAGGTTAAGAGCACCGACTGCTCTTCCAAAGGTCCTGAGTTCAATTCCCAGCACCCACATGGTGGCTCACAACCATCTGTAATGAGATCTGGTGCCCTCTTCTGTATACATAATAAATAAATAAATCTTTAAAGCTGGGCGGTGGTGGCGCACGCCTTTAATCCCAGCACTCGGGAGGCAGAGCCAGGCGGATCTCTGTGAGTTCGAGGCCAGCCTGGGCTACCAAGTGAGTTCCAGGAGAGGCGCAAAGCTACACAGAGAAACCCTGTCTCGAAAAAAAAAAAATTACATTCATAAGTGACTTCCCTGTTATGGAAGGACTTTGGTTTGTTTCTGTTTTTCTTTATGGGTGGGAGAGATGGCTCAGAGCTCCAGCTCACTTACTGCTTTGCAAAGGACTCGGGTTAGGTTCCCAGCACATGTATGGCAGCTCACAACTCTGCAAGTCCAGCTGCAGAGGATCCAGTGCCCTCCTCTGACCTCCATGAACACTCCACCCATGTGGTGCAGTCAAACATGCAGAAAAAACACCTACATCAAAAATAAAAATAAATAAATCTTTAAAAGTAAACTTTTTAAAATTTACACTCAATTTTTTACTTAGTGTTGTATGTGGGTGTGCATGGGTCCCATGTGTGAAGGTGCAAAATCAGAGGACAACTTACAGGAGGTGGTTCTCATCTTCTACCATGAGGACTCCAGGAATTAGTTAAAAGCTTGTTAGGTTTAGCAGCAAACATACCACAGAGTCATTGAAGTGGCTTAGTTTTGAGTGTAGGTGAGCATAGCTAAACTACAGTACAGGCGGGGCCATGGCTGATGTTTCCCTTAAAACAACTAAAATCTTGGATAAACTGTTTTGGAAACACTTTCAGGGTCCTTCCTATCCCAGGCTGGCCTCAAACTCAAATGAACCTTGAACTTTTGGCCCTCTTGCTGAGTGCTGAGACAGAGCTTCTCAGGTGCTGGGGATGGAACCAACCTAGGACTTCCTGAATGCCAAGAGAGCACTCTGCAAACTGAGCTATATCCCCCGTCCCCCAAAGTGTTCGTAATTGGCACAGTGCACTGTGAAGAAACAAAGAAATATTCACACTACAGTGAGGTGACTTCATGCTTTTCTAACCACCCTCAATTATTTTGACACAAGCACAATACCCCAGATCATTCCACCTGCACACACAGCTAACTTGAACTTTGCAATCAAAGCCTGCTGCTCTCACCTACATCTGTTTTTCAAGCTTACTGCAATGACAGCGTCTTCGCTAATGAAGAACTAAGGCTGGACACCTTTAAGGACTGGCCCCATGAATCCCCTGGGGCTGTTGAAGCTCTGGTGAGAGCAGGCCTTTTCTACACAGGTGAGTCGGCTTTGTATTTTTCTTTATTTTATGTGTATGAGTGTTTGCCTGCATGTGTTCCTGCCACAAGCCTGTGTGGTGCCCTCAGAGGCCAGACAGGGTGTTGGATCCTCTGGAACTGGGGTTATAAATGGCTGTGAGCCATCAGGTGGCTGCTGGAACCAAACCCGACTCCTTTGCAGATCCACAAGTGACCTTACAGCTCAGCCTCTCTCTGGTACCTCGTCAGTATCTTGTGTCCAGCACACACTCCAATCCTGCTCCTGCCTTTCTCTTCACACTCCACCATTTGTCATGGATCTCCTTGGGGGCCCCCAAGACCTTCAAATTCCATAGCTCAGCCTCTGAACATGTGGATTCTGCAGTCACTCCATCAACAGACATCTTCCACTGGCACAAATGATCTCACCACACAGTCTGGACCCTTTGTCTCCTCCTGGCTGCCTCCCTCAAGTCTCAAGATGACGTGTCCTATTTCTAATGAAACACAGCTGGCAATAATGTGAGAAGAGACAAGGGATTCTTCATAATCTAGCTAGCATAGAGATGCCTAAATTTGTTCTTCCATCTCACCCCCCAACAAGTATATTCTTTCTGATTTATTCTTTAAGCAAATGCTTATTGATCGTCTGTGTCTGTGAAAGTCATTGGTGTCCACATCAAACAAAAATCTCTGCTCTCACTGATCTTCTGTTCCAGATTCTGATGGCAAATCTTCCAGGATGAGTTTGCGAGAGGGTGTTCATCAGAGCACACCATGTGCAGGAACATTCAGTGGCTATTACTGAACACCCCATCGTAGGACCAAGAGTCCTGTGTGAACTAGTGCCCCCTAGTGACCCATGCATGACTTTGCCACACAATCCAATTGGAGCTGCAAATAGGATTTCACTAGTGAAATCTGGTGTTATTATCTGCTTGTGAGTTGACAGGTGTATGTGCTGTTGAACTGACCATATTCCCTTATTCTAGGCAAAAATGACACTGTCCGGTGTTTTTCCTGTGGAGGATGTATGTCGAAATGGGAGGAAGGTGACGACCCATTAGAAGATCATACCAAGTTTTTTCCCAAGTGAGCATGGTGAATTCTCTTGACTTGGAATGTACTTCAATGGTTATCCCTCTCTGTCCACGTTTTCCCTGTGGATAGGATCTGCCCCGTCCTCTGGTTCCTGTTGTGAAGGATACATCCTTATAGCCTCATCTCTTTCCTCCCATGACACTCCCTGTCTAGCTTTTATCTCATTAGAGTTAGATCTTGGTTCTGGTTGTGTGCATATACACACTTAAAGACAGGGTCTCTCTATGAGCCCAGACTGTCTTAGAAATGCTATCCAGCACAGTAGGACTTGAACCCATGATCCTTCTGCCTCGGTCTCCCAAGTGCTGGCTCTACAGAGACATACCACCATGTCTGACGATTCCATGGCTTTCTGATTCTTTTGATTGCAAACTAGTTTTCCTGTCCTCCTCATTCTAGAATTTAGGGTTTTCTATTGCTATTGTCTAAGATGTTCCAAGTGCTTTTCTTTTTCCAGTGCTGGGGAGGGAACCAGTGAGTTGGACACGCGAGGCAAGACCTTTACTGTTGAGCTACTCTGACCCCTTTTCAGTCAATCTTCTAGTTAATTTTTATCTCCTTTCTACACATAAAAAACTGTATAAAAGTTCAATTTCAAAATGAAATTTATTGTTTTCACTTAGAAATTAAAATATATTTTCAGAGATAAATATATACAGATTGAAAAGTGAGTACTTCTGGGCATAGTGTTGAACATTTAGAATCCTAGCTCTTGGAAAGCTAGAGGAAGAAAATCATAGCTTTGTTTTATACTAAAGGCTTTAATATGAATTATCTAAAATCTACTCTATTTTAAAAATCCAGCACTTGTAATTGAGAAATAAATGTCTTTTGCTATGGTATCCCTTTGAAGGCATGAAAATCTGCAACTGTGTTGGTGTCTCTGTGGTCTTTGTTCAGTTCCACAGTTGTGTCCTGTGTGCACGCAATGCATGCCTAAAATTGCACTAAATCGTTTTGGCCTTAGAAAAATTTAAGTTTAATTATTTAACTTTTAAATGTAACAGGTTTTTTTTTGCTTTTTTCTATTTGTTTTGTTTTTGTATGTGTGGGGTTTTTTGTTTGTTTTGTTTTGGTTTTGACACAGGGTTTCTCTGTCTAGCAACCCTGGCTGTCCTAGAACTCACTCTGTATGCGAGGCTGGCCTTGAACTCACAGAGATCCACCTGTCTCTGCCTCCCAAGTGCTGGGGTTGAACACATGTGCCAGTATCCAACCAATTATGAAGTTTTAAATAATTATTTGGTCTTGAGATAGAATAGTAATAGTAATAATAGTATCCCAAGTCCTTAATATTTTTTTTAAAGATTTATTTCTTTATCATGTACACAATGTTCTGCCTGCATGTATCCCTGCACACCAGAAGAGGGCACCAGATCTCATTATAGATGGTTGTGAGCCACCATGTGGTTGCTGGGAATTGAACTCAGGACCTCTGGAAGAGCAGCCAGTGCTCTTAACCTCTGAGCCATCTCGCCAGCCCCTTAATAATATTTTTAAATATTATTTTTATTAACATTCATTAATTATATATGATAATGATATTTTCATATATAAACATTATGACCTTTACACATATAGAGAGACAGTGTATTCCAATCATGGTCACCGCCATCCTCCGATCGCCCTCTCTTATCTCCCTCGAGTTCTCCTTAGTTCCTGTCCTTTTAAAATCACATGTCAGGGCTATGTAGCAAGACCTATCCTCAACTGAAATAAAGAAATAAATGGAGTGTTTCCATCTAATTTTGAAGTTAGAAGATGCTCGACCACAATGGTCACTTTTTTCTTTTTCCTTTACTTATTTTTTAAAATATTTGATTTTATGTGCATGGGTGTTTTGCCTGCATTTATCTCTGTGTACTACGTATATGCCTGGTGCTCACAGAGCTCAGAAGGGGGTATTAGATCCCCTAGAACTAGAGTTATAGGAGGTTGTGAGCTATCTGATATGGGTTTTGTCCTTTGTTGTCCTTTTTATGAATCTAAAGTTTTCTCGTTTTTTACTCTTTAAAATTTTTATTTATTATTACTTTGTTTCTTCCGTAAATGTGTGTTTATGAGTATATGCGTGTATTTACATTGTGTGTACTATATATAGGTCAAAGGGAGACATGGAACAATCCAGCCCCCTTTTTTTTCAAGACAGAATTCTCTGTGTAGCCCTGGCTGTCCTGGAACTCACTCTGTATACCAGGTTGGCCTTGAACTCAGAGACCTGCTTGTCTTTGCCTCCGGAGTGCTGGGATTAAAGGCATTCTGCCACCGCTTGGGAGCATCCGCTTCTTTAAGTTCCCATCTTGTTCCCTTGAAACAGGGTCTCTCACTGAACCTGAGCTGAGCTAGCATCCAGCAAGCCCCAGTAATCCTTTCGCCTCCACACCCACAGTGCTGGGAAACTGTGTTTTATCCTTTAAGCTCCTTGTAGCTGTTTCATGGACAGGCACTAACTATGTGCTCATTCCAACACATTCCCTGGATGTCCTTACCATTACTTTACAACCCACTTTCATGGTGTTATTGAAAGCCACAGTCTGAGTGTCATATACAACACAACACTACAGAATCACTGAAACTGTCAGCTTTCTACTTCAGTCTCGGCCCCAAATCTTCATGTTTCTTAAAAACCCAACACAAGCACTTAATTGCATGCAACTATTTTGTGACTTTTATCTCCTCTGTTCAGCTGTGTATTTCTTCAAAACCTGAAGTCCTCTGCAGAAGAGATTCCTGCCTTTCAGAACTATTGCCCATTTCCGGAAGCCATGGTAATGGACACCACCCCTTCTCTGACTCGGCAGCACATGGTCCTGTGGTTGAACACTGTTTTGAACAGCAATTGCCAATTGTAAATGTATCATAATTAAATCAATTCTACAGTTATCCAGTAAGCATTATCAAGTGAGAAGTATAGACAGGAACTTCACAGTGGACAAGGGAGACACACTAGCTATCTTCATGAAATGCACAGTCAACTTCTCCTATGAGAAGTCTGTTGTTGAAATTCTTTCAGACTTATTAAACATTCAGACTAACTGGACCCCGTCTGTGACCTATGGAGGGTAGTAGGCTTGTTTTCTTATTTCTTTTGGGATGTACAAGGCAAGTTTTATTTTGTTTGAGACAAGTTCTCACTGTGTAGCCCAGGCTGACTTTGAACTTGCTATGTTCAAGTCCCAGACTGGCTGGGAATTTGTGATCCTCCTGCCTCAACCTTCCAAATGCTGGAATTACAAGTGTGTGCCACCATTCCTATTTGACTTTTTGTTCTTTACTGCAATTCAGGAGATCAAACCCAAGGTCTTGTGCAAGCTAGGCAAGGAATCTATGACTGGGCTGTACCCCTGGCCTACAGGTGTGTTTCTCTAACAAAGCAAGTGCCCAGCAAAATCATGAAGTCAGATGATGCTCTGACCCCCTACATGTTTCTCTGACACAGTCTAACCATCAGTTCATTGCTGACACAAACCACCTCACACTGTAGTGATGGACATGCTGCTTCTCATGCCACAGAACAGAGAACAAAGCTGGGCATGTGGCTCATGTCAGGACAACAGCACTCTGGAAGCTGAGGCAGGAGAATTATTAGGAGTCAACATCAGCCTGGACAACAGTATAAGATACTACCTCATAAAAGAGACACAAAAACAAAAGAAACACCAAAAAATAATGGAAGAAAAGTAAAGGAAAACAAAACAACAGAGCGATTTTGGGTTCACTTGATAAAGCTCTTATATTTGGATTTTTTTTTTGGCTTTTTTTTTTTTTTTTGGTTTTTTTTTTTTTTTTTTTTTTTTTTTTTTTTTTTTTTTTTTTTTTTTTTGGTTTTTCGAGACAGGGTTTCTCTGTGTAGCTTTGCGCCTTTCCTGGAACTCACTTGGTAGTCCAGGTTGGCCTCGAACTCACAGAGATCCGCCTGGCTCTGCCTCCCGAGTGCTGGGATTAAAGGCGTGCGCCACCACCGCCCGGCCAAACTTTTTTTTTTTTGTTGTTGTTTTTTGTTTTTTCGAGACAGGGTTTCTCTGTGTAGTTTTGCGCCTTTCCTGGGACTCACTTGGTAGCCCAGGCTGGCCTCGAACTCACAGAGATCCGCCTGGCTCTGCCTCCCGAGTGCTGGGATTAAAGGCGTGCGCCACCACCGCCCGGCTTTTTTTTGGTTTTTTGAGACAAGGTTTCTCTGTGTAGTTTTGGTGCCTGTCCTGGTTCTCACCCTGGAACTCACAGAGATCCGCCTGGCTCTGCCTTCTGAGCTCTGGGATTAAAGGCGTGGGCCACTACCGCATGACATATTTGGAAATTTAAAAGTGATATTACAGGAGCAAGGGATGTAGCTCAGTTGCTAGATGTTCCCATAATAGACACATACACACACAAACCTTCAACACTGAATAAAACTGGGTGAGGCATGTTTGGAGTCCCAGAAAAGAAAAAAAGACAATGAAGCCTGGAGTGTGTGGGGAGGCACATGCCTATAAAACCAGATTTGGAAATTGAGGAAGGAGGATGAGGAGTTCAATGCTCCCCTTGGCTACCTAGGGAATTCCAGACCAGCCTACACACTACATGGGACTCTCTAAAAACAAAAACAAAACAAAACAAAACCTCACAAAAGTGTGTGAATAATAACCATTCTGCATCCTGGTGTATGATATGAAACACATAGTTACTAATGACCAAGGATGGAGGCAATGCTTAATGCTTTTTGCAGGACCATTCTTGTTCTAGACTCTACAATTGTGATCACCCACACAGCACTCCCCCATAGAGAGGATGTATATTCCATGCATGTACTATCCAGGAACACACTCTTGCAGATGTGTGAGATTTATTCTTTCCTAGCTAGAGCACTCCTTCCTTCAATCAGCACTGAGTGTAGGCTGTGTTTAGAAGATGTTGGGTTTTGATGGATTGTGTTATCAATTTGATTGATAATATTGATTATATTATCAATGATAATATCATACCCAATCTTGATTTAAGAGCAGTTTTGATTTAATAAAGGATTTCTCTTTCAAAGGACACCACAGGTGAAAGCAATCACGAGGATCCAGTGGCCGTTCACTCTACGGTGGCCGGTAAGAACTTGAAAGCAACATGGGATTGTGTGTATTTGTACATAGGGATTTGAAAGGAAAGTGTATTTATAATTGTCCAAGGAGCTCCTAGAGAGGAGAGCACTGACATGGAGGGAAATGTGGGTGAGAGAGTGTCAGCATTCCTGTGACATCTTGAGAGTGAATGCAGGACTAGTGACAGCGGTCCTTGTGTGAGATCCAAACCAGCCAGTCTTAAAGGCTTCATGCAACAAGCTGGTTTCCTGAGATTTTAAATGGGAGATTAAGATGCCAGAGTATTCTTAATAAGCACACATTATGTCTAAGTCCCCAGGTCAAATAGGGCCTTGGACACATGATCCCACGTTCTGATGCTGTGAGTGGTCTGATAAGATCCCAAAGGGCAGCTCATAGATAGTCCATCCATAGCAGACAGGCAGAATCAAAGACCGGACACAACATCATAGCATTAGGATGGCCAGACTTTGATGGGCATATTCATTAATCCCAGTACTTGGGAGGTAGAGGCAGGAAGATCTCTGAGTTTGAGGCCAGCCTGAGACACAGAGCAAGTTCTAGGACAGCCATAGCTACACAGGGAACACGTGTCTCAAAAAACAAAACAAAACATTGCTAGACTTTAAAGTGCTTCCCACTGTCCCCCCTCCTCTCCGCAGACCTGGCTCAGAGTCCAACCCAGTGGTTTCAAGAGGCAAAGAGTCTGAGTGAGCAGCTGAGAGGAGCCTACACCAAGGCCACTTTCCGCCACATCAATCTGCCAGAGGTGTGTTCCAGCCTTGGCACTGACCACTTGCTTGGTTGTGACCTGTCCATGGTTTCAAAGCACATCAGCAGGCCAGTGCAAGAGACCTTGATGCTTCCTGAGGTCCTCAGCAATCTCAACTCCGTCATGTGTGTGGAGGGGGAAACTGGCAGTGGGAAGACAACCTTCCTGAAGAAAACAGCTTTTCTCTGGGCATCAGGATGCTGTCCCCTGCTGAACAGGTTCCAGCTGGTCTTCTACATCTCCCTTGGTTCCACCAGACCAGACCAGGGGCTGGCTGACATCATCTGTGGCCAACTCCTAGAGGCAGGAGGATGCATCAGTGAAGTGGGCCTGAGCAGCATCATCCAGCAGTTAAAACACCAGGTGCTGTTCCTGTTGGATGACTATCATGGGATGGACTCACTGCCCCAAGCCATCGAAACCCTGATTACAAGAAACTACCTGACCCGAACCTGCTTATTGATCACTGTCCATACAAACAGGGCCAGGAACATCCGCCCATACCTAGATACAATTCTAGAGATCAAAGAGTTTCCCTTCTGTAACACTATCTCTGTATTACGGAAGCTATTCTCACATGATCTAACCCGTGTTCAAAGGTTTATTAATTACTTTGGAAATAATGAAGATTTACAGGGAATTCACAAAACTCCTCTCTTTATGGCAGCAGTCTGTACTGACTGGTTTCAAAATCCTTCTGACCAGTCCTTTCATGATGTGGCAGCTTTCAAGTCCTATATGAAATATCTTTCCTTAAAACACAAGGCTACACCTGAGCCTCTCAAGGCCACTGTGTCCTCATGTGGCCAGCTGGCCTTGAGAGGCCTTTTTTCATTTTGTTTTGAGTTTAGTAGTGATGACCTCTCAGAAGCTGGTGTTGATGAAGATGAAGATCTGACCACCTGCTTGATGAGCAAATTCTCTGCCCAGAGACTGAGACCAGTTTATCAGTTCTTAAGTCCTTTGTTCCAAGAATTTCTGGCTGCCATGAGGCTAACTGAGCTCCTGAGTTCAGAAAGGCAGGAAGACCAAGATTTGGGACTTGGTTATTTGAGACAAATTAACTCACCCTTGAAGGCTATGAATGCCTACAGTAATTTTTTAAAGTATGTCTGTAGCCACCCGTCATCAAAGGCAGGGCCAAAAATTGTATCTCATTTGCTTCAGTTGGTGCATGATAAAGAGTCGCTGGAGAACATGTCTGAAAATGAGGATTATGTGAAGCTCCATCCAGAAACTTCCCTGAGGATAGAGTTTGTTCGGGGGTTGTGGCAGGTATCTCCTGAAGTTTTCTCTTCATTTGTTTCAGGACGTCTATTGAGCATCGCTCTAAACTTTGCTTATGAAAGCAACACAGTGGCTGCATGTTCTCCATTTATTTTGCAGTTCCTTCGAGGGAGAACACTGGCTTTGAATGTACTGAATTATCAGTACTTTGGGGACCACCCAGAAAGCCTGCTATTATTGAAGAGTATTGGGGTCTTCATAAGTGGAAATAACTGGATAAGGAGAATAGATTTTTCACTCATGGAAAAAGATTTTGAAAAATTACAGCCACCAACTACAGATGAGGACTATGCATCTGCCTTTCAACCTATGAATGAATGTGAAAAAAATTTATCTGAAAAAGAAGAGATAATAAAAAACTTTTTAGATATCCAACACCAAGCCCCACCCAACATCAGTGCTGGCTACTGGAAACTGTCCCCCAAGCTGTACAAGATCCCTAGGCTGGAAGTCAGAGTGGCCAACGTGGGTCTAGCAGACCCAGCGCTGCTCCGGGTCCTAATGGAAGTCTTCTCGGCATCACAAAATATTGAGCTCCATTTGAAGCACAGCAGTGGCTTTCTTGAAAGCATCTGCCCAGCTCTGGAGCTGAATAAGACCTCTGTCACCAAGTGCTCCATGCACAGACTAGAGCTCAGCCCAGCGGAACAGGAGCTGCTTCTCAGCCTGCCTGCCCTGCAGTCTCTTGAGGTCTCAGGGACAAACCAGTTACCAGGTATCCTCGAGTGTCACATAGCTGTTCTGATTGATACCGTGTTTTCTTATTCTTAGTTTTTGATGAATGAAACTTCTCAGGCACAAGGTCATAAATGTGCCTTGACAGAAGAGGTCTAAGTACTTTCACTGTTTGGGGCAGTGTGTAATTTAGTGACAGGCCCTGAATCATTAATGGATTTCACATAATTAAAACAAAATTAGCCTAACACTAACATCAGTATGTCATTGCTTGAGGGAAATCTAAGGGCATTTGAATGACTTGTTATTAGTAAATGGTGGACTGTGTGTGAGACGATTCTGGAGAATCATCTGCACCCTGACTGTCTGAAGAAGGAGCGGGTTTAGCTTCTCCAGAAAAGGAATTCAAAAGTGGGAACAGTAAAGTCTTACTTAGGTTTCTGTTGCTGTGATATAAAACACTCTGACCAGAAGCAACTTGGGGATGAAAGGAGTTTTCTCACCTTACAACTCCCAGGTCACATAGTCCTTCACTGACGGATGTCATGGCAGGAACTCAGGCAGGAACCTGGAGGCAGGAACTGGAGAAGAGACCAGGGAGGCATGTTGCTTACTGGCTTACTTCCTGTGGCTGCTTATACAGCTGACTTCTTATTCAGCTCTGGACCGCCTGTGCAGGGGTACTGTCCCCACTGAGGCTGGCCCTCCATCAACAATAATTATTCAAAAAAATATCTTAGGGCTGGAGAGATGGCTCAGAGGTTAAGAGTACTGGCTATTCTTCCAGAGGTCCTGAGTTGAATTCCCAACAACCACATGGTGGCTCACAGTCATCTGTAATGAGATCTGGTGACCTCTTCTGGCTTGCAGGCATATATGCAAGCAGAATAGTGTATACATAATAAATAAATAAATAAATAAATAAATAAATAAATAAATAAATAAATAAATAAATAAAAGAAAGAAAATACCTTACAGACTGCCTACGGACAACCTGATGGTGGTGTTTTCTAAACTGAGGCTCCTCTTCCCACTTAACTCTAGGTTGTTTCAAACTGACAGAACCCAACCAGGTAAAAATATCTCCTCTAAGTAATGTCTTCCTTTAAATAATATTTGATAGTTTTCAGTCCAGACTTTACCTGACTTTCATTAAATCTGTTGATAGGTGCTTAAGAGTTTTGATAGCCCTGTAATGCTTGGTTTTTAAATTTTTCATAATCATAACTAGTCTAAGCTTTTGCCTTTAGATATTTGTTACATTCTTAGGAATGCTTTGCTTGTCTATATCTGTGTTCTTTACATTTTTTTTAAGTTGTGCAAGTTGTGTTGTGTGTGTGTGTGTGTGTGTGTGTGTGTGTGTGTGTGTGTGTGTTTGCAAATGTGTGCATGGGCACATGACCATGCCACAGCATGTATATGGAGGTGAAGAGGCAACCTCAGGAATGACATTCTTCCTCTCCACCATGCAGATCTTAGGGATTGAAATTAGGTTGGCAGGCTTGGGACAAGTGCTTTTTTCATGGAACCACATCCCTGTGCCATACACCCCTCTTGTGTAGGAGAGGGTCTCATATAGCCTTGGCTGGCTTTGAACTCATTGTGTCTTTGACTATGACCTTGAACTGCCTGAGCCTCTTGCTGCCATGTCTTGAGTGCCAGACTACAGGCATGCTCCAATATCTAGTCCCTCAGAAAATAAAAATATTTTTGACTTTGATCATAAATATCATCCCATAGATTCCAAAAAAAAATGTCACTTGTCTCATGTGAAATAGAGACAAAGAAGGGCTGGCATGTTACTTGGTCAGTAGAGCGCTTCCCTCTATACACGGGGCTCTGGTTCAATCCCCGGCACTGCATGAGTGAGCGTGATAATGCAAGTGTGCATTCTGAGCACTTAGGAGGCTAAGAGGGTCAGGACCTCTGTAGTAAATAATATTTCAGTGTGTGTGTGTGTGTATGTGTGTGTGTGTGTGTGTGTGTGTGTGTATCATTGTGTGCATTTGTGTGTGGACCATTGTGTGTGTGTGTGTGTGTGTGTGTGTGTGTGTGTGTGTGTTATGTGTTCCATTTTGCTTCTCCTTACATCCATTGATGAACACTGGTTGTTTCCATTTTCTGGGTATTATGAGAAAGTTTGTCATGATCATTTGTGTTAAAAGTATCTGCTGTCAGTTGTCTTGGGTATATCTAGGAATAGAATTGCCTGTTCATGTGATGATTCTAATGTTTTGAGACAGGGTCTCACTCTATAGCCCAGGCTATCCTTGGAACTCACTATGTAACACAGGCTGACTTTGAACTCATGCTGATCCTCCTCCCTCAGGCTCTCAGCCACTGGTGTTACCTCTGTGAGCCACCACATCTTCTTTGTGTTTAACCTTTTGAGGAACTTCCCAACTGTGTTCCATGAAGGCTACCCCATTTACCCTCCCACCTGCCATGTGCAAGTCTCCACTTTCTCCACATCTTCCTTAGCCTCATTTTAACTCTGCTTTGATGTATGGTGAACACATTCTAGTAAGTCAGCATTCTCCTATGGCAGAATGAGATTGAGCATATTCTCAACTGCTCATAGTGGCTTTTTATTTTTGTTTTGAGAGATGTCTATTCAAATTCTTTGTAATTTAAAAGATTTGCCTAAAAATATTTGGGTTGTTCTTTTGATCTTGACACTCCAAGGCTGAGATAGGAGGAGTGCCAGGGGTCTGAGGCCGGCTCTACCTAGTGAGTTCTTGACCAACCTGGGCAATAGAGTGAGACCCTTTCTCAAACAAAACCGGTGATTATCTGTTGTAGGAGTTCTTCGTGTATTGTGAATATTAAACTCTTATGTTACAAGGGAAGAATCTCACTGGGAGAGCACTTGCCTACCAGGTGCAAGGCCCTGGGTTCCATCCCTAGAATGACAAAAGTAAATCTATCAAAACCCTTATCAGACACATGGTTTGAAAACCTTTTTCTCCCATTCTGTAGATTTTCATTTTACCTCTTTAATGCCCTCTGATGCATGAACAATTGTTAATTTGATAAGGTTTAATTTATCTTTTTTTCTTGATACTGTTTTTATAGCACATTTAAGGATCCAAAGTCATGAAGATTACCTGTTTCCTTCTAAGAGTTCTATGTTTATTATTATTAGTAATAGTAGTATTCTATGTCTTTTACATCATGTATCTTGATCCCATTCATTTCCCTGTCCTTTCATATCCGCCCTCCTCCCCTGCACACCGCCAAATAAAACATTTAAGGGAAAAAAAGGAAAAAATAAAAAGGGAAAAATTTAAAAGGGAAAAAATTAAAAATCTCATCATGGAAGTTGCAGTGTGACAGAGTGAGTCATGCCCTAGACCCCTTTGTCCATATATCTTTACTTGCAAGTGTTCATTGCAAAGAGTCATTCGTTGGTCTGATATAGGCAGTGTTTCTCCCAAATAACCACTCAGAGGCTTAATATTAATTATGAAAGCTTAGCCAATACTTCAGGCTTGTTACTAACTAGCTCTTACAACTTAAATTAACCCATTTCAATCAATTATGTGCTGCCACATTGCTTATTACCTCATTTTGTACATGTCCTGCACCCTCTGTGTCTGGCTGTCAACTCCTCTGACTCTGCACTTCTTCTCAGCATTCTCTCTGCCCCAATAATTCTGCCTAGCTATCAGCCAATCAGCTTTTTATTAACAATGAGAGCAATAAATATTTACAGTGTATAAAGATTGTTCCACAGCATTTCCCTCTTTTTGTCTAATTAAAAAGGAGAGGTTCTAACTCTAATGTAGTAAAACTATATACAACAAAAAATACTTATCAAGTAAGAATTACAGTTACAATGTCCAGTCCATTTGTATTTGGCAATATTAGAGGAAATACTCTATTATCTATCTTATCTTTGTGAGTCTAAAGTTTTATAGACTTTATAAAACTATAAATTTATAAACTACTATAAATTAGGTAAATTTTACCTAATTTACCTTTTATCATAACTAAGGAAAACTTTAACTATGACTATCTAATCTTGAACTCCATCAAAGACCCCAGAAGGGTGAAATGTTACCTGACAACAGAGACATCTGGCTGCCTGGACAGCTACCCATAGTTCTTCTGTAACATTGGGGCATTCACCTTTGGCCTACAGGCCTAGTATATCTGACAGACTTTTCTGAGAAGTAGAGAATTTTGAAGGACTGTCCTACCTTGTCTTCCCTAAGTTTGGCAGTCTGTGTGTGTGTGTGTGTGTGTGTGTCCTGCTGGTCCAGTTAGGACAATACACTGTCAGCAATTGAGGCAAGGGCAGTTTTTTTGCCCAAATGTCTAACTTTTGCCGTAAAGAAAACCAACTCGCCCGGCGGTGGTGGCGCACGCCTTTAATCCCAGCACTCGGGAGGCAGAGGCAGGCAGATCTCTGTGAGTTCGAGGCCAGCCTGGTCTACAGAGCGAGATCCAGGAAAGGCGCAAAGCTACACAGAGAAACCCTGTTTCAAAAAACCATAAAAAAAAAAAAAAAGAAAACCAACTCCCTATGGAGTTTCTCTGATGTCCATCATCCTCTTTTGAAGCAAATTGGTTCTGTCAGGAGCAGACATGCCTTACTGTCATGAAAAGCCTTGGGTTATTAAACATACTAAATGCCATATTCTGTAGATCTTTGAAGTATTTGAAGACCATCTGTCTATCTAAATATATCTATTTAACCTTGAAAACACACCTAATATGATTACAAGTTTGATTATTATAGGTGACTAACTACTGACCTGTATTTCTTAATTATACATTACATTTTTAAATGAGCTGTATAAGCACAATACCCCAAACAAGAGTAGAAACATGCATACAGTATAACAAAATTAACTTTAAATTTCTATCAATATACCAAAATCCATACCAATGTAAAATATTTTGAGATTAATAGTTATTTTTTGGATTAAAGTAGATTCGATAATCTACCCTTTTATCTCATCATTTCTATATCATATTCCCCTCTTTTCCTTTTGAAAGAGGTCTTTGAATTTAACTCCTTTGTCTAGCCTCCTTTTTTTTAACTATGACTGATAATAACTTATGACCAACCCCCTTTAAATGATGACAAATATCCATAACCAATCTTGTGGGCATTGTTTTCTCTAGATGGCTTCTTGCTGTCTGGGAGCACTGGCATCTTTGGGGGAACCTTGAGAAAATCAGGATAATTGTTAAGTCTTGGCTGGAAGAGTTTGTAAGGCTGGACCAGCTCAGCCAGCATCCTTGAAGCGGTTTTGGATGCAGAACTCTGAGGAGACTGTAACAGAGGCATCTTGATGCTGGATCACCTGGGCCATTTGTTTTCATTGGTGTCTGGTCACCTTGTTCTGAAAATACATAAACTTTTAAAGGTAACATATGTATCTGTATTAATGCAAGTACAGGCTATGTGTTGTGCACAAGTTAGCCAAAGATGATTTTTTTTAAGATTTATTTATTTATTATGTACACAGAAGAGGGCGCCAGATCTCAATACAGATGGCTGTGAGCCACCATGTGGGTGCTGGGAACTGAATTCAGGACCTCTGGAAGAGCAGTCAGTGCTCTTAACCTCTGAGCCATCTCTCCAGCCCCCAAAGATGATTTTTTGTTTTATGTTTGAGCAGGTAAAATATATGTTATGTGTTTTGTAGTCTTTCTAGGTTTATTTCTTTATATCGATAGTCAGGATTTTCAGGGGGTCTTCCCCAATCAAACCTGATCCATATCAACCTGGAATGAATCCACAGCCTTTCATTTCCTGTGGAAATAAAAGCATAACCTCTCCCCCAAAGTAACATATCCTTTGACTTCCATTTTGAAGTCAAGACATTTTTTTAAATATATATGTTGGTTTAATCCAGCAGTATTCATAATCTAATGTGTCTGAGCAGCTGCCATCCCTTCATCAGCAATCAGAAAATTCAAAGACAACACAATAACATACAGAACTGACTCCCCATGTATTTTTCATCTTTGCATGACTTTTTTGTTTATATTTCTTTATTCTTTCTTTAAAGACTTTATTTTATTATTTTTAAACTATTTTTTTCTGTGACTGTCTATATACCATTTCTCTTTTCTCTCCCATGCCTATGTACATTTTTAAAGACACTGCAATGGGTTTAGAGGTTTCTTTCATCTGGATCTGTCTTTACTGTGTGTCTGCAATCTTTTCTGTCTGCATGAGCAAAACTGAGGCCACTGTGCAGCTAAGATCACGGCTTGCTGGCAGCTGACTCCTCCGCCCTCTGTTCCCCCAGAGCCCAGTCTCATGGCGGAGGTACCAGTGGAAACCATGTTTCCTGACAGCTCTGGGAAGGTTTTGGTTCTATGCTGCTGTCGGTGTCTCCACCCAGTCCCATGCCTTGGAGCAATGTGCTGCCTGCTTCTCATAAATCCCACACAAGTGCTTGGCAGCAGGGCCTCCCAAAAGAGCCATGCCTCTGTTTGTTGTTAGCACTGAGTTTACTCGAAAGATGTTTGTATCAGGAAGTTGCTTTTGACTCTGTTTGTGTGTGTTTAGAACCTTTTGTGAGTTTTTGTTTGTTTCTTTTTGTTTTTTGAAACAGAGTTTTTCTGTGTGTAGCTCTGACTGTTCTGGAACTCACTCTGTAGATCAGGGTGGCCTTGAACTCACAAAGATCCACCTGCCTCTGCCTCTCTGAGTGCTGGGATTAAAGGCATGTGCCACCCTGAACCTTTTCTTAAGCTTTCTCAGGTTTTATGTGCATATATGTGTTCCCACATTGAGTGCCATACGTAGGCAGAGTTTCGCTGTGTCTTGGCAGTTGCTCCCAAATACCACACAGAGACTTATTAGTAATTATAAATGCTCGGCTGATAGCTTAGACTTGTCTCCAGCCAATTCTTACATCTTAAATTAACCCATTTCAATCAATTATGTGATACTATGTGGATCACTGCTTATTACCTCATTTTGTACATGTCATGCTCCCTCTGTGTCTGGCCAGGGACTCCTCTGACTCTGCCCTTCTTCTTCCCAGCATTCTCTCTTCCCCAATAATCCTGCCTAGCTATCAGCCAATCAGCTTTCTACTAACAATTAGAGCAATACATATTTACAGTGTACAAAGATTGTTCTATAGTATCTGGTTTTAGGCCTCTGGTTTCTACTACACTATCGATGCTGGGTCCTCACTAGGCTACTTCCTGAGTATCCTGTTGTTGCCCTGTGTTGTGGAGATCTTGCAACTTTGGGTCTGCAAGTCAGGTTCCTTCACATGCTCCAGCAGGTCATAGATGGGGTGGATGTTGGGGTGGCCCAAGTTATAACCCTGGGTCTGGACCTGGGTAGCTAAGGGTTGGTCTGCCAGATGAGAAATGGGGACAGCTCTCCCATGTTTATAGTTTGGTGGCTGGCTCACCTACACCCGCACTAATAGGGTTGGTTCTCCTGCTTTTATGACCACAGGGCCAGCTCTCCCACCTGCCCCAGGTGTTGGTTTTAGTTCTTATATTTGTTGTTAATTCACTCTGAGCTGCCTTTTATGAGTTGGAAGCAGGAGTCCAACTGGGTCCTTTTGCTTGTGCAAAACTATTTGTTCCCACACTGTTGGCTGGGGAGATGTTGAGGGAACCCCTGCAGGTTCCGGAGATGTTGAGGGAATCCCTGCAGGTTCCACACAGGGGAGCAAACCACCAGAAGAGATAAGAATGAAAACTCCATCAACTTGGATCAGACTTTGGGGAGTCTAATAACAGGCAGTTTATTCACAAGGTATTTAAGCCCACTATAACTTGGAAAAAAAAAATGTTTCCCGGTGCAATACAATCCCCATTGCACAAGGAAGCATAATTACATTGAAACTCAGCTTGGGGTACGTGTCATTTCCTCCAAGAAGATGGGTTCTGGAGATAGGCTACCTGTACTAGCTTAAGTGACTGAGGGTCTGGCCTGATCTTGTTCATACAGATAGTATAGAGGTCATTTGGGATATTAGTGACCTCTGTCCTGGTTGTGGGAGGTTGGGGGAGCCTCTGGCTATTGGGTCATTTAGATTACTAGCCATCTCCAGTCTTGGTTGTAGGAGCTTCATATGGCCTGGCCCACCAGATGACACGGATTACCCGGGCTTTTAATCCCTTCCAGTTCAAAGCTTTCTGAGTGGTAGAACAGGTTTTTCATCTTTCCCATTGGAAAGACAATCCTGCATGCTTAACATTCCTTGTTTCTCTGGAGATCTGTGGGCTCCAGGACTTTTGTACTATGCTCCCAACAAGATGTCTTATTTATTTTGTGAGTCTAGAGAGCAGCACAGGGCTTCCCCTATGCTCTATGACCAGCAGATGCTGCAGATGGCAGGTTCTTCATGGATGTGCTTCATAAGAAGATGTTAAGATCTTGGCGGGGCAGTGGCATGCCTTTAATCCCAGCACTTGGGAGGCAGATGCAGGTGGATTTGAGGCCAGCCTCGTCTACAGAGCGAGATCCAGGAAAGGCGCAAAGCTACACAGAGAAACCCTGTCTCGAAAAAACCAAAAAAAAAAAAAAAAAAAAAAAAATGTTAAGATCTCTGAGAAGTTTTGATATGAAAATATCTAAAAATCACAGCACACTTGAGAACTTCCACTTGGGACTCTTGAGTGATGAAAACTATGTGCTGCTTTCCAGATCAACTCTTTGCTAACTTGGACAAGTTCCCAAGCCTGAGAGAACTGTCTGTGATACTAGATGGCATTCCAGATGTGCTTTCGGTCATCCCTGGAGATTTCCCAAACTTTCACCACATGGAGAAGTTATCTATCCAAACTTCCACAGAGTCTGACCTCTCCAAACTGGGTAAGAATGCTGCTTGGATGTCCCAGGTCATGTATCAGCTGGAAAAGCTACTTGGCTAATAATTGTTAGAATCATGAAGTCATCATTAGTTAAAACTTCTGTGAGTCTGACATCATAAACTGTGTCCATGGGAAGGTATGGGGACAGTGCTCTTCCTCATTAAGAGGGCAGACATTTATTTGTAGCCCCGAGTCTCTAACATGACTGGAATTGTTCTGAGCTCTGCACAAATACTAACTCACTCTTCAGACCACTGTGTGAGAGAAGACACAATGATTATTGTTGATTCTCAGCTGGGGAAATTGAGGTCAGCAATTGCTCAGGTTTATCCAGCTAAGAAAATGTATCTTCAAAAGAGAAGGTCTGACTCCATGTCCTGAGCTTTAAACTCCCAGCACACTTCCTCTCCAAGGCAGTTTGTGGAATTCTTTTCTTTTACTGTTGTTTTAGTGGCACTTGCAGATTGCTTGCTGAGGGAAGAAATCTGACTGGGGGCAACCTGGACCTTTCCTCCACTTCTCTCCATCCCAGCCTCCTGTTGATGGACAGCTGTGCAGACATCTTTCTAGAACATGTCATTTAGCAAAATGATGCAGGCACCGTCAGATCCTTAATTTGTTAAACCCTGAACACTAAAGAAATATAAACCTGGGACTGACATGCAGGTCAAAAAGTCACTAAGGCTGGGCATGGTGGCTCATGCTTCTAATCACAGCACTTGGGAGGCTGCTGCAGGACTATCACAACTTCAAAGCCAGCCTACCTATGTGGTGATTTCCAGGCCAACACAACCCACAGGGAAAAAACCCAACCAAACAACAGAAAAATTCTGTCCAATGAGATGGGTCAGTGGGTGCTTGCTGCCAAGTCCAATAACAGGTTGGGTCTGTGGGGTCCCATGGCAAAAGGATAGAACAGATTTCCCCCCAAGTTGTCCTTTTGTGTCCACACACACACACACACACACACACACACACACACACACACACACACCAGATTGTTTAACTAAAAACATTTTTAAGTTGTGCTTCAGAGTTGCCCCCTCTTTTATGTGACTCTGTACAGAATTCCTGCTGCGTCAGGGCAGTGTGCAAACACAGAGATATCAGGGTGCTGATGCCGAAAGTGAAATATGGAGAAGAGAAAACTGATCCAGAGAGGGTCAGGAACCTGCCCTAGGTCTTCTGCTCACTAGTCAGTTGAGGAAGCTGAGCACACACCCAACATGGCCTGAGCACTAGATCAGTGTGTCACTGCCTGTTTAATGGTGTGGCTGGAGATTATGGACTGAGAGGCCAGTCTGGATAGAAATATGTAACCTCTACTTTCTGAATATCCTTCATCTTTTCCAGTTAAATTGATCCAGAACTCTCCAAATCTCCAAGTTTTCCACCTGAAATGTGATTTCTTTTCAAACTGTGAGTCTCTCATGACTGTGCTTGCTTCCTGCAAGAAACTCAGAGAGATTGTGTTTTCTGGACGATGCTTTGAAGCCATGCCATTTGGTAAGAACTATATGCTTACAACTGTGACTTCAGATGCTCCTGTGCAAAAAGTCATTAAATACTCTAGAATTAAAAGGCTGCTGATGTCACAGAAACTGTGACAGCACCTGACTTTAGTGAGTCTTTCACAACAATGAAGTGCATCTGTGTCTACCATGTAAACATTTCCTTTTCAGAATTGTTTCCTCTACTTAGTCATAGTAATTCAATCTGAATATTATATCACCTTTCATCACTTTTGAAACACTCTTACTTCAATGGTATTCCTCTGTGTCTCAGGAAATGTATCTGAACTAACTATATTTCATTTTCCCTTTTCTAGTCACCACTTTGCCAAATTTTGTTTCTCTGAAGATATTGAATCTTGAACACCAACAGTTTCCAGATAAGGAAACATCAGAAAAGTTTGGTGAGTTTATAAACAGAGTTTCTTAATGTATTCTTTATCCTTCTCCCCTCCTCCTCTTCATCCCCTTCAGTTAACCTACAACAAAGCAAGCTGTGCACAGTTGTCCCTTGACATCCATGGCAGCTGGATCCAGGACCTCTGCTGATGTAAACATTAGAGGATCCTCCACTCCATGATATAAAATGGTGCAGTGTTTGCCCATGACCCTACACATCCTCCATATGCTTTAAACCTTCTCTCAATTACTTACAATGCCTAAAATAATGTAAATGCTATGTAAACAAGTGTTACACTGTGTTGTTCTGGAAATAATGGTGAGGGGGAAATGTCTGTACATGTTTGGCACAGACACAATTTTTAAAGATTGAACCTGTGGTTGGTGGAATGTGCTGATACAGAACATCAGCTGTACCAGCTATGCTGGTCCTTAGGAAGACACCATAGTGATGCTCAATATCACCCCCAGATGCCATCACTGTTGGTCCCACATATCCTCACACTTGATCTCATTAAGTGCAATGTTCTCAGACTCACCGACTTCTTAGGAGAGAATTTGGTCCTGATAGCACTGTGGAACTTCATAGTCTGGCACCCACTCCAAATATGCAACATCCTTTTTGTTTCAAAGGTTTCAGAATTCATATTAAAACTCCTATTTAGTTTAAGAAACCTAATCTGTGACAAATCAAATTGAACAAAACAATAAGTGTAGAGAGTTTATATGCTTTTTTGAGTTACAAAATGTTTAGAAAAGTAACGTGCTTGGGCTGGAAAGATGGCTCAGAGGTTAAGAGCACTGCTTGCTCTTCCAAAGGTCCTGAGTTCAATTCCCAGCAACCACATGGTGGCTTACAACCATCTGTAATGAGATCTGGTGCCCTCTTCTGGCCTGCAGGGATACATACAGACAGGACACTGTATACACAATAAATAAATAAATATTAAAAAAAGCGGGGACGGGGTTGGGGATTTAGCTCAGTGGTAGAGAGATTGCCTAGCAAGTGTAAGGCCCTGGGTTCGATCCTCAGCTCCAAGAAAAAAAAAAAAGAAAGAAAGAAAAGTAATGTGCTTTCATGGGAAACAGTAGCAGGTTAAAAAAAAAGTGGGGAGACAATGGTGATATGGGGTACAGAGCTCTGTCTCCACACTACTTCCCAGACTTTGTATGCATAAGGAGAGCCTGGTAAAGAAGGGTGTGGGGTGAGGGCTTTGTGGATCAGTAGAGTGACCTGCGGCCAGAGGAGGCCTGACTGTGGGAACAGAAGTGGAAATGGAAAGACAGCCTGGACCTGTGTGAAGAGTCAGGTTGGGGGAGGATGGAGGATCCAGCTGCAGAGAGCAGCAGGAAGCAGCTGTGTGCTGACCCCTTCTCCTTTCCTTGGAGAGCACAGTGACAAGGAGGGCCTCTGCTAGGTGGGGCCTCCTAGACTGCAGGATGTCTAGGCCATCAGCTGCTCGCTCATGCTGGGACTACTACTGAGGATGGCTTTGTGGTGTCTCCCACAGCACAGGCTCTGGGTTCTCTCAGGAACCTGGAAGAACTGCTCCTTCCCACTGGGGACGGGATTCACCAAGTGGCCAAACTGATTGTCCGGCAGTGTCTGCAGCTTCGGTGTCTCCGAGTTCTTGCCTTTAAGGAGACTTTGGATGACGACAGTGTGATGGAAATCGGTGAGTTTCCCTCAGGAAAGGGTTTCCCCCTGTGTGGAAGCAGTGGCTTCATTGGAGCTGTCTGCTGCAAATGTCTATACAAACACCTGACCCTCCAAACTGTTCAACCTACCTCCTCATTTCCACTCTCCCACTGCTTCCTCTCATGCCCTTCTGTAGATTTTGGTTCATCCTGGTCAGACTGGGCAGGTCAATTGCCTCTTTGGGAGCTATAGAAGCTATCTTTCCTGGGCCTTACTCATGTATGCTAGGCCAGTGTTCTACACCTCACTGCAGCCCAGGCAGGTCTGTAGGACACTTGGTGTTTCACCAGCCTGGCAGGATGCTCTTTTTGTTCTTTAAGTGTTTACAATATGTATAGGAAGGTGTGGAAGTCTGCAGATAAAGCCGAACAAGATTATCCAGTTCATGGTCTTGGGAATTTTGCTGAGTACATTTTTTTTTTGGTTTTTCGAGACAGGGTTTCTCTGTGTAGCTTTGCGCCTCTCCTGGAACTCACTTGGTAGCCCAGGCTGGCCTCGAACTCACAGAGATCCGCCTGGCTCTGCCTCCCGAGTGCTGGGATTAAAGGCGTGCGCCACCACAGCCCGGCTTGCTGAGTACATTTAAACCGGGGTTAGAACACAGACCATCACTGTCATGCCCATATCACGACCCCAAAGAGACCACCAAAGACCATGGATGTCCAGAATGCAACAGCAAGGTTTATTCTATAGATACAAGTCTAGACAGGGAACTCATTCCTACACCCAATAGAGTGAGGCAGAGGGGAGTTGTTCTTTCTTTGTGAGGCTAGCTGTTTAAAGGCAAAAACCGCAAGCCCTTCAGGGTAGTTGGGGGGGTTTGGCACGGGTGCAACTCGGATTGGTTTATTTTTATCTCTGTTCTCTTTTAATTGGGTGAGGGTATGTAACCTTTGAATTTACTGGTTGGGGGTTATAATTATCATTTTGGAGGCTGTCCAGGACAAGCCCCAGGCTTTGTCCTTGAGCTGCCATGGGGGCTGGCTGGCCTAGCACATACTGACTGTGGGGGCTGACTCAGTGGCCCAGGCTCTGTCCTTGACTCATGCACATAACTCTAAGTTGGTGAGGGGTCCCAGACAGTAAACATCTGGCTGAACCTTGAACAGTCAGAGTACGTGCAGAAAGGGAGCTACTGCAAGGACTATGTCTTTTGTTTATGGCCCTCCCAGAGACTGCTTGCTCAGTCTCAGGAAACTGAAATTGAGGCCTGATCTCTGAGAGAAGACTGAGCAGTCTGTTATAGCATCTGCTTGGTCCTTTCATCACCAATGCCAGAAACCCAGGTCCCATCCCTAAGTAAATAATGAATTAATCCATCTCTGCCCCTTGTCTACCTTCCTTATGGCTCTAGTTTGCCTTTATATCTTGAAGCTAGGTACACAGCACATGCGGAGGTGTGAGATCTTTCTGGTCGACCAGGGTTCCTCACCTGTGACGCCACTTCCTGCCTTACTCTCGCTGCTTGTATATTAATAATATAGGCATCCAGCATTCTTTCCATGTCTTTTTCCTGCTTTTAAATCTATGTCCCTAATTTTAACGTGAGTCTCTTCTGCAGTTACATAGTTGAATCTAGGAAGGAGTTCTGTTGGTGAAGCACTTGCCTAGTGTGCACGAAGCCTTGGGCTTGATCCCTAGCACAGCACACAAACAGGCATAGCGGTTATAATGGTGCACATCTGTAATGCCAACACTCAAGACACAGAGGCAAGAGGACCACCATCATCCAGGTCACACTCCCTGCCCACATAGTGAGCCAGGGGCCAGTATGTGCTACAGGAGACCCTGCCTCAAAACAATCAAAAACTCCACTATCACCCAAGTAATAAATGGTACAAATCTGAGGTTGCAGAGAGGGCTAAGTCTGTAAAGTATCTCCAGTCCTGTGGGAAGTGCTCAGTGTGAGATGCAGCAAGCTCCCAGGAGGGGGCGCTAAGGAGCTGAGGACAGGAGAATCCATAGCACTTAGTAGCCAGGCAATCCACTGGAATCCTTGAGCGCCAGGTTCAGTGAAAGACTGGTCTCAAAAAGTAAGGTGCAACTGAGAGGACATCCATCACTCACTTCTGGGCTCCACACACACCCACACATACATGTGGATCACACACACATCCCACACACCCCACACATACATGTGGATCACACACACATCCCACACACACACACACATACACGTGGATCACACACACACCCCACACATACATGTGGATCACACACACATCCCACACACACCCACACATACACGTGGATTACACACATCCCACACACACCCACACACACATACAGAAAATTTAAAACAAAAATACAATCCATTCACCTTTTATTTACATTGAACATATTTGTAACTACAGTTGAATTTTTACTTGCTTTTTGAGACAGTGACTGTTGATTAATAGTTCAGCCTGGACTTTACCTTGCTATGTGGCCCTCAATGGCCCTGAACTCTTGCATCAACCTCCCCAGAGCGGAGATGACAGGGGTGTGTGAGCCCTCTGTGTATTGTTATTTGGTATTGGTTTCTTTATTTCTTCCATAGGATATGTGGGTTTTTTCTCTCTTCTTTTTTGCTTCCTACATTTATTAGCTTCTTAATTACACATTCTCTTTTTCTTCAGGGGGTGGTTAGGTAGAGTCTACTCTATAGCCCAGGCTGGTTTCAAACTCACGATGTAATTCAAGTTGGCTTTGGATCCATGGCCATCCTCCTATTTCAGATTTCAAGGCTTATTGTGGCCATGCATAGCTCCAGCTCTACATTTTTCCTCTTTCCGTGTTATCTTGGATAATAAAATTTGCAATTTGGATAATATAAATTAATATGTGAATACACACTTTTACCACTTTATGAGTCACGTAGGTGTTCCTGGAATATTTAAGTTCTATTCATCTGGGTTGTCAACGCGGCTTAGCAGGTAAAGGGCTTACTGCCAAGCCTGAAGACTGAAGTTTGATCCCACAACATGAAAGAAGAGAATTGACTGTCTCTTTCCTTCATATCCATGCTGTGCCTGTGAGCACACACACACACACACACACACACACACACACACACACACACACACACACACAGAGGCATAGTAAAAATACTTAAATTACACCCTACATTCACCTCCTACTTCTTGCATGTCATTGATTTTGGATTCTAAGGCATTTTAGCTCTTCAATTAGTATTTTAAACAGTTCTGGGCTTAGTATTCGCAAACTAGATTTGCTTATTTTATTTTTTAATGTTGGTGTTTTTGACACAGGGTCTCCTATGTTGCCCAGACTGGTAACAAACTTGCAGTAACCTTCCACCTCTGTGTCCCGAGTGCTGGTGTTCCTGTTTCTGTGCCTGCTGTATTGATTCCCAGCCGCTGGCTGTTGCTCCTGAGCCTCCCATGTTTCCATTCAGCAGGGTCCTTTTCCTTCTGCTGAAGGGCTCTGTTAGCATTTCTTCTGCTGTGGGTCAGCTAGTCATGACTTCTCTATTTTAATGATATGAAAATGGCTTTTGCCTTCATCTTTGAAATACTTTCCCAGTGCATTCTTTTTGGAGTTACTTAGTTTCTGGCCTGTATCATTTCTTTTGTTTAGTGTCCATTCTCAGTGTTTTCATGATATGATGTCCTTAAAGGTGAGGTGTCTTTTTCCCCACCTCAGTAGCTTTTAAGATTTACTTTCTTTTTTTCTAACAGAGTCTCACTATGTAGCCCAGGCTGGCCTAGAACTCCTAATCCTCCTGCTTCGGCATCCAGAGCAGCTGGAGCTAGAAACTTTTCTTTGTGGCAGTGGACACACACTTCATTTTGTCTTCCCAAAGTCCGTATGTTGAAGTCCTAACCCCAAAGTGACTGCATTTGGAAATAGGGGACTAGTTATGGCCACCAAGCCAACTAAAACCGCAGCTGAGTTCAGCATGACTGGGTAACTATTCTACCTGGGGTCTGGAGAACTGATGGGATCTGAGGCTTGACAGCTTTTCATCAGCTTTAGGGCATTCTTAGGCAATGCATTCTGCCAAATTCCCCCTCGCTGTTTCCTTCTGCATACAGCAGAACTCAACCTGATTTGGGACCAGGGAAGGGCTGTGGAGGTGAGGTTACGACTAAGACCTTCTATACGATGGTGGAGCCGAGCAGGGAGAGGAGGCATTGACATTCTGAATAGTAAAACCACCTCTGTCCTAGAACCAGGTCCATTTGAAGAATTTTTAAAAATCAGAGTCTGGAGTGAGAGGCAGGAGTTCTAAAGAGACAGAGAGGAAAGGAAAGGTCCTGCTGGGGTGGGCTTCATGGGTATGTGAGAGATGTTGGATTTCATCTTGTGACTGCTCAGCACTGTTACTTATAAATGCTATTTAAAGTGCTAATTCCAGGTGTGGTGGCACATACCTGTAATCTCAGCACTCAGGAGGCAGAGGCAGGCAGATCTCTGTGTAAGTGCAAGGCCAGCCTGGTCTGCACAGTGAGTTCCATGCCAGCCAGAGCTACATAGTAAGAGTCTGTCTTAAAAAAGTGAATGAACAGAACAGAATAGGACACAGTTCTGAGAATTCACACCGAAGCCAAACCAGTGCTAGGTGCCCACTTCCAGTCATGGACTCCGGTTGAGACCTTACCCTAGCCTGCACATCCTCCAGAGCTCTAAGTAACTAGGAAGTCATCTGGGCAAACTGGAGAGCAGTCACAGTGAGAGGACATGCTTTAGGACTGCCACCTTCCGTTCTCTGCAAAAAGGGAGACGCTGTTGCCACCATTTCTCAGTCCCCTATAATGTGACCTGTTCCACAGCTGTGCCCTGCCTTGGCATGTCCTCCTGTGAGACCAGAAGAGAAGTCCACATTGCCCAGACAGCCAAAATTCTGTGCTGGACTTCCTGGCTTCTGCTTCCTCCAAACTGCTTGCAGTTTGACCAGGTGCTTCCCTACCAACCAAGCAGCTCTTGAGGGTTTTCAAAGAATGATCTCTAAAAAAATGTTTAAAGCCAAGCGTTGTAGCGTATGCCTTTAACCCAAATGTCAGAAGGCAGAGGTAGAAGATGTGAGTCCTAGGCCAGCCTCATCTACATAAGTGAGTTCTAGGTCAGCCTCATCTACATAAGTGAGTTCTAGGCCAGCCTCATCTATATAGGTGAGTTCTAGGCCAGCCTCATCTACATAAATAAGTTCCAGGCTAGCTAGGGCTATGTAGGTAGGACCTGATCTTGGGGGAAAAATGCTGAGCAATCTCTGCCTTCATTGGTGGGTATGAGGTTAGTTACGATAACCTTGTAAGCTTTACTCAAGTCCTTGGCATTTTGTCTTCATAAATATTTTGGTTTGCTCTCTTTCCAGCCAAGGGAGCAACCAGCAGAGGTTTCCAGAAACTTGCAAAATTAGATCTTTCATTGAATCACAAGATTACAGAAGAAGGGTACAGACATTTCTTTCAAGTCTTGGACAACCTGCCAAACTTGCAAGTGCTCAACATTTCTAGGCATCTCCCAGAATCCATCCAAGTTCAGGCCACCACTGTCAAGGCTCTGAGTCAGTGTGTGTCCCGACTGCCCAGCCTCACCAGGCTTCATATGCTCAGTTGGCTCCTGGATGAAGAGGACATGAAAGTGATTAATGCTGTGAAGGAGAGACACCCTCAGTCCAAACGCTTGATTGTTCACTGGAGGTGGGTAGTGCCCTTCTCTCCTGTCATTCAGAAGTGAAGGATGCAGCTGAAGATTACTGGAGGTCTCAAAACCCAATTTCCGAATACATTTCACTCTAGACAAGCATGGTGTCCCCAGTACTTAGGAGACTGAGACAGGAGGATCAAGAGGTTGAGTCCAGCTGGGTTACATAACAAGACCTGCTGATGAACCAAATCCTTTACTGTTACATACACAAGAATATTCTTAGCCTGTCAGGCTGGTTACTGTTTGCAAGCCTGCACGCCCACAGTGAGCTATGACAAGCAGTCCTTGGCAATCCTCGTATGGTCCTCCTGTCTAAAGACTAGAGCCTCACTCAAGTTCATACCGAGAACCCTCCATTGCCAAGGTCAACAGGAAGGGGCGGGGAAAGGAACATTGATCTGTGTAAAAGTCAGAACAAGGAAGGCGCATTTGATGGAGGTAAGAAATGGCCAGTTTAAGGATGAGTCAGTCCCACCCATGGTGAAGCATGAGCTGACTTTAGCACAGGATGCAGAGGACTCTTTGCAGAGATGCTCTTTAGTCTTTGCAGGGCTTCTGTAGAGTCACCAGCCTTGGTGTGGCCATGCTTGCTCACACCATCTCCCATCCATTGTCGATGTGAGGAAGAAAGTGGGCTTAGAGAAAACTGCTTTTGTTCCAGAGGCTTTTGAGAGTTACATATATTATGACAGCTTTATCATTTTGTTGGGAATCCAGTCCGTTTTATGTGATTTGATCTTGTAAGGATTCCTGGGTATATTAACTTGATTGTGATAATTGTCATTTCGTACTGGTCACTGCTCTAGAGGTGGTGGGACCTGGGAGAATGGAATCAATAAATGAAGCAGACTACAATCTCATGCAATAGCCAGCTTTATTCAGAGCATCAGACAATTTATACTCGGGGAGTTAAGGAGGTCACCTAAGTAAAGTTCTCTTGTGTTCAAGCTGTAGACAATCACAAAAACAAGCCGCGTGTGGCAAAAACATGTTTTTCTATAGAACAGCAGTTCTCAACTTGTTGGTCAAGACCACTAGGGGTCAAATGACCCCTTCACAGGGGTCACTTTGGACCATTGGAAAACACAGATATTTACATTACGATTTGTAACATTAGCAAAACTACAGTTATGAAGTAGCAACAAAAATAATTTTATGATTGGGGGGTCACAACATGAGGAACTGTATTAAAGGACTGAAACATTAAGAAGGCTGAGAACCTCTCTAAAGAGGCAAATAAAGGATAATTTAAGCATTTAATTGAATAACAACAGCAAGCAATAATGAGTAATCTGAAGTAAACTCAGTCCTATTTGCTACACCTAGGAGGAACACAAAAACACATTGTAAAAACAATTCCGTGTTTTGAAGAAATCACAAGCACTCAGAATTCTCCTCACATGACTCCATTCTTAGACCATGTCCTGACACATAATGTATATGAAAAAACCTATGTACCTTAAATATATATGCCTTTTATTTTTCAGTTATCCTATAATAAATCTTGGAAAAGATTCCCAAAGTTAAAAATAAAAAATAATTAGTATTGGTTATCTCTGAGAACTGAGATAGTTCCTCCCTTTTGTCCTATTTTGTTTTATAAATTGCCTGTTATTTTAATATTTAATATAAAACTTCAGGCTTGAGGTGTAGTTCAAAAGTGTGTGCCTACATAGTATTCCTGAGATCCTAAGCACAATCTCCAGCACTACCGAAAATACATAACAAAATCAGTACATATTAAGTAAGTAAGGCCTGGAGAGATGGCTCAGCAGTTAAGAGCACTGGTTGCTCTTCCAGAAGACCTGGCTCTGTGGTTAAAAGCAGTCATGGTTCTTGCAGAGGACCCAGGTTCAATTCCCATCACTCCCGTGGTAGTTTTGAGTCACCTGTAACTCCAGCTCCAGGAAATCCAACATCCTTTTCTGGCCTCTCTGGATACCAGTTAAACACATGGTACACACATATATATGCAGACAAAACACCCATGCCCATAAAACAAAAAATAAGTCTTTTAAAAAGAAAAAAAGAAACATTTCTAATAAGAGTTCAATGGTTCTGATTTATTCCTCAGCACTTAAAAAGGAAAAACAAAACTACTGAAATGTCTATTTCTGGTCACATACTCCATATCCCAACTCTGACTCCTTCAAATGGGCTGCTTTTCTGAACATCTGCTTCATTTTTAAGTTTTTTTTTTTTAAAAAAGCAAAACAAAACCAGGAAGTCAATTTTATAGCAAAGAATAGTACACATAGAGCACAACTGAAATAAGTAACAATAGCTGTAAACTCATAAAAATAGATATTAAATATGATTTTACTAAGCTAGAAAACAACTTTCATTGGAAGAGTTCTTTACAAGCACGGGTAAGTGTTCTTTCATGCTTACATCCTCTCCCCAAGCTTTTATCTCTTCCATCTCACTGAAACAGCTGTTTTAGCATCACCAGCGACCTCCACGTTGGTACGTTCAATGACTGTGCTGCGGCCTTCATCTTACTTGTCCTGTTTCCAGCATCTGAGCTACTGATGGGCTCATCACTGGTCTCTAAGAAACGCCTGCTTCATCTGACATTAGGGCCTCACTCCTGGTTTCCTCCTCAGACTGCTCCAGCTCAGTCCTCTGCTGTTCCTCTTTTACCACTGGGGGGCATCTGAGGTCTCCTGACTGTGTGTGAGTGCACTTCCTGGAACACCTCATCCAGCTGAGGGGCTTTAAGTTCCATGCCTACACTACCTCCTCCATCTCCAGCTCTAGCCCTGGACTCTTTTTATATAACCCTAATGGGCATTGCATATTTCACATCTCCAAAGTGTGGTGATACTTTATTTGTGCTGAAATGTGGTGATATTTTATTTGTATGTTAATAAATAAAGTTTGCCTGGAGATCAGAGGAAATAGCAAGCCATTTTAAGTAACACAAAAGTCAGGCAGTGGTAGCACACGCCCTTAATCCAATAACTTGGCAGGCAGGGTCTCTGTGTGTTCAAGGCCACACTAGGGAACAGAACCACACATAGTGAGTGACACACACCTTTAATCCCATAGAGACCTGAAGGTCTGTACAGACAGGCAGTGACAAGGAAATGAGGTAGCTGGGCTAAGAGCCAATGAGAGGGCAGAATAACAAGGCAATAAAGGTGCAGGAAGTAGCACACTTTGGAAGCTGCAGCGTGGTGAGGTAAGGTTAGCTGGTAGCTATTCCTATTTCCCTGATCTCTAAGGCTTTCATCTCTATATTTGGCTCCGTGTTTTTTATTTAATAAGACCGCTTAGAAATTTGTCTACACCAAAGCTAACTCTTAGCCTTCCCCTTCACTGAAGTACTCTGATGGCACACTTTCATCTCTTGACTCCCACTGGACTCCTCCAGGTGCTTAGGGAAACGCTTGGAGTTATCCTTAGCTCTTCTTAGACCATGTATAATCTACTGACAAATCCTGGCAATTCCACTTGCAAAATACAGTGGATTCCACATGGTTAGCCCACTTTGGTGAAATCTGCAGTGTAGTTTCACCACGCAGTCAGAGGTTCCTCCTAGAGGTCAGGTCATGCTCTACCTCTGCCTCACTATTCCCCACTGGAGTCCCAGCTAAAGGGAAATGCTCTCAACCTCACAGTGTCCTATGTACAGCCTGACTCTTGGCCCCTGCTCATCCCTATCTCCTTATGCTTCCTCTCACTCTGGCCACTGGCCTCCTTGCTTGTCCTTGACTATTCCACACACATTCTAATAGAAAGGCATTTGCTGTTGCTTTTCCTAGGATGTTCCCTCATGCCATGGTTTGGAAATGCCATCCCTACTGTGAGCTACTAGGAATGGGAACTTAATCTACTGTGCTTACCCCTGGGGTCTTTGGAAGGTATTTAGGATAAGGTCATCAAGATGAATGAATCCTAGTGGCTTCCTGAGAGGCCAGGTATGAACACATACACAAAGTACACAAATCATGCTCATTGCCTCTTGCAATATTATGCCTGATTCAAGCTCAGCACATTAGACAAAATCATCAGCCCTGAACCTCCAGAACTGTGAGCCAATATAAGCTTTCTAACCACCCCCTGTAGGCTATTTTCCATTGTGTCCGAGATGACAGAGTGCATGTGTATGCGTGGGTATGGATGCCCATGTCTACGTGCCGAAGGTCACCACGGGTGTCTTTGTCACCGCCTGCACTATTTCCTTGAGAACCTGGAACTTGGGGCTTTGAGGCTAGGCTGATGGCCGACAAACCAGTGATGCTCTGGCTGCCCCTCTGCGCTGCCCTTCTCCCACTGAGCCATCTCCACTGCCTATTGTCTTTAGTTCAGCCTTCCCGTTGTTGTTACTGCATTAGATGTGGTCTCTTGTTGGCCAGGCTGGTCTTAAATGATGAATCCTACCACCTCAGCTTTTCAAGTAACTGGTGCTGTATCATATGCCAACATACAAGGCATCCTAGTTTCACCAAGAGCAACTCCCAGCACTTAAAAAAAGTTGAGTATTTGCCAGAATGAATAACCTCAGTCCAAGTAAATGTATTGGGTACTAAAGGGAATTAAAATTAATGTTAATGTCTAATATCTGGTTGGAAGTTAACTGGATATATTAGTAATTAAATTTAACTTGCAAATTAACCAATTAAGCTGTGCCAAATCTATAATAGCCAACTGTCATGAAATATTCCCTCTAAAAGCTCAAGTCATATTTTGCAAAGCTACTTACTAGATATTGACTATTCATTAATTTAATAATACTTACTTGACGGCTAATATGCTAGGCGCATAGGGGGCTTAGTTAATTTAGTTTACCTACTCAAAACTTAGGAATAGCATTTACCATATTGTTTTTATGGTAGTGGAGATGAAACCCAGGGAGCTTAGTTAATTTAGTTTACCTAGTCAAAACTTAGGAAAGGAATAGCATTTACCATATTGTTTTTATGGTAGTGGAGATGAAACCCAGGGCCTTGTACATGTAAGGCAAGCTCTACCATGGGCTCTATCTCCAGCTCAACAGAGCTGATCTCTTAACCTTTTCCTCCAGAGGTGAATGAACCAGGGAGAAGCCTGAGTGCTTGACACCAACCCTCACAAGACTCTAATGAAGGTACACACGGAACTGCAAGGCCATGATGGGGAGAGAACAGCAGGGGCTGTGGTGATATATTGTGCACCCTAATAAGATTTGTGGTGATATATTGTGTACCCTAATAAGATTTGTGGTGATATATTGTGTACCCTAATAAGATTTGCCTGAAAATCAGAGAACAGAACAAGCCACTAGATTAAACATAGAGGCCAGGCAGAGGTGGCACACACCTTAGCACTCAGAAGACAGAGATCCATCTGGATCTCTGTGTGTTCAAAGCCACCCTGGACTACATGAGATTGACTCAGTCTAGGAGAGATACAGAGCCAGGCAGTGGTGGCACACACCTTTAATCCCAATACTTGGGAGTCACATGCCTTTAATCCAGGCACTAAGAAGGAAGTGATGGCTAGGCACAGAAAGGTATATAAGGCATGAGGAGACAGGAACTAGAGGTTTTTCAGGCTGAAGAGTACAAGAGGTAAGACATGGCAGTGGCTTGTTCCTTTGTCTCTCTGATCTCTCAGCATTACCCCAATATCTGGTTCTGAGTTTTATATTATAAGACCTTTTAAGATTTGAGCAACAAGGGGCAATTGGGTCAGGCAGGAGGTAAGGAGGTGAGGTGAGGAGGTAAGGAACATCAGGGGGAGAGAGGGAGACTAGAAAGACAGACAAGGGAGGATGCAAAGAGAACAATACAGCTTCTAAAAGACAACACAGGGTGTGGTGCTGGGGATGTCTTTCTGTACACTGTGAATGTGTTGCTCTGATTGATTGATAAATAAAACACTGATTGGCCAGTAGCCAGGCAGGAAGCATAGTATAGGCAGGATAAAGAGAGAGGAGAATTCTGGGAAGGGAAGGCTGAATCAGGAGATGCTGCCAGCTGCCGCCGCCATGAGAAGCAAGATGTAAAAGTACAGGTAAGCCACAAGCCACATGGCAACTTACAGATTAATAGAAATGGGTTAATTTAAGATATAAGAACTAGATAGCAAGAAGCCTGCCACAGCCATACAGTTTATAAGTAATATAAGTCTCTGTGTGTTTACGTGGGTCTGAGTGGCTACAAGAGTCGGGTGGACACAAGAAAACTTCAGCTATAGTGTGGTGGTACTGCCTGTGGCGTCAGTATTTGGGGGCGGAGTCAAGAGGGCTGTAAATTGCAGGAAACTCAGACTGCACAAAAATCTTTCAAAAAAGTGAAGAACAGGGCTGGTGAGACGGCTCAGCAGGTAAAGGCACCTGCCAACCAACAACCTGGATTCAATCCCTAGAACCTACAGAGTAGGAAGAAGAGCCAAGACTTCATAAGCCGTTCTCCGACCTCCAGATTTGAGCCATGGGAAACACACACATAACCCAGAACTCACCTTGGTTCCTGGCTAGCCAGTGTAGACCCTGTGACACTAACTAGCTTTTGTTTCCCAATCCTAAATTATCAATTTGTCCCACCTTCAGAAATTACCCTTTACCCAGGTAATAAGTCTGAGTAGTTTTCTTCCTGTATCTTTAAACAGACTCAACTTCACTGTATATATCCCAAAGGAAAATATTTCAAAAAAGGACTTTATTTGTTTGTAAAGGCATGAATAAAAATCTTGACACACTAAGGAAGTTACAATTGTACAGGTGTGCTCAGTCACAGCTTTGGCAGACTGACTTCCACGTGCTCACAGTTCCACCATTCTGTTCCTCAAAGTGATCGTGCTCTAAACACACCCCACTGGTGAGTTAGGCCCGGACCCAGAACGGGAAAACACTGGTGATGACACCACTCAGCCAAGAGTCCACAAGATGACGATGAGACGTCTGTTCATATCGACCAGGGACACCAACATACCATCTCCTTGGCAGAGAGCTGAACCTGAATTTGAAAGAAAAAAGTCTAGGCAGTCACACAATATTAAAAAAAGAAGAAATTTCGTGTGTGTGTGTGTGTGTGTGTGTGTGAAAGTATATGAGTGTGGAGGTCTAAGACAACTAGCACGAGTCGGCTCTCTCCTTCCACCCTGGGGACTGAATTCGGGTCATCAGGCCTTTGCCCTCTTTGGGGCATCTTTTTTTCTTTTTAAGATTTATTTCTTTATTACATACACAGTGTTCTATCTGCAGACCAGATAGAGGGTGCCAGATCACATTACAGATGGTCGTGAGCCACCATGTGGTTGCTGGGAATTGAACTCAGGACCTCTGGAAGAGCAGCCAGGGCTCTTAACCTCTGAGCCATCTCTCCAGCCCCCCTCTGAAGCATCTTGTCAGCCCCTAAATCTTATTTTTATACTGAATGCAAAGAATAAAAATATGCTAATATAAAAATAATAACTTTAAAAATTAAGGAATACTAGTATTGATCTTTTTTCTATTAGAATTTAAAACATACTACAAATTATCAAATTATGTGTTAAACTTTTCATTAAAAAGTAGTAACTGCTACAATCTAATGAGCATTCTTTCAATACAGTAAAACTAAAAATTAGTCACTCAGAATTACAATTTTAAGTGTCTCGAGTTAAAAAATGAACTAAAAATATTAGGGCCCCTAGAAAGTTACAATAAGAACTCTATATAAATAGCCACCATTCCAGAGCCATGCCTGTCTCCTTCCTGCCATGATGATCACAGACTAATCCTCTAAAACAGTGAGCAAGCCCCCAGTTAAACACTTTCTTTATAAGAGTTGCCTTGGTCATGGTGTCCCTTCACAGCAACAGAACAGTGACTAAGACAATAGATAATGCAGTGTATTGCACACTGCATCATTTATCAAAGTGGGAGCGGGGTGTCCTGGAGAGACGGCTTAGTGTTTACTAGCACTTACTGCTCTTGTTAGAAGACCCAGGCAACTTATAACCACCTATATATAACTCCAGTTTCATGGGATCCAATGCCCTCTTCTAGCCTTGAGGGCATCAGGCATGCACACAGTACATAAACACACATGTAGGCAAAACCTCCAGACACACAAAAAAGTTTAATTTAAAGAGTGCATGTGGGGCTGGTGATAGGGCTCAGTGGCAGAATGTTTGCTCCCTACATGTGTGAGGCCCTAGGTTCAATCCCTACTGCCCCAACTCCCCCCAAAAGCAGCAAGCCTGACTGGTCAATGGCCAATGACACTGCAATTATCCTCACATCCTAAACCAGATTCTAAACCAGGTGTGATACTGCCTATCTATAATCCTCGCACTCTGAGACTGAGGCAGGACAACATGGAGCTGAAGGCCAGCCTCAGAATCTTTTCTCATAAAGCATGTTCTGCCCACATAACCAAACCAACCACCAGATATTTGGGAGATGACACTTTGACATCATGAAAATTTGATTAAGTGGGGATAGTTCAATATTTAATCTAATTTTCGGCAGTCTTTAGTGAGGCTGGGGAGAGAGCTCAGCAGTTAAGAGCACTTGCTACTCTTCTACATGACCCGAGGTCAGTTCCCACACCATGTCACGGAGCTGACAACTACATGTAACTCAAGCTCCAGGGGATCTAACACTCTCCTCTGGCTACACACACACACACACACACACACACACACACACACACACACACACACATACACAAAGACACACACATACACACACACACATACACACATACACAAAGACACACACACACACACTTTTAAAAACTAAAACGTCTTCAGTATAGTTTTATATAAAACTTTTTGACATTTTAATTTTTAAATGTTCAAAACACTCATTTTCCACAAACTATGAAAGTTATGCAAAGGTAAGATTAGTTCTTACTTACTGCTTAATTTGTATGTGAGCGCTTTCCTTCTTTCTTATTTTGTCTGAAACCCTGTAAAGAGCAAATGAAAAGTTAAAAGAACAGGACACACACTAGATAAATGTGAATAAACAGTTCAAACCAAGCATGAGAGCAAGTGTGGGGTGGGGCGGGGAATGGGGGTGGGTACAAGAAAGGAGGATCAGCAGTCCAAGGCCGTCTCCAGTTTCACAGGTGTCTAAAGCCAGCATGGGCTGCGGTAAACCCTGCCTCCTGCTGGGGGTGGTAACCCATGCCTTTAATCCCAGCACTCAGAAGACAGAGGCAGGGGGATCTCTGTGAGTTAAAAGCTAATCTGGTCTGCTTAAAAAACAAAACAAAAGCCCTTGAGCCCAGCTCAGCGATGCACACCTGACAAGCCCAGTGTTCAGGAGACAGGCAAGAGGGTCCTGCCTTCAAGGCAGCTGGGCCAGTGCGAGGCTAAACTACACAGTAAGACCCTGCCACAAAAACCACGAGACTGGGGACACAGCTGGGCGCTGCAGCATTTGCCTAACGTGCAAGGCTCTGGGTCTGCTCCCCAGCACTAAAGAACAACCAAATAAGTAGTCTGTTTCATGTGAGATACCGTACTAATTTTATTTAATAAAATGCCATCAGAAAATAAGTGTGTATTTTAAAAAGTAGTCTATAGCATTCCGATATGCTTTAAGGGCGACTGAGCCAAGCTGGGCATGGTGGCACACACCTGTAACCCCAGCAACTGGGAAGCTAAGGCAGGACGACTGCTACAGTTTGGAGGGCAGCCTAGGCTACAGTGATTCAGAGAAACCTGGGCTACAGAGTGGGACCCTGCACCCCCTGCAAAACAAACAAACAAACAAACAAACGAACCCCAAACAACAGAAACAAAAAGTGACAATCACAAAGTAAAATACTAAGTTGGAGTTCACCTTTTCTCCCTTCACTGTCAGTGATACTCCTGACCAATGACGTGACCTCACTCACTCACTCACTCACTCACTTAAGCGGAGGGTGTAGCTCAGGGGACAGCACTCGCCTCCCAGGTGCAAGGTCCCACAGTCTGTAACCCAGCCCCCCATAAACAAAGGAACAAACTGAAAACTCATTAAATTCCAGAACTCACTAAATAGAAAGTGCTAGAGTTTAAGAAAAAACTAAGTACCCAAACATTTATTGTTTCCTGGTCAGACTAGCCCCAGTGCCCTCCTTTCTCACTTAAATGCCATCTACAATTATCTATATGTGCGTCTGAATTGACATCCAAACAGCCATGAGATGTAGCGAAGTGGATTGTTTCCCAGGAAGCCCACAGAGCCCATTTACATTCCTGCAATAACAACACTTACTCATTCAGGTCCTGCTCTGGTTTCTACAAAGAATGAAGAGGTGAGCACTGGCCTCCAAGCTCAGTCAATACTCTGACAGGGCAGGAGGACCCTGTGGCTTGGGCCACACTGGACGAAGGCTAAGAATTGCTCACCTACGTCAGTGGGAGCTTCAGAGGACTTGGGCTCCTGTGAAGCCTGACTTACACGCTTGCTTACTCCTCTCAAAGGGAAAGCCTTCAGGACGTCATGCTCCAGGAAAGCACAGGTCCCACACCTCTGAAGGTCACATGTTTGTATTTTAAGTTAAGCAAATTAATCTAATGAAATTTAATCAATGCACACATACAGATGATACTCCTAAAAGGAAAACATTTCTCTGGCTAGCTCTAAATGTGGGGCAAATACTCCAAGGAACACTGCTACGCAACAACTACTTCTTAGGACCAGAACAGAAAAGTCTTTTGAACAGGGCGTGGTCTAATTCCAGTGCTCCAGAGGCAGAGCCAGGAGAGTAGAGGCCAATCTAAACTATACAGAGAAAACTTACAGAGAGAGAGAGAGAGAGAGAGAGAGAGAGACAGACAGAGAGAGAGAGAGAGAGAGAGAGAGAGAGAGACAGAGAGAGACAGAGAGAGAGAGAAAGCGTTTAATCTCAGCACGCAGAAGGCAGAGGGATCTCAGTGAGCTTGAGGCCTGCTTAGTTTAGGTAGTGAGTTCAAGATCAGTCCAGTTACAAAACAAGACACTGTCTTAAGACAGACAAACAAAAATAAAACCTCTAAGCCACATGAATTATATCTAAATAATGTTATTTAAAAAGAAAAATAGGGGCTGGAGAGATGGCTCAGTGGTTAAGAGCACTGGCTGCTCTTTCAGAGGGCCCGGGTTCAATTCCCGGAACCCATATGGCGGCTCACAACAGTCTGTAACTCCAGTTCCAGGGGATCCAACATCCTCACACAGACATACATGCAGGAAAACACCAAAGCACATAATATATATAAATAAATCATTAAAAATTTATTTTAAGAAAAACAGCATATTTATAGCAACACACTTTTTAAATTTTTATTTTCTGTGTATGGGTGTTTTGCTTGCTTGTATGTTTGTGTACCACATGCAGGCAGGCCAGAAGAGGACATGGGATGCCCTAGAACTTGAGTTATAGACCACTGGGAGCAGCCATGAGGGTGCTGGGAACTGAACTTAGGTCCTCTAGAAGAGTAGCCAGTGCTCTTAACTGCTATCTCATTTCTCCAGCCTCAGAAACATTTTTACAGCCCCAAATTGACAACATAGTCACTAATAGTAGAATGGATCAACAGCTCACTCTCGTATTTCTACAATGGAAGGTAACACAGCTACAACTACACACAAGAATGTAGATTAAGCTCTCCAACACAACACTGAACTTCAAAAAATGGCCACGCTGGAGTACAGCTCAGTTGTAGGGCTTGGCCAGCATGTGCAATGCCCAGGGTGTGATCTCTAGCACTCAGAAAATCCAGTAAGAACCCATGCACAGTAGTGCAACTATGTCCAGGAATGATGGTGCACACACAACCCCAGCTCCTCAGGAGGCTAAGGAGATGATATGAGCCCAGGAGTTCAGCCTGAGCAATACACTAAGATTCAATCTCACAAGGAAAAACAAAAATTATCATCCCCAAAGCAGAAAAACTGAAACTGAAAACTACCTTAGGTGTCACTTAAATTTTAAAACACCATCAAAATGACCCGACAGCACGAAGTCTTCCTTTCTGCGGTTGCCTGGTTTGTTGCTGAGCCAGCATCTCTGGGCATCCATGCTAGCCTGGAATTTATAATCCACCTGCTTTAGCTTTCTGAGTGCTAGAATTACAGGTATGCACGGCCATTACAGAAGTCTGAACTGACCACGTGATGGTGCACACCTTTAATCCCAACACTCGGAGGCAGAGGCAGGCAGATCTCTGAGTTCAAGGCCAGCTTGGTCTGCAAAAAGAGTTCTAGGACAGCCAAGGCTACACAGAGAAACCCTGTCTCAAAAAAGGAAGAAAACAAAACAACAAAAAACCCCACATACACAAAAAACCCAGAAGTTTGAAATAAACTACAATCATCCTCAGGAGGGCGGATGAAAGAGGACTGTCCATCTTTAAACTCTAAGGAAGTCTGAAAACTACAAAACTACCTTAAACTTTTAGTCTCCACAAAATGAACCACATTTTATCACCCAGGAGCTGGCTCTAGGGACAAAAGTCGTACAACTGCAAAGAGCATGCACATCAAGAGATTCCCAGGGAATCCTTACCATGTAATAGCCAGTATGGTAGCCACTCATGTACCATGAGATCAACATGCTTCCCAGGGCATCAGTGTCATCCAGACAATCTGGAGATATGGGAGGAGGTGGAGGGATTATCTAGAAATGGAAAAATCCAATTAGGAAAATATTGAAAACACAGATACTAGTAGATAATAATTGCACCTATTCCTACACCCCATGTGCTGTGGGATGGTCTGTATGTCAAATGTGTTACTGATTGGTCAATAAATAAATCACTGATTGGTCAGTGGCCAGGCAGGAAGTATAGGTGGGACTAACAGAGAGGAGAATTGAGAGAACAGGAAGCTGGGTGAGGGAGACACTGCCAGCCGCCACCATGACAAGCCGCATGTGAAGATGCCGGTAAGCCACGAGTCATGTGGCAAGGTATAGATTTATGGAAATGGATTAATTTAAGATATAAGAACAGTGAGCAAGAAGCCTGCCACGGCCATGCAGTTTGTAAGCAATATAAGTCTCTGTGTTTACTTGGTCGGGTCTGAGTGGCTGTGGGACTGGCGGGTGTCAGAGATTTGTCCTGACTGTGGGCCAGGCAGGAAAACGCAAGCTACACCCATGAGATGACTTCTATTTAATTTTTAAAAAAATCTAGCACTGGAAGAAAGCCAGCCATAATAATAAAAGATCAACAAATTTAACAAACATCAGAAATAGTTCACATTTAATAAATAATATGGTTAGACTATTTTTGTTCCATTATGAAACTATACATGAGACAAAACATAAGAGACTTAGTTTTTCACAAACCACACACACACAGCACCACCACCACCACACACACACACACACACACACACACACACACACACACACACACACACAGAGCATTTTTAAGGTCACTGTAAAGAACGATTTGAGATAAGACATCTGCCCAAATCCCACCCAAATACAGTCTGCCCAAAAGCATCCTTTTAACTACTATTAATATCTAAAAAAAATTTACCATTAAAAATCCATTAAAGGGGTTGGGATTTAGCTCAGTGGCAGAGCACTTGCCTAGCAAGCACAAGGCCCTGGCTTCGGTCCGCAGCTCCAGAAAAAAACAAAACACCAAACAAACCAAAAAAACCTTCCATTAGGGCCAGTTGGTGGTGGCGCACGCCTTTAATTCTAGCACTAGTGAGGCAGAGGCAGGCAGATCTCTGTGAGCTCAAGGCCAGCCTGGTCTATAGAGCAGGTTCCAGGACAGCCAGGGCTATTACACAGAGAAACTATATCTCAAAAAAAAAAAAAAAAAAAAAAAACAAAACCCAAAAACCAAAAAACAAACAAACAAACAAAAAAACCAAGAGGAAAAAAACCCATTAGGATAAAAACAAAACAAAAAAACTCCAAACAAACAACAACAACAAAAAAAACACAGAGCAATGAGAAATTATAGGACCAGAAGCTGGCATCCAAGTACTCCAGGAGGGCACACAATCTCTTCTGTATCATGAAGCACAGGCCTTTCTAACAGAAGCCACCACCTCAGACTGGATACCAACTACAGCAGGAAAGAAACACACAACTGAGCATGGAGACGAGACCAAGAGAGCACTGGCTCTGGGTGACAGAGGGGCCTTCAGAACAAAAATCTGAGGTGTAAATTTTTACCCGTTAGAACTACCCTCAACTACTCCAACTTCCTATATTCTGTGAACTTCCAAAGTGCCTATAGAAGCTGTGCAGTTCTTCTGTACTTACTGGTGGTCCTGAAGGGAACGGAGGCATCCAACATGGCAGGAAGGGGGGAGGGGGAGGTGGCGGTGGGCCATTGAATCTCAGGCCTGGCTATAAAGAATATTTCAAAGGAAGTTAATATTTTAAAGGAAAATTCCTTCCTTCACTGAAAGGAAGAGTAGTCAAAACCAAAGTAATAAAAATTGGACATGGAGGGCTGGTACAGCAGTTAAAATCACCTGTATTCACACACACAAACCCACACACAGACATGCACACATACATACACATAATTAAAAAGAAAGTAACTCTTAACTAAATGGTAGCCTCTAGGTTTTTTCCATTTCTTTTCTGTAAACATTTAGTAAGTAAAGTCACAGTAAAGATTTGTAACTGCCTAACAAATCAGTATTTACCGAGATGATTTAATCCCCACTATCACATCATCTTTTTGTAGCTATCCTGGTAGTAGGTCCACAAAATGGCTCAGCAGGTAGAAGGCACTCACCAGCCAGTCTGACTGCCTGAGTTTGACTCCCAGGACCCACCCGGAGGAAGGGAACCAACTCCACAGGCTGTCCTCTAACCTCCATATGTACACAGCACCCACCCAAGTAAACCAACAGAAAGAGGGGGCGGGGCTGCAGAGACGGCTCAGCAGTTATGAGCACTGACTGCTCTCCCAGAGGACCCAGGTTTATTTCCCAGCACCCACATGGCAGCTCACAACTGTCTATAACTCCAGTTCCAGGAGACCTGACACCTCACACAGACACACCACAGACAAAACACCAATGCGCATTAAATAAATAAATATAGATAGATAGATAGATAGATAGATAGATAGATAGATAGATAGATAAATAAATAATTTTTAAGAAGCTGTTTTAAAAAAAAGTTCTAGAGGTCATATTACTTATATAAGCTAATTTAAAGTACACTATAAAAAATACCCAAAAGACAAGGTATATATTAAGATTCAAGAAATTCTACTACAAAATGACCTTTAATTAGAAAGTTACCATAGAAAATCTTTTGTTGTTTTTCACATTTTCTAAAACATAATTTATTTCGCTGTGTGTGGGTGCACGAGTGAGCACGTGCCGTGGTGTTCACGTGGAACCTGAGGACTTTGCAACCAGTCCCTCCCCTTCCACCAAGAGGCTCCAGGGAGTCGAGCTCGGGTTAGCAGGACTGCGGCAGATGCCGTCACTCACTCAACCGCCCTCTGTCCCTTGTTTTCATTCTGGGCTCTAGTTTTGTCTTTCCTTTTTTTCTTTAATCTGCATCACTTCGTAGCCCAGGCTGGTTCCAAACTCAGTAATCCCCTCCTCCAGCCTCTCCTGTGCTGACAGCTGACAGGCAGGTCACTATGCTCATCTCTCAGAGAATCTTAAGGAAAGCGTTGAGTCATACGTGATTTTTAAAAATTATTATCTGGGGTAGAGAGACGGTTCAGCTGGGAGAGGGCATGCCACACAAGCATGAAGATCTGAGTGTGGGCCCTCAGCACCCACAGGGCAAAAGCGGACAAGGCAGCACACACATCTAGAATCCCAGCACTGGGGAGGTGGAGGCAGGATCCCTGGGGCTCTCAGCACCCACAGGGCAAAAGCGGACAAGGCAGCACACACATCTAGAATCCCAGCACTGGGGAGGTGGAGGCAGGATCCCTGGGGCTCTCCGGCAGCCATACTGCTGAATCAGCAAGCGCCAAGTTCACTGACACACTCTGTCCCGGAAAAGAGGTGAAGAGTGATTGGGAAAGATGCTCAGTGTAGAGTTCTGGCCACCACATGCACAAGTCAACACACATAACATGGACACATACAAACACAAGAACACACACACATGAATTATCTAAATATTGTACTCTCTGAGGAAAAATACAGCTGCTTGGTACCAAAGAACTAGCTAGTGAAGGTTCTAGCCATAACCCAGACTATAATAAAATTCTTTTTAAAGTGGACTTCTACTACTTACAACCAAAACAGCCATAAAAAGTGTTAACATTTTAACACTACAATATAAGCTGGGACAAAGCAGGTGTGGTGGCTGGCACATGCCTAGGATCCCACAGCATTTAGCAGGTGGAGGCACATGGATCTGACATTTAAGGTCATCTTCAGCTGCGTGAGACCAGGTATCAAAACAACAACAACCAAACAACCAAACAACCCCAGAAACAAAACAAGAACAAACAACAACCAACACTGGGAGCTGCCTGAGATGGTGCCCACATTACAGGACTCTTTTCCCACATATCTATTACAGGTGACTCTGAACAATAGCACGTCAGGCAAGGACAGAGCAGTCAGTTTCTACCTTAGGAAAGTACACCAGGGCTGGTGAGATGCTCAGGAACAAAAGGGGCTTGCTGCCAAGGCTGATGAACCCAGTTCTATCCCGGGAACAACATGGCGGAAGGTGAAGAGCCTATACCTGCAAGCTGACTTCTGACTTCCACAGTAGCATGTGTGCAAATACACACACACACACACACACACACACACACCATAAATGTGATAAAAAGGTTTTTAAAAGGAAAGTGTACTAGTTATTAGTCTACTACCCCACGGCAATCTGGAGAGCTATTTACCCCCACTCTTTATTCACTCTTGTATTTCCTTTTTATGGATTCTGGCCTGGGAAAAGCAGTTTCATAGGAAAGCTATAAATTACTTAATGGAAGAGCAAGGGTCCCAGTGGGAATTACTGCCTTCATAACTAATTTCTGAACAGAAACACTTACCTTTCCTGGTCCCAGTCCTGACCCTGGCATTGGGGGTGGTGGAGGGAGAAACGAGTTCCATGGAGCAGCTTTGGACTTGCTGTGTGGTTTACTTCCGAGGGATCTGGAGGAGTTTTCACTGTCGTCTGTTGAAGCTTGACTTTCATTCTTTATAAAGAAAAACAAACATTTTTGCTATGCAGAGGCAGAGCACTTGCCCAGCATTTGTATGGCTCTGGCCTTCTTTCTTAGCAAGAAGACAATGAGAAGAGAATAGGGAGAATGAGAATGTTATATAATGCCTCGGTGGGTCAAGTGACAACTGGTTATAATGCTTTTTCCGTACTTAGTCTCCGCCTTCAGGAAGGGACATATTCACCACCTTACCTCCTGAGTGCTCTGTTCTGCATGATTAGCTACTTCACAGGTTGGGGAAAGGAGATCAGACAGATTTTGCTCCTCTCTGTTTCCATATCCAGTATAAACCACAACACAGGTTTCTCTCTTGAAATCAATGGAAGCAACGGTAGCTGGGTAAACACAGCCGTCTTCTGACCAAATGGCAGAGCATCTGTCACCAACTTTCCACTACGAAAGACACAAAAGACACAGACATGCACACGTTACTTCTTTGGAAGAGAACAAACCATCATCCAGCTCTCCAGCTGCAATTCCAACCCTCCATCTACTTAATTACCGACACTACTCTTAGTGCCCTGCATCCCCTTTTCCCAGACAGACGAACGGCTGTAATGATGAACGGCTGTAATGATGAACGGCTGCAATGTACTCTACCGCCTAAATGTGTCATGAAGAACAAACACATCCAACACTGGCCAGAAAAAAGCAAGTGCTCCTCAAACGTCAATACCTTCCCCTTTGGGTAAAAATGACCTGGCTAATGGGGCATCAAAATATTTACTTAAAAAAAAAAAAAAACCCAAAAAACAAAACAAAAATTTCAGCTCATCTACAGGGCTTTGTTCTGGTTCAGTGTGGGTTTGATGCTGGGACACCCAGGGCTGGGTGTGTACTAGGCAGGTGCTCTACCACTGAACTATACTCCCACCTCAGACCTCTGCTTTTAAATTAGCAGACCTAGTTACCAAAACTCCTGTTTTTCCATAATAGTTTCTGGACTGTTGAATTGTGTGGGAAGGCGGGGGAGGGGGGGTAGAGTTACTGATCAGCTACACAACACACACTCAGAATGCAAGGAGCTCTGGGTTTAATACCCAGCACCACAGAAGGAAAAAATATACATGACTGTATGTGTGTATATCATCTCTCCATCTCTATCAGCTTAAGAAAACAACACTGCTGACTCAGTTTACAGCCTCATTCACTCTAAATAGCATCAGCAACCCTTTCCCTCAGGCTGGGCAAGACTCTGTTCAATAAATAAATAACCTGTTTCAAGGGAGGCGTGGCACTCTTCTTTTGGTTTTTATTCTTCTTAGCAGGTTTTCTTCTGGCTGTGCCTTTTGGCTTATCTGAAGTTTCACAAATGTCACCATTCTTCAGAGCATGCTATGAAAACAGTAATAGAAATAAATGCACGTGCTGTGGAGGAATACGTTGTTAAAAAGTCACCACTCCTAACATGACCGTTACCACTATAAGACGATCTCAAGGTCCCTCACCTATGAAAGCCTCAATTTACTCAGGGTTCCCCCCCCCAAAAAAAATGTATGACATGAGGAAATAAAGAAAAGAGTAGTTAAACATTTCATACCTTAAAGGAAGCCACAGCTTTATCATAAGCTTTTATCAATGCCGTATCATCCCAAATGTCAGAATCATCACTCTGAAGTGAAAAAAGAATACAAATAGTTTATGGGCAGATAGTTTTAATTAAAAACATATGATAGAAAGTACTGGGGGATGGGGGATTTTGTTCACGGCCCCCAGTTCAATCCCTAGCACTACTTGTAGTAATACATGCCTATAATCCAAACACTCAAAAGGTTGAGGCAGGAGGATTGCCAAGGCAAGCTGAAGACAAGCCTGGACTACACAGTAGATTCCAAGGCAGCCTAGACTACAACACAAGACCCCGTCTCAAAACAACAACAACAACAACAACAAACCCAAAAACCATGACCTGCAAATTATAACGGCTCATATCTGTAATCTATAATTCCAACACTTGGGAGGCAGATACAATAGGGTCACCAAGAATTCCAGGTCAGTCTAGTCTACATATTGAATTCCAGGCCAATATGGCTACAGAATGCAACCAATTCAAAAACAAAACAAAAGAAAAGAATGAAACAAATTTTAAAACCAGGTGTGGTGGTACACCCCTTTAACTCCAGCACATGGTTGGCTGAGGTAGGTCAATCTCTTTGACACCAGCCTGGTCTACAGGCCTGCCAGGGCTACATAGTGAGATGTGTCTGAAAAGAGAGACAACAACAAAATAGAACCTTCAATAAATAAGATTACCCCTGGGAGTACAGGTATGCACCACCACACTGGGCTTGAAGAAGATATCCAGATGACAAATAAGCACAGGAAACTGTGTGGCTTAAGGAGAGAACCAGACCACAGGGCTATGCTGAAGCTAAAAGGCAAAGGAACGGCTGGGCTGTCCCCAAAGATGGGAAACCAGCATTGCCAAATGTTGCCTTGAATCTCTTCTCCTACCCTACACTCCAGGCAGAAAGCACACTTAGCATGCTAAGAGGGACCTCCTAATGTTTTAAACTTTGTAGATGGAGTGTGTTCTGTTTCCCAGGCTAGCTTCAACCTCACAATCCTGCCTCAGCCCCTCAAATAGCTGGGACTGTCACAGGCACCGTCCACCAGCCAGGCTCTCATTTTCCCTTATATTTAAAAGTCGGGAGGCAGAGCCAGGTGGATCTCTGTGAGTTCGAGGCCAGTCTGGTCTCCAAGGCGAGTTCCAGGAAAGGCGCAAAGCTACACAGAGAAACCCTGTCTTGAAAAACCAAAAAAAAAAAAAAAAAAGTATTTATTTAGCCGGGCGGTGGTGGCGCACGCCTTTAATCTCAGCACTCAGAAGGCAGAGGCAGGCGATCACAGTGAGTTCAAGGCCAGTCTGGTCTACAGAGTGAGTTCCAGGACAGCCAGGACTGTTTCACAGAGAAACCCTGTCTCGAAAAACCAAAATAAATAAATAAATAAATAAATAAATAAATAAATAAATAAATAAAAATGAAAGTGTTTATTTTACTCTTACGGAGTCTCACTGTAGTTTAGGCCTCGAGTGCACTCTGCGATCTTGAATTCCTGAGCCTCCTGCCTCCATCTCCCAAGTGCTTGTGACTGTAAGCAAGCACCATGAAGCCTGGCTCTGACCTTCCGTCGTACACACTTGATACACCACAAGTCTTCCTTGTCTTCCTCACCTCAGTGCATTGCCGTAAGTAGCAACTTTTCAGCTATCAGTTACCCTTCTCTCTCAAATTTGCTTACCGACTATTATCTGGGAAACTTGGTCCTTCTAGTTACAAAGCTCTATCTAGAACGCAGTATTTCAGTCTCACTGCTAACGTCTGGGTCTTGATCTACATTTGGAGCACTGCAATGCCTCCTAACTGGTTTCATTGCTTCCGCCGGCCTGTCCCTGTGCCCGCACATCCCTCACAGTCACCCAGGACCAAAGCGCGGCTCCCAGCCATTCGGGCGGATGGGGTGGCAGCATGTGGATCCCTCACAGTCACCCAGGACCAAAGCGCGGCTCCCAGCCACTCGGGCGGATGGGGTGGCAGCATGTAGATCCCTCACAGTCACCCAGGACCAATGCCCGGCTCCCAGCCACTCTGGCGGATCGGGGAGCAGCATGTGGATCCCTCACAGTCACCCAGGACCAAAGCCCGGCTCCCAGCCACTCGGGCGGATGGGGTGGCAGCATGTGGATCCCTCACAGTCACCCAGGACCAAAGCGCGGCTCCCAGCCACTCGGGCGGATGGGGTGGCAGCATGTGGATCCCTCACAGTCACCCAGGACCAAAGCGCGGCTCCCAGTCACTCGGGCGGATGGGGTGGCAGCATGTGGATCCCTCACAGTCACCCAGGACCAAAGCGCGGCTCCCAGCCACTCGGGCAGATGGGGTGGCAGCATGGGGCCCGAGCGCGCACGGGCCCGGCCTCGGCCGCCGCTCCGAGCTCGGTGGGTGCGGTCGCCGGGCCGCGCCACCCGCCGCCTCACCTGGCCGGTGCCACGTCGGAACAGCACCGCGTCCTCCTGCTCCGAGCCTGCACCGCCGCTGCCCATCGCCATGGCAAGTTACCGCGGACGCTGCCGGGGCTCGCCCCGTGACGACTTCCGTCGCGAGGGCTGCTGGGACCGGAAGAGCACGGTGGCCCGGAGGCCGCCGGGGCTCTTCCGCACGCTGTAGGCACGTGGCTAATGCGCTACCAAGTCACGCCTGTCCTCTTTCTCCCCTTCCCTATCTCCTAGCTCTTTCTCATTTTACCCCCCTCTCATTTTATTCCAACTTACTTTCTTCCCTCCACGCCCCCCCCCCTTTTTTTTTTCCGTTTTTCAATCCGGGTCCCACGCTTGTAGTTCAGCCTCGCTGTATATAGCCCACGCCGGCCTTTGCTACCTCGGCTTTCCGAGTTTGGGGATTACAGGTTCTGTCAAATTTGCTTTCCTTTTTCAACAATAGTTCTAGTATAAAATAATGGTAATGGCAGGTAACCCGATAAAGGTGCACAATAAGGGCGTCCTCTGCCTGTTGGTTCTTGAGGCACGCAACAGTTATTAGGCGATGGACTGGTATAGGGCCTTCCACTGCAGTGTTAGGTGTCCATTTCATAGTGGGTCCCAGGTGAGGGAGGCCGACCGTCCCTTGGTCTGGCATGTCTGGTAAGTTCTTGGGTCTGGTTTTCCTGATAGGATTTTGATACACCATGTGTTTTGATACCCCATAGTTTTGATTCATCCCCATAAGCTTACAGATTGACTCCCTTGTCTGTTCTCAGGAATAAGTCACTTATCAATCCGTACTAGATGGTTCCTGACAGATGGTGACATTTCTCGGTGTACCCAGAGGCTGCAGTCATCTCCCCCACCCCACCCCCCCATGGAGTTAGAAACTGTTGGAAGGGTCGAGTTTCCAGAGGCAAGCAGGTATGAGTTTGGGGCCAGCCTGGTCTACATAGGAAGTTCAAGGTCAGTCAGAGGTTCACAGTGAGACCCCGTCTCAAAATAAAATGGAGCCTCCCAGGGCAGAGCACAGCCTGGCACATGCCACTTGTTTTAAACTATATGTAGCAACTTAGAAGAGGGCATAGCCAATAGGGCAACCAAACAGGGCCCAATGAGATTTCTGGGTTCTTGTGTCCCAGAATAAAAAAAATCAGAACAGGAACCTACCAATAGTGATGGTAGGTTTGTTAAGAAAGAATGTTCCCAGCTGTGGAAGTGGGTAAAATATCTGGGAAGGGTACTGTAGTGTCCTGTCAGAATCTTCGGGAGAACTGTGGTCCCAGACATCTTTCTAAGGAAAGATGATCAGTTGTCTATAAATTCTATGCTAATGAAGAAAGTAGTCTCTGCCTAAGAAGGACCATAACCCCCACCACCCAAATGGCTGGAGAGGAGCTTTGGTTCCCTTGTAATAGGAGTTGGGATCCTTATATTATAAGGACTTTAGTTTGAAACTGTCATAGCCAAAAGGTAGGAATTTTACAAGACTGAAAATATGTTTAAGCAAGAGTAACACTATAATACTCCCAACGGCATCAGAAAGGGCCAGAGCCAGAAAATCCTTCCCCATGCTTGTTCCAGGAGAGCCATCTGCATGTAGCTTGTTCTCTGGGGTATCATCCCCCAAATGAGGAACTAAGGGACTGGTGACATGGAGAGCAGTGAAATCCTCACACATTCATGGTGGGATTGAAAATTGGCTTGGTTATTAAAAACAAACTAAAAACAACAAAATACAACTATTTCATGGTACCGTAAGTAGTGTGTGACTCAACACCTAATAGCAGGGATTTATGAGAAATGTGGCAGGCCATTTTCACATTGTGTAAACATAGTATACTTACATAAACTAAGAGGCCTACATGTTTCCTTTGTTTTGTTGCTGAGGCTGTAACTTGGGACTTCACCCATGCTAAGTACATGTTCTATCACATATGCTGTCTGTCTCAGGAAAATGCTACATAACAGGAGCTTTGTAGTCCAGGTTTGTCTCAAGGTCATGGTCTGCCTCAGCCTCCTCAGTACTGAGATTACAGGAATAGAGTAGCACAGTGCCCAGCATCATGCAATGTAGATTTCATGAAATACCTGACAAATATGTCATCTATCACTGACTTCAAAGTCATTATATGGCAAATAACTGTACCTTCAGAAAGAATATGCACACCTCATGAAGAAGAAATTCCATTGCTAGGTATTACTTCATAATTATTATTGCTTATGACCACCACATTTCTATTCTGTAAATGCTTATATGGGGCTGGGTGTTAGCAGTAAAATGCTTGTCTAGTATGCACAAGAACCTGGGGTTGATCCCCAGTGTTGCATGGAGAAAAAAATTATGCTAGTATTATTCATAATATTCATAATAGCCTTATACTGGAAGCAATGCAAGTATCTGGGAAAAGCAGAGTGCCCCAGCTAACTTAGGGAATAGTCACACAACAGAACACTGTACAACAATGTCTCAATAACAAAAACCCATGATTTTTTCTTAAAAGAAGTGAATGTATAAGGTAAAAGCTGTATGAAGTATTAGATAATTCTAGAATTTCGATCTTTGTTGAATTTAGGCTGTTTGTCATTCTGTTGCTTCAGTGGTTTTTGTTTCTTTGAGACAGGGCCTTGATAGGTAGCCCAAGCTAGCTTCAAACTCAGGCTCATCCTTCTGCATCAGCCTCCCAAGACCTGGGATTATGAGTATTCACCAAGACATCTGTTTTCAGTGGTACTTTTATGGATGGGCCATCTCTGAAATATGTTCCAACTTGTAATTATGACACAACAAATGTGTTAGCAGATAAAGTTTTACAATGCACTTTAATAAATGTTCTGAGTGTTTAGTTTTTGTGGTTGTTTGTTGTGGCACTTAAAACACTTTCATTGATTTTTTTGTTGTTGTTGCTGTTTTGTTTTTCAAGACAGGTAGCCTTGGCTGTCCTGGAACTTGATCTGTAGACCAGGCTGGCCTTGAACTCACAGAGATCCACCTGCCTCTGCCTCCTGAGGGCTGGAATTAAAGACATGCTCTACCACCGCCTGGCTTTGAATTTTAATGAAGTATTTTATTTTTTAATCATGAATGTAAATTTTTTAATTTTTATTTTTAATTATGAGTATGTGTATGTGTGTGTGTGCATGTAAGTGAAAGTGCCCACAGAGGCCAGAAGTGTGGGAGTTACCCAGGAGTTACAGTTACAGGTGGTGTGAGCTGCCTGACATGGGTCCTCTGCAAGAGCAATACATGTTTTAACTGCTGAACTAGTCATCCTTATGTTTGTCTGATATAGTATCTCACTCTGTGGCCCCAAGCTCATGCTAATCATCCTGCTGAGGCCTCCTGAGTGTGAGATAACAGGCGTGACACACTATACCTAGCTTGGTTTTTGTTTTTTATTTTTATTTATTTCTGTATTTACTTATTTATTGGGCCTTTTGAGACAAGGTTTCTCTGTGAAGCCTTGTGTTACAGGATATTGGACACTGTGTGAAGGTGTATTGCTGTGATTGGTGTAATAAAAAGCTGATCAGCCAATAGCTAGGCAGGAAGTATAGGGACTTCTGGGCAGAGAGGGGAAGTAGGAGGAGGAATCTAGGCGTGGGAGAAAGACACAAGGAGACACTAACGAAGCAGAATTTGTGGTACACGACAGAGCGTAGATTAATAGGAGTGGATTAATTTAAGTTATAAGAGCTATTTAAAAACAAGCCTAAGATAAGGCCAAGCTTTCATAATTAATAAGTCTCTGTGTTATTATTTGTGAGCTGGTGGCCCAAAGAATAATCTTACTACAGCTTTGGCTGTTCTGGAACTCACTCTGTAGACCAGGCTGGTCTTGAACTCACAGAGATCCACCTGCCTCTACCTCCTGAGTGCTGGGATTTAAGGCATGCACCAATACTGCCTGGCTTTGTTTGCTTTTGAAATAGGTTGTTATCATCTAAAGAAATAATGGATTTAATAAAATAAGTTAACATCTGTTGTGGGATAATCTTTTTGTACACTGTAAGTATGTACATTGTTAATAAAGAACTGACTGGCCAATAGCTTGGCAGGATTTTGGGGACAGAGAGAACATTAGGAAGAAGAAGGGCTAAGCCAAAGAATCTTGAGGAGATGTGGAGAGAAGGAGATGAACTTGCCATACTGAGAAAAGGTGCCAAGCCATGTGGCAGAGCATAAATAGGAAATATGGGTTAATTTAAAATGTAAGAGCTAGTTAGTAACAAGCCTTAGCTATCGGCCAAGCATTTATAATTAATATTAAGTATCTGTTGTGGTTATTTGGGAACTGGCTGGGGGTAAAGAAAAGCCTACAAATATCTGCCCTGATTACAATGCATCACCTCTTGAAACCCCTGACAGAGATGGTAGTACTATACAAGTCTCATAATCTGGCAAATCTATATTAGGGGTCTATTGCTCCAGGAATGTGATTGTTTTCATTCTATTTGTATTTGTATGTATGCAAGTGTCTGTCTGTGTGTACACCACCCATGGGAGGTGCCCATGGAGGCCAGAAGATGATATCAGATCCCCTGAAGCTGGAGTTACAGATGAGTGTGAACCACCTGATGTGGGTGCTAGGCACTGAGGAACCTGGAAGAACCAGGGAACCATCTCCAACCTCCCGTGCCTCAAAGCTTTAACCGCTCAAAGTTTATGTATCTTCTAATTTATAACAACCATCAAATCATGTTAAACTTTTATTTAAACATTTTTATTATATTTATGTATTTACTTACTATGTAGGTGGGTGTGAGGGAGTGAGTTCTGTCCTTCTACCATGTGGTTTCGGGGGATCTAACTCAGGGCATCAGGCTTGTGCAGCAACTGCAACTTACCTGCTGAGCCCTCTCTCCTACCCCAAATCACATTTTAAGTGTGTGTTCTTTTGTGTGTGTGGTGGTAGGGATCAAACTCAGGGCCTCAAGACCGGAAGGTGGGCCCAGGGATATAGCTGGTTGGTGGACTGCTTGCCTAGCATGCATAAAGTCCTGTGTTCATCTCCATTCCCTATTACTGTGTAAACTGAGCATAGTGGGCAGCCTGCAATCTCAGGTTTTGGGAGATAGTCAGGAATATCAGTAGTTCAGGTCATCTTTGTGGTGATATTTTGTTGTACTCTAATAAAACTCGCATGAAGATCAGAGGACAGAGCCAGCCACAGAGGTCAGGCAATGGTGGCACACACCTTTAATCCTAGCACTCGGGAGGCAGAGATCTGTCTGGATCTCTCTGAGTTCAAAACCACCCTGGACTACACAGGATTAATCAAGTTTAAAAGAGAAACAGCCAGGCAGTGGTGACACACACCTTTAATCCCAGTACTTGGAAGTCACACACTTTTTTATTTTATTTTGGTCTTTTCAAGACAGGGTTTCTCTGTGTAGCTTTGGAGCCTGTCCTGGAACTCACAGAGATCTGACTGCCTCTGCCTTTCAAGTGCTGGGATTAAAGGCATGCGATACCACCACCCATCTTGGGAGTCACACTCCTTTAATCCCAGCACTAGGAAGGTTGAGACAGGAAGTCATATGGCTGGGCAGAGAAAGGAATATAAGGCAAGAGGAGACAGGAATTAGGCCCTTTCAGCTGAGGACTCAGAGGCATTCAGTCTGAGGATTCGTGGAGACAGGATCTTCTTTTTCTGACTGAGGAGTTGGCAAGGTAAGAAGTGGCTGTGGTTTGTTTCCTCTAATCTAGCATTTACCCCATATCTGGCTCCAGGTTTTTATTATAAGACCATTTGGGATTCGTACAACATGTCTTCAGCTAAATATCAAGTTCAAAATCAGTCTGGGATACAGGAAACCTTATCTAAAACAAAGCAAAATTCCTATACCCAGCCCCAAGTCCCAGGTTTTTGCGTATGCATGTGTGGAGGTCAGAGGTCAGAGGATGATTGAACGAGTCTTCCTCAACTGCTATTTGCCTTGCTTTTGAAAACAGTTTTTTTAATTAAATTTTTAAAAATAATTATTTTGTGTGCATTGGGGTTTCGCCTGTGTGTATGTCTATGTCCCTTGAAACTGGAATTATAGGCAGTTGTGAGCTGCCATTTGGGTGCTAGGAATTGAACTCTGGTCCTTAGGAAGAGCAGCCAGTGCTCTTAACCTCTGACCCTCTCTCCAGTCCTTAAAATAGTTTCTTATTGAACCTGAAACTTGCTGATTATGCTAGCCTGGCTGCCCAGGAACCTCCAGGGATCTTCCCATCTCCACCTCCCCATCACTGGGATTATAGGTGCATACCAGCATTCAAGCCTTTTATGTGGATGTTAGGGATCTGAACTCGGGTCCTCGTGCTTGTATGGTGAGCGTTTTGCTGACCGAGCCACCTCTCCAGCTCCTCAAGTCCCAGGTTTTTGAAGACATTCAGAATATGACATTCATTTAAAATTTTTCTAAGTCTTAAGTAGAACTCTCGCTGAGTCTTCTAGTTTGGTTCCTACCCATGTAGTTGATCTTTCTGGTTTGTGCCAGCGTAAATTCTTGAAGCAAACCATCTGGTTACAAAGTGAAAATTATATAGATGGAACTTCAGTTGGATCATAGTTTTAAACTAGGGCAAGTACTCTAATGTTGGCTACACCCCAGCCCTACCAGAGAAAACTTAAAGATCAGGGCTCAGCTGGGAAGGCCCAAGCACACGCCTGACAATCTGTGTTCCATCACCAGTTCAGTTGCCCCATGTCAAAAGCTGGATGTGGGCTTGTGCATCTGCACTCTGAGCATGCATGCTGCAAACGGGGGGAGGGGTATGGGGGTGGGGTGGGGTAGGCAGAGAACTGCCAGGACAGCGGTGCAGCAGCAGACAAGAGACCCTGCGGCTGGCAGATGGAAGAACTGACCCCTCAAGTGACCTCCTCCAGGTCCCCCCCCCACACACACCTGACACAAATTTGGGGGTGGGCAGTCAGATGGCTTAGTCCATAAAGGCACTTGTCCCTGAGCTCTGAGTCCCTAGAGCCCCATGGTGGAAGGTGAGAAGGGACTCCCGTGTTGTTCCCTGATCTCTACATGCCACTGTGGCACACATACACACATTAAATAAATATTTAAAACTTTTAAGAAATTTTATAATAGACAAAAACCTTAAGATCTACTTTAGGCTAGCATTGTGGCGACACTTAATGATCCCAGAACTCAGAAGGCCAAGGCAGGAGGATTGCTGTGTGTTTAAGACTAGTCTGGGCTACAGAATGAAATTGTTTCAGAAAATAACAAAAACAAAATCAAACTACTAAGGAAGTGTATGACCTACTGTGGGATGATGTGTATGCTGTGAATATGTGTTGCTCTGATTGGTTGATAAATAAAATGCTGATTGGCCAGTAGCCAGGCAGGAAGTATGGGCGAAATAAGCAGACAAGGAGAATTCTGGGAAGAGGAAAGCTGAGCCAAGAGATGCCAGCCCGCTGTCCAGGGAGCAGCATGTAATGGCACACAGGTAAAGCCATGGAAAATGTGGTGACATATAATTAACAGAAATGGGCTTAGTTTAAGTGTAAGAGCTAGTCTGTTGTAAGCCTGAGCTAATGGCCAAGCAGTTTTAATTAATTATTAAGCCTCTGTGTGATTATTTTATAAAAGGCTGTGGGACTGTGGGTGAGAGATTTGTCCTGACTGCCTATTTTTTTGGCCAGATGGGACACAGGAAAACTTCCAGCTACAATGACCAAGATTCTAGATTTATATAAGAGATCGTACTCCTCAATCACATTACCCATTGTTGCTTGCGTCTGAAGTATCTCCCAGAGCTCATAGTTGGATGCTTCTTCCCCAGCTAGTGGGCCTATTTTGGGAGGTGGAACCTTTAGGAGATGGGGTCTAGTGGAGGAAAGAGGTCATTAAGGATAGGACTTTGAATGCTAAGCAGGTTCCTCTCCAGACGTGGATTCTTGGTGCGATGAGAACAGCCTCTGCTATGTGCTCTTCCTACCATGACCTGAGCTGCTCTGCTCTGCTCTTTGTGAAGGAGTGAAACCCTCTGAGATCATGAGCCAATTTGTTCCTCCCTCAACTACACCTTGTCAGGTACTGTGGTGCTAGCAATGCAAATGTAACCAATACCTAGTTAATACATTACATATTACCTATTAATGAACTACATAAATGTTCTCTATTGATAAAAATAATATTCACCAGTATATTACATGCATGGTCAGTACTTTATTCTTTGAAGAATGGTCTTAAAACATCATATTAAGTAAGGCTGAAAAGTAAAGTTTAAAATAGTCAGTTTTATAAGGATAAGTTATGACACATGTAACCATTAGTCACTCTGAGAAATTTTGATCTTAGAGCTTATGATGCACCCCACTGGCAATAGCACCTGCGTTTTCCACAAAGCCAGTCATCATTTTTCTCTTGTCTGCATCGATTTCTTCTCATTGGCTATCTTCTGCTTTTGCTGCATGATCTCAGAGTCCCTGTAATAGAGGAAAAGGTATTGAGTTTTCACAGGAAAACTGGTTTTATGCTATCATTGTTTTTTTTTTTTTTTTTTTTGGTTTTTCGAGACAGGGTTTCTCTGTGTAGTTTTGCACCTGTCCTGGAACTCACTTGGTAGCCCAGGCTGGCCTCGAACTCACAGAGATCCGCCTGGCTCTGCCTCCCGAGTGCTGGGATTAAAGGCGTGCGCCACCACCACCCGGCGCTATCATTGTTTTTTATATATAACCTTTTTGGTACATTCAAAGACAACTTAAAAGAAGACATAAACAGTCATGTTTCTCCATTTTCATGGATGAAGACAAACAGAAAAGCAAAGACTGGAAAGAATTTGAACACCTTGCTACTGTTATCATGGCCTTGGGCAAATAATCTCAAAGCTCTTTCATTTTGATGGGGAGAAGGGAGAGGGAGGAGACAAGAGTCCCACTGTATAACCATGACTGCCCTTGAATTCACTATGTAGACCAGGCTGGCCTCAAACTCATGGAAATCCACCCGCCACTGCCTCAGTGCATTTAGGAAGTCTCCTATATTTGCTAACAGATACCTAGGACTACAGTATAAATGTTATAATTATCTGCTGTTTAGTTCTATTGTTTTTATTTTTTTTTATTTATTTTATGGGTTTTTTTTGAGACAGGGTTTCTCTGTGTATGTTTTTATTTTTTTTTGAGACAGGGTTTCATGTAGCCCAAGGATGGCCTTTAAACTGATACATAGTCAAAGAGACTTTCAACTCTTGATCCTCTTGTCTCCACTTCCTGAGTGTTGGAATTACAATGATCCAGCTTTTTTAAAGCCCCAAATCATATAATCAATCTTGAAAATTTACTCTAAAGAAATTCGTGGTATTTGAAGAATTTTCTTAACCTTTGTATCTCCCTGGTTGAATCTTTACATGTCATATAACTAGGAACTACAGCCAAATTACCTTAGCTAGGTGATCCATGAGTTAGTAGGACCCAAATTTACACACATATTTTCAAATGCCTTTTTTTATAGTTAGTGATTGCTGAACGTGGTAGTGCACTCCCATAACCTAAGCTCTTGGGAGGTAGAAGCAGGAAGATCAGAAGCTCAAGGTCTGACTCCACTACATAGGAAGTTCCAGGCTAACCTGGGAGAGGTGAGTGCTTATACATCCTCTTCCTTTAAAAAAAATCCCACAAAACAGAACAAATAATATTTAATGACAGTAGGTATCAAATCCAGGGCCTCATTCACAGGTGAAGTACTCCATATTTTTAAAATATACTACAAAGCTACATATTCAACATCCTTAGCTGGGTGTGGTGGTTCACACATGTAATTCCACTACATGGGAGGCTAAGTTACTACCACTTCTAGGCTAGTCTAAGCTATGTATTGATTTCCAATCAAGCCTGAGATACAGCATGAAGCCTTGTCTCAAAAGGAAAAAGAAATCAAGTCAAACCAAAGCTACCTTCTCTGAGCCAAGCCCTACTTGCATTTGATTTTTGGCTTAAGTCCAACAACTTCAGTTACTATCCCCATGTTTCTTATTAAAAAACAGAAAGGGGACAAGATGGCTCAGCAGTTAAGAGTTCAGTTTCCACAACCCACATGGTAGCTTATGACTGTTCCAGGGGATCCAGTGACTTTTCTGACTCCATAGGCATCAGGCATGCAGGTGGTACACATACATACATGCAGGCGAAATACTCGTACACATAAAATAAAAATAATGCCGGGCGGTGATGGCGCATGCCTTTAATCCCAGTACTCGGGAGGCAGAGGCAGGTGGATCTCTGTGAGTTCAAGGCCAGCCTGGTCTACAGAGCGACATCCAGGACAGGCACCAAAACTACACAGAAAACCTGTCTCGGAAAAAACAAAACAAAAAACAACAACAAGGGCTGGAGAGATGGCTCAGAGGTTAAGAGCACTGACTGTTCTTCCAGAGGTCCTGAGTTCAATTCCCAGCAACCACATGAGGGCTCACAACCATCTGTAATGAGATCTGGTGCCCTCTTCTGGCCTGCAGGCATACATGCTGTATACATAATAAATAAATAAATCTAAGACAAACAAACAAACAAACAACAACAAAAATGTAAATAATTTTTTAAATTACATTAAAAAAAAAACAGGCACAAGACTAAATAATTTGCCTCAAATCACACAAATACCAAAGTCTGGCTAATTCGAAATCAGGGACCTTTCCTATGTTGTTAACACCTAAATTTAGAATTAGATTTTAATTCAGTGTTGGCTACTTCTAGAAGAGGACATGTCTATAAGAACAATACAAAGACAGAAGGAAAAAGTACAGAGGAATGAATTAAGTGGAATTAAGAACAATGAAAGTTCTTTTCCTCTTCAAACCAAGCTCTGTGGGATTTGTTACATGACCTTAGTAGTGTCACTCAAGTTCAGAGCCACAGGCCAGACGTGTTGGTTAATGCCTGGTTCCCAGAATTTGCAAGGCTGAAGCAGAAGAATGATAAATTCAAGTGTGGGTTATAATGAGACTTTGGGTCTCAAACAAAACAAAACAAAACCAGAACTTCACTTTCCTTTTCTTCACACTGGTGCGAATTCCACTTTTCAGGTCATAATGGGTAGAGATATGTCACATCTAGCACATTTTACGGGAGTATTAACTAAACAAACAATGCTGTTTCTTGGTTTTTTTTTTTTTTTTGGTTTTTTTTTGGTTTTTTTTTTTTTTTTTTTGGTTTTTCGAGACAGGGTTTCTCTGTGTAGCTTTGCGCCTTTCCTGGGACTCACTTGGTAGCCCAGGCTGGCCTCGAACTCACAGAGATCCGCCTGGCTCTGCCTCCCGAGTGCTGGGATTAAAGACGTGCGCCACCACCGCCCGGCACAATGCTGTTTCTTAACAAGCTAGAATAGATTCCCCAATAAGAAGAACGTTTCAGGGTTACTGATCTATACTCTTTACTCCAAGGTGAGATAACAGAAACCTAAGGCAAGTTTATTGCTTTATTAGTAACTGTCACTGGGGCTGGGGAGGATGTCTCAGTCATTAAAGTTCCTGCTGCACAAGCACTAGGATCCATGTTTAGAACCCCCACAAAATCCATGTAAAAAGCAGAACATGGTGGTGTGTGTCTAAACCTTCAGTGCTGGAGGGGAAGGGCTTAGACAGGCACATCTCTCAAGTTCATTGGCCTGTCAGCCTAGCCAAATTGGTGAACTTCAATATTTAGTGAGAGACCCTGTCAAAATAAAAGGTGGAGAGTGATGGAGGAAAGATCCTTGATACCAGCCTCTGGGCTCCACACTCACACACATGTGTGCACCCTTATAAGTACCTGAAGTGTGCACACACACATAAACACACAGTAACTATCATGAAATAAAAGAACCCCATATTTGTTTTTGTTCCTACAGTTTATAGGAGCTACAAGAGATTCTCTGCGAACAGATGACAGCTTCAGGGCTTCTTCATCCACAGTTTGGGAGGATGACGTCAGCACATGGTTTTAGAGCTAGAGTGTTAGTTAGCCCTTATTGTAGGCGAGGCCCTGTTCTAGCAAGGGTTTAAGGATGTCTTCATTTATTCTAAAAACATGGCAGTCAAACTACCACTGACTTGAAAATTCTCTTAGCAGTACTCACCTCTGCTTTCTCTGAGAGGTAGTCAAGCTATCCTCTTTTCTTTTTCCTTTGCTAATTTCCTGGGTCTTTTTCATATTTTTCTGGCGGGCAAGTTCTCTTTGATTTCCACCTACAATGATAAACAGTCATGTTCTTTTCCTATCCTCAAAATTATTAATAACTAAATTAAAGGGTCTTTAATTATGAGCCTTAAAGTTTTGTTTTTATTAGTATGAAAGCAGAGTATCTGGCCAATCCTAATGGAGACTGGTGTGATCAGAATTCAGTACTATCCACATTGGAATATACATGGAATAGTGAAAAACCTATGTGAGCAGATGAAATAGAAGCATTAAATATTTTTATCTACATCCAAAAAAAGCACATTTTTATATTTACAAAATCACTGAAGCTGGTTTGAATAAAGACAAAGTTTGAGCACACCCAGCTTCAGAGGTCCACCCACTATCTAGCTGTGGATTGTGTGTTTTGTTTAGGATCAGTAGCTAAAGAAAAATAGAAAATTAAAAAAGTACAAAAACAAAAAAAGAAAGCAGAGTATCCCACAGTTATTCCCAGATTGGACAAGGAGGAAGCTTAAGTGGAAACACTCAAGAATTTAAGTATATTATCACATCAATATAGGTGTCGACTTGTAGCTTTTAATCCCAGCATGTGGGGAGGCCGAGGTAGGCAGATCTCTGTGTTCCAGGCCAGCCTGGTCTTCAGAGCGAGTTCCAGGACAGCCAGGGCTACCCAGAGAAACTCTGTCTCAAAAAACAAACAAATAAATATTTAAAAAAACCCAAAAATAGCCATTCCACTGGTGGTGTACACACGCCACACTCAAGATATGGTCTGGCTTTTGATGGGTCCGTGTGAGGAGAGATGGACAGATCCTCCCCCAGATCAATCAGTTCCGCCCACCGCAGCCCGCCGGGTCAAGCCAGCAGAGGCTGAGCTCAAGGACCGTCCCCTTGGAGGACCAAACAAAAGAGCCGGAGGGCACCCCGGGCTCCTCCGCACGCTTCCGACCTCGGGAGCCCGCTCCAAGTCGGCAGCCAGGTCCCGCGGGGCGCTCGCACACGCCCTCGGTGGGTGCGGTCCTCACGCCCACCCACACCTGCGGGGCGGGGACCCGTCCCGCCGGGAGCCAGCGTCCCCGCCCGGTGCGCGCGCGCGTGCCTGCGTGTGTGCGTGCGTGTGGATGTGCGTGTGTGTGTGTGTGTGCGTGTGTGTGTGAGCGTCCCGCCCTCCGGTCCGCCAGCTCCCGCTCCCCCCCCCCCCCACCACCCTCCGGGGCCCCCGTGTCCCTCAAACGGTCCGCACACTCACGGGCCATGCCGACCGCCGGCCGGAGTCCGGAAGACAGCGACTTGGAGGAACACACCGGCCGCTCGCACGCTCGGCAAGCCGCCCGCCTCCCGGCGCTGAGGAAGGCCGAGCCCCGCGCCGGCTCTCGGTGCGGCGACGCCTCGCTCTGGCAGCCAGCCGCCCCGCCCACCGACCCACAACAGCCGCGGCGTGGCCGGCGAGCCACTGCGCGTGCGCGCCCGGGGCGGGGGAGGGGGGGGGGGACACGGCTGGCGGACCGGCGACCGCGTCCCGCCCGGCCCCGCACGCGGTGGGCCCCGGGGGCGGGAGAGCCGGCCTCTACCATCCTCAGCTGGCAGAAACGACCTCACCGGGACGGAAGAGACGGACGTCACCCCAAAGCCCGTTCAGTCGCTGCGATCCCGTTGCCCCCGGCCCGATGGGCAGAACTTGAGGAGTTTTAAGCGCGGTCTCGGTGGTCGGGTGGGGTGCATAAGACCCCGGACCGACTTCCCAAACTACACAGGAGCTGAAACAAGGGCGTGAAAACACATAGGGGTGGGGGTGTGGCTTGCCTAGCATGAGTGACAGCCTGAGGTCCGTCCCCTAGGTTCCCTTCCTTGAGCCTAGACTTGCTTTCTTCCCAGTCCGGTTTTACAAACCGAGATAGTCTGGACACCCGAAATTTGCCTGGGTATTTAAAAGGGTTTTATTGTGGAATATTTTGAATATCTACAAAAGTATAGATGATGCTCTGGTGCACCACAACGTACATATCACCTAACTTTTACAATTCTTAGCGTGTAGAGTCAACTAATTAGAGAAAATGGGACAAAGTGTCAAGAGATGGAATGACTGGATTGAAAGTGTGGCCATAGAATAAGGGGAGGAGAAGAAAAGGAAGAAAGGAAAAAACGTAGGAAGAGAAAAAAGTAGCCCAATTAGTCTTGTCAACTAGGGTATATTATTTCATTTGTATAAATCTCCTTTCCCTATAAATTGGGTTGTGGGGGTGGGATTTTACTTTCCTCGCTAATGAATTAATATGAATCTGGTAAAGAGACAATGATATGAGTTCTCTCCATGTTAAAAGTGATGCCGGCACTGGGCAGGGGAGTCAGATGGATCTCTAGGCCTCTGTGTTTTGTAAAAGGGGGGTGGGGGGGAGAGGGCGGCGAGGCTACTCACGCCATGCAGACAGGGCACGTGGAAAGTTTTATTATTAAAGGGGGAGGGAAGAGAGGGAAAATGAAAGAAGAAGTGTGCACTACTTCAAGGCGAGAAAGAGAGAGAAAAGGAAGAAAGAAGAAGGGGAAGGGTTTTTTCCTTAAAGGGGACTTTATGTAAAATGATGTGGTCAGGACGCTGGGCAGGTCCCCAAGGGGCGGTTCTGAATGCTAACACTGTGGCCAGCCATCCTGGCCTAGTAGGTGAGTTCCAGGCCGGTGAGAGGCCATGCCTAAAAAAACATGGACCGCTCCTGAAGAGTGATAGCTAAGGTTGTCCTTTGACCTCCGTGTACACTTGTGCACCCATGAAGACACGTGTGCATGTACATGTGCACTTAAGAGAGAAGGGCTCCATCAAGTGCAGTATACAGTAGCTGTGGTGGTTTGAAAGAAAATGGCCCTATTAGGGGGTGTGGCCTTGTTGGAGTAGGGGTGGTCTTGCGCAACTCCAAAATACCCGGCAGCTGCTTCCCAAATTACCTCACAGAGGCTTATATTAATTATAAATGCTTGGCTGGTAGCTCAGGTTTATTACTAACTAGCTCTTACACTTAAATTAACTCATAATTCTTATCTACGTTTAGCCACGTGGCTTGGTATAGCATTCTCAGTATAGCATTCTCATCTTGTTCCCTCTCGTCTGGCTGGTGACTCCTGACTCCACCCTTCTCCTTCCCAACATTCTCAGTTTGACTTTCTCACCTAACTTCCTGCCCAGTTAGCGGCTTGTCAGCTTTGTATTAACCAATGAGAGCAAAACACATTCATAGTGTAGAAAAGAGTTATTCCACGGCTTTGGAGGAAGCGTGCCACTGTGGGGTTGGGCTTTGAGGTCTCCTATACTCAAGCTATGCCCAGTGTCACAGATCACTTCCTGTTGCCTTCAGATCAAGATGTAGAACTCTCAGTTCCTTCTCAGCGCCGTGTCTGCCTGCACACTACCATGTCCCGCCATGTGCACAATACCATGTCCCGCCATGATGATAATAGACTGACCCTCTGAACTGTAAGCCACCCAATTAAATGTTTTCCTTTAGGAGAGTTGCCGTGGTCATGGTCTTCACAGCAATAGAAACCCTAAGACAGCAGCCCTCAGTATGTTACCTATTATTTGTTCTTTTAACCCCAGAGAACCTTGCACACTCCTTACCCTCCTCACATCATACCCTGTCCTGCTCAGAACTGCTTAATGTCAGGTGTGTGCTTCTACCAGTGAACCCTTTCTGAGTACTCAAGGAGAACGAAAGACTTTCTGGCCCAGTTGTACATAGAGTTAAGAGATCATCCATGGATCAGGAATATAGTGCAGTGGTAGATACTTGTTTAGAGTTTGCAAAGCTCTGGGTTTGAATCCCAACACCTAAAAGTTCATAGTAGGAGGAAAGGAGGAACTCATTTTGGCGGAGTGTACTATAATTCTAGCACTTGGAAAACTGAAGGTCTGCACGTTTGAGGCTAACTTGGCCTGCACAGTGAGAAGAGTGCCTCACTTGTTCAAAAAAAAAAAAAAAAAAAAAAAAAAAAAGAAGCTGCCAGGCAGTGGTGGCCCACACCTTTCATCCCAGTGCATGGAAGGTAGAGGCAGGCAGATCTCTGTGAGTTTGAGGCCAGCCTGATCGACAAAGCAAGTTCCAGGACAGCCAAAACTGTTACACAGAGAAACCTTGTTTCAAAAAACCTCACATGCGGGAAATATACATAGTGGGCTTGGGGTTTTAAGTGTATTTGATCTTGTCCACACATAAGCTGCTCTTACAGCTGCCCCTGAGCTTACAGGGCTAGCCCAGCCTGGCTCAGGAGCCATAGTTCGCTCTCTCTCTCTCTCTCTCTCTCTCTCTCTCTCTCTCTCTCTCTCTCTCTCTCTCTCTCTCTCTCTCTCAAATATAATTTATTTTTAGATGTATGGATGTTTTGAATGAATATGTGTCTGAAATTATATTTTTTGAGTTTTGTGGTTACAAGGATGTACAGTGTGCACACAGAATATGTTGAGAGTTTCTGCCAGAGGGCCAGGAGCATGCCTTTAGTTCCAGCACTCCAGAAAGATAGGCAGGCAGTCCCAGTCTTGATGAATTTGAGTTCCAGGGCAGCCTGCTCTTCATATCAAGCATGGTTCCAGGACAGCCAAGGTTACACAGTGAGATGCTGACCTGTCTCAGAGAAAAGAGGGGAGAACACTAGAGCAAACTAGAATATTAGTGTGCGTGTGTGCACGTGTGTGTGTGTGTGTGTGTGTGTGTGTGTGTGTGTGTGTGAGAGAGAGAGAGAGAGAGAGAGGAGAGAGAGAGAGAGAGAGAGAGAGAGCGAGAGAGAGAGAGCCCTTTGAAGCCAAAAGAGGATGTTGGCTACCTTGGAGCTGGACTTTGAGGCATCTGTGAACCACCTGACATGGGTACTCGGATGCCAACTCTGGTCCTCGTGATAGAGCAGCAAGTGCTTCACTCCTGACAGTCTCTCCAGCCTACAAACTGTAGAATTTTAAAACTACCACTGACAGTAACAACTTACTGCCTGACTTGTCTAACAACTGTCCATAAAGATTAACTTGGGTGGGGGAACTGGGGAGCTGATGCCACAGTTAAGAGCAGTTGTTGTCCAGGACCCACAGGGTGGCTCACACTCATCCATAACTTCAGCACCAGGGCATCTGATGTTATCTTCTCACCACCCAAGGCACCAGGCACACATGCGTACATGCAAGAAAACTCTCTCATACATATAAAATAAAAATAAACACATCTATAAAAACCAAGAAGAAAAATCTTTATAAATTTTTGTTTTATGCTTTTACTAGTGGGGAATTAAATCTAAATCAGTTTGATTTCCTTATCTACAAAGTTGTGACAACATCTTGGATTCTTAGGTGGAACACAGGATTTATGAAAAGGCCTTGCATAAGAACTTGCTGTGGACAGCTGTATGTCCCAGCAGTGACTACAAGATTCATAAGATAACTTTGGAATGGTGTTCTTTTACAAGTATTTATTTATTGATTGTTGAAGTCTTGATGTGTAACCTTAGCTGGCCTGGAACTGGCTATTCAGAACAGTCTATTCTCAAACTCAGACAATTCCTCGGTCTTGGCCTCTTGACTGATGGGATTACAAGCATGTGCCATCACTCCTAGCATTTTGCAATTTCTTGAACATTGTTATATATTTCAATGCTGCTGACTGATCCCAAGACCTTACATATACTCAGTACTGAACTGTACTTTCAGGTTTCCTGCCCTTCTGCGCTCGCTCTCTCTCTCTCTCTCCCTCCCTCCCTCCCTCCCTCCCTCCCTCCCTCTCTCTCTCTCTCTCTCTCCTCTCTCTCTCTCTCTCTCTCTCTCTGTGTGTGTGTGTGTGTGTGTGTGTGTGTGTGTGTGTGTGTGTGTGTGTGTGTGTTAGGGTCTCATGTACCCCAGACTGTATTGGAACTTGATATACAGCTGAGGAAGACCTTGAAGTTATGATCTTCTTGCCTCTGTTTCTCAAGTACTGGGGTCAAGGCACTTCCTACCACACCCAGCTAGAATGTTCTTATAAAAAGTTTCCTTTCAAGAAGATAGAGCTTTATGCTTTTCTGTGTCATGGTTCAATACTGCTTCATTACTACAGGGTAAACCTTAGGGCTGCCTATTTTTTCTTCCCATCATAAAGGCCTTGTAAAACTTTTTCTTAAAAAGATTTATTTATTATTATGTATACAGTGTCCTGCCTGCATGCCAGAAGAGGGCACCAGATCTTATTACAGATGGTTGGGAGCCACCATGTGGTTGCTGGGAATTGAACTCAGGTCCTCTGCAAGAAAGCTAGTGCTCTTAAACGCTGAGCCATCTCTCTAGCCCTTGTAAAACTTTCTTACTGCAAGCAACCCAGGACTCTTATTATATCACCCTTGAAATCTTTTTCATTACATTTAATATTCTTTTTTTAAAGAATATATAATTCTATCTGCATGTATGCCTGCATACCAGAATAGGGCACCAGATCTCATTATGGATGGTTGTGAGCCACCATGTAGTTGCTGGGAATTGATCTCAGGACCTCTGGAAGAGCAGCCAGTGCTCTTAAACTCTGAGCCATCTCTCCAGCCCACATTTAATATTCTTAATTATCTTGTTCATTTGCTTTGCATTTTCTCATCTGTAACACAGAATGTCTTATTGCTCTGTTGCTATTTTTAAGCAGATTAAGAAAACTCACAATGTGCAAAGTTTATAGAGTATAATAATTTTTGATAGGCAATATGTTTACATTAAAGTGTACAAAAGCACATACAGTGAATGTCTTCCTATGAAGTGTTTCATAGCTTCTCTTTCAATAGGTTACCATTTGCAATTTCTTC